AAGGACTATCACATGGATTTACATTATTTAAGGGTAATAAGGGTTGAAAATCACTTGTTGGACACAACTGGAAAACGATAAGACAAGGGGGTTGTTGGGGGTGGCTCCCGGCGCGAACAGATCCATAATGAGGATGCTGCGGGCGGCGGTCTACACCCCTGTCCGGTGCTCACCTTGTTTGTTGGAGGCGTCTGCCATGTTCGAGGCTCCTTTTTCTCTCTCCCTTCAGAGAACACTGAACAATGAACAATTTTTTTCTCTCCACGGGCACAGCAGATACGCCAACGAAAAGTTGACCGTCGACTATCGCTCTTCGGCTCGGCGAACGTCGGGAGCGAGTTACACGGCAAGACTGACGCCAGCGCTCTTCTCACTTCGGATCGTTGGGTCCTTCCCTCGTGCTGCGGACCCCTCCCCAATGGTTTTCCATATCGATCAGCTACCTTTTCGAATTTGACTTTTTTTTAAGTTACTATTATAGTCCGTAACTTACAATTTAACTTTCCTCTTATTTTAATCTGAATAGAGAAATACGAAAGAAGTAAAAATTTTAAGTAGCCCACAGTGGAAAATGAAACACACCATCACACTTTTGGTATTTGAAATTTTTGAATCTAAATTATTATATATTATTTCTCAACATGAAATAATTTAATCAGACGAATATATTTTATGTGCATGGTGTCTTTTTTTAGATGGCCAGGCTGAATTTCTCTTGAATCAATGGCGCTATAAAACAAAAGAAAAATACTTCGCCTACAGACTTCCAATTTTTTAAGCATTTTGTTCACGTCTTGATGGATAAATTTTTTTAGAGAACGCAGTGAAGCCAAAAACGCATTCCAAGACTTTATTGTGCGTAGAAGTAAAGATTTTTATGTCAGCGGAATAAAGCGCTTATTACACGTTGGCAAAGATGTGCAGACTGTGGTGCTACAATCAGCATTGTCATTTTTTGACTAATTTAAAATCTTATTGCACCATTGTTTTCAGCGTACAAAATCCTTTAAAATTATGTGTTAGGATATATAGGGTCGAATTTGAAATTTTGAAGTTGAACAGGACCTGAGGTACCCTGTATAATTTTTCTTCAAAAGAAAGTAAAAATTTGAAACTAGACTAAAAAATATTAAAGACAATTTTTTGTTTTATTGATAGTGTCAATGGTTCAAGTGAAATTCAGCCGGGACATCTAAAAAGGACACCCTGGCTCGCAGTGAAAATTATGCACACAAACACGTTTTTGAAATTTTTTAATCTATCTGGAGTCCTTTTCCTATGAACTAGCAACATTTATTATAATAAGAATAATAAAGTGGTATCTGAGGTCATTGTCGGCCATTTACGTGTTTTCCTTTTTTCTGGTCTTTAACGCGTATTTGTTTTAAACTGCAGCCATTTGAACGTCTCGATGGTTACTGAATATATTAAGCAGGTGAAAAAATAATGCACGCTTTGAAAAGGCAATCAAAACTATTTTTAATTTTTATAAAATGGAGAAAATTTATTCGAAATATTTTCCATCACATTCTATACATCTTTGCCAACGTGTAATAAGCGTTTTTAATCCGCTGACATAAAAATCTTCATTTCGACTCACAATAAAGTCTTGGAATGCGTTTTCAACGCATTCTCTAAAAAAATTATCCATCAAAAAGTGACCAAAATGCTTAAAAAATTGGAAGTCTGTAGGCGACAGGTCGGGTAAATGTGGAGGGTGCGGTAAGGTTTCGTATCCTAAGTCCTTTCTTAGTTTCCGCATGGTTGGCATTGCGACATGTGCTTGGCGTTATCGTGAAGAAGAATCGGCCCCTTACGGTTTACAAAATACTGGATGAAGACGTTTCCCGTGCATGTTGTCTATTTCTTGGCAATATTTTTCTGCTGTGATAGGTTCACCATAATTCATGACATTATAGTGAACAACCCCAGCAATACACCACCAAACAGTCACCATAAACTTTTTTGCGTGCAGATTTAGTTTCGGAAACTTCATCAAAGTTTTGGCACTTCATCCTTGACCAACCACAGATCTATATCCATTTCTCATCGCACGTGATGATTCGATCAAGAAATGGATCATTTTGGAATTTTACGTGGATGTTCTTCAGTCAATGTTTTGAGTCGGTCGCCGTCCACAACTGAAGGCCTACCGGGACCGTCCCTGTCTTCGAGATTGAAATCTCCAAGTCGAAATCTTTGAAACCTTGCATGCGTTAATCTTCCCTCCCCCTAAACTGTATTAATGTTACGCGCATTTTGGGCCGCACTTCGCCCAAGCTTAAATTCGTACAAATAAAATTGACGAAAATCTAGGTTGGACATATTTAATTTCGCAGGTTCTCACTCTTATCAACTTCAATATAAACAATGTTTTGTATATAAGATAAACCTATAAACAAGTTAAAGGTTTTTATTATAATCCATAAATTAGATTTGGGGATTTTGCTTTGTTTACATGACGAGTACCTACAAAAATGAAACATATTTGCAAAGCATTCATTAATTTTGCACCAAGCCATACATAATAATATTTAATTACTTAATTGTAATATAGTAATACCTAGTGAGTGTGATCAGATCTCTCTCTCTCTCTCTCTCTCTCTCTCTCTCTCTCTCTCTCTCTCTCTCTCTCTGNCTCTCTCTCTCTCTCCCTCCCTCTCTCTCTCTCTCTCTCTCTCTCTCTCTCCCTCTCTCTCTCCCTCTCTCCCTCTCTCCCTCTCACCCTCTCTCAGGGACACCTGTCGTTTAACAAGTTTCGATTCTGGATCCTTAACTAATCTCAATGTTTAAATTTATTAAATTCACTAATTTCGTGGTCCGCTTGACCAATTAATTGTTTAAATTTATATTCAACATGCCATGCGTGAGTTGAGTACTCTGTACTATTTGATCTTGCGACCTATGAGATTTTTTAATGGCCAAAAATAAGTGTTAAAAGTCTCAGTCAAGCCTCCTGGTCATATTGTGAATAAGTTAGGTTAGAAGCATACGATCAAAAATGCGCAGATCACTGTCAAGCTGACTGCAAGCGAAACGCACCAGCATGTGAAATTTAGTTAGCGTAGTTTTACTAACATTCGTATACTTTTTACACTTTTTAAAACGAAACCGATCCTTTAACCTAAATAAAACTAGTACACTTTTTTCGAGGTGATGAATGCTTTTAACAACTTTAGGTTTATTCGACGTTCGAAGTCATTTTGTAAATAGCCCACAAGCCGGTAATATCTCCCTGTCTACCGAGTGATAAATGGATTTTGGGAATAATCGTCCCAGGAAATTGGCCGTATCTTGGTAAAGCCCTGACCACCGCCGACTCGTGGTCGCGGATTTGGCTTCGCCAAGGTACTTCCCATTGGCCACAGCACGGCATTTTGCGTGCCCCTTTAATTAAACTATACCTGGCTAGAAATTTGCTAGGGTAGGGAGGTCGTTTTCTGCGGCTTTTTATTAATTATTGTCTCACATGCGAACATCGCGAACAAGAGGGCCGTTGAAGATGCGGCTGACGCTGCGGCCAAGACCGCAACAATAAAACTATTTACACGGGAATAGGACGAGAATAAACTTTACAAAGCACGACCTCGGAGATGGATTTGCGCAAATTGGAAGGCAAAAACTTACGAAAATATGTTTGTTCACGAAAATTTCCCAAATATCAAAGACGCAGTAAAATTAAATATATTTCGAATTCCATAATTGGTGTTTTAAATTTATAGTAGAATAGCGACTGGAGTGTTTTAGATGTTTCTAGGCTTGCTAAAAAGTATGGCATGAAGGAATGATTTTGGAAGATATCTAACAATAAGTTTGGGGGGGGGAACAGATTTTTCTGAGGAAAAAATTTCATTGTTTCTCATTTCATTTCATGCTAATGAATAATAACACTCCACCAGCTCGACGGAACTCATGTCACTGGCGGAAGTCGCTCAATTTCATTAAGGATCTTTTCCAGTCACTGGTATAATTTGTACAAAGTTGGAATATTTTAAAACTTTATTGACGTCAAATTCTCAACTTATGGCAAGAACATGAATAACATTTTGATAAATAATATTTTAATTCTTTAATTCTCTTAACTGTATAAACTTGTTATTATTCACTGAGCATTTGCAGTTGTAAATAAGCTTGCATTAGATTCAAAATGTCTTTCAATCGATGTTGTATTCCGCCTTGTATTGTTCATTTTCCTTTTTTAAATACCAGATCCAAAAAAGTTGAATATATTATAAGTCCATTATATTTAGTGATCTATCGACCAAATACTTCTTTCAACAAATTTTTTTTTATGTAAGGTTTTGGTTGAAATGAAAAAGTTAGTGTCACGAGCTGGATTCGAACCCACGACCTTCGGCTCGAAGTCGCGATAGTTCAAGTGGTTAGAGCAGCGGCGAATTCAGCCGAAGGTCGTGGGTTCGAATCCCGCTCGTGACACTAATGTTTTCATTTCAAACACCTTACATAAAAAAAGATTCATTATAAAAGATTTTCCATACCAGGCTTACAGAATCAGCACTTCTTCTAAAAGGTTCGTATAAATTTTAATTAACTAGAAAAAATTGAAAGAAATCAGATCTCATTCAATGATTCGTGCGCATCCTAAAGGTTTATGAAGAAATACCGAGTACTCTACCACCTATTTGAGTCAATGGTATATAAATAGGAAAGAATTTATTATATAATAAGTGAGAGGTGTTTAGGTTTATAAACTTCAAATATTGGGGCAGAATTGACTAGCTGTGGACAGTCGCTGTGAAGGAATGGATAAGACCTAGGTCTGACCCCGGATTGTCAAAACTCCGGAGTTTCAGTCGATCCTGAATGAACAGCGAGTTCAGTCGAACCCATGAAAACAAAAAGTTGTTACAACAATTGAAGTTTTTCAAAAGGAAATTATTTTCTATTAGGTAATCATCGTTCTGTTGCTATGTTCGTGTAAATAACCATTTTAACTTTACAAGAAATGGATTTTACATAAGACACAGACAGTCCTTACAAAATCAAACTACCTGAATTTGCATGTATTTCCAACAATTTTATAAATAAATACTGGAACGTTTGTCAAACGACAAAAATAATAATCACGCCTTGTTATATATTTACGTCATATGTATTACATGTTCAAATATTTAAGTGAATTTTTTTTTATTACAATTGAGATTTTCTTTTTAAATTATTATTATTATTGAATTAGTTGTTATTGTCGTTGTTGAGTGTTAAATAGAGCGGTGACGTTGCTCCTCTCACTTCATATGCGGATTGAGTTCCTTTGGAATGGGCCTTTCGGTGATTCTGGCCAAAAATGCTGAAATTACAAAAAATAAAAGAATTAACACTTTTTTAGTTGTACTGTTGGATAAACATTCCGTTAATTGACAGTCATGTTCATGAAAAGAAATTTAAAGTGAGTTTTATAACAATTTTAACGTTTTTGATTTAAAATTTCATGCAGTTTTTTCTTACATTCAAAAACAGAAAAATAATTAGAAATTATTTATTGAAAAAAATTTAATACACGCAAAAATAAAATATAAAAAATTTGATGTGCAAAAATTAATGAGAGTGTGCATTCAATTTAAATATTTTTTAAAGCTCTTTTTGAAGTTTAAAAAAATAGTAGAAATAAAAATAGACAGAGTGCATGTTGATCACATAAAAAGCAAAAAAATCCTTTTTTTCTTCTTTGAAAAAAAAATCTTATTTCTAAACTTACGAAATGTATTTTAATTATAAAATAGTTGATGATGGTTTAGACCAAGGCCATAAATCTCTTGACGAAGGCTGCAATAGATAAAATTAACAATAGGTAAGGGTTAGCATTCTAGATACGCAAACAGGATATATCGTGCTTTGTTTTTTTATCCATAATAGTGTGTTATTGTGTGTCAGGTATTAAAACTACTTTTTTGGCGTCAAGGGTTGGCAAAATTACTACTTTGGAATAGAAAACTTGATATAAAAAAATATATGGTGGGCACACTTGGCAAACTGAGTTTTACTGGGTAACAACTGGCTAATTTCAAAGAGTGGTATGTGAAGTAACGTTAAATAATTGTCAAATATTATGGATTTGAACGGTAAAAAATATAGGTTATGCTACGATAAAGGGCTATGTTAAACTAAACTTTGAAAGGGAATGGATTGTAATTGAAAAACATTAAACTATTCTGCTCATGTCTGAATATATGTGCGTGTATGCGAAACAAACTTGAAAATCACATGATACTACTTGATCTTAAGGGAGTATCGACCGTTTTTCGGACCAAAAAATGCATTTTTTTTATATTTATTTTTTCTGGACTAGAATGAAACTGGTTCCAAGATCAACCTTTAGAAGTAGTTCAAATAATTTTTTGAAAGTTGCGAATCAAGTGATATTGTGTATCTTGCCTTGATGACTTTACGACTTATTGTCACTTAAGACTTTCGTTTTTTATATATATATATTCGATGTCGAAAAATACATTCCAAAGTAAAATATCGTCTAACAACTCCTGACTGGGAGAGAATTCGGCGTAAATTGACCAGCATTAGAAAAATTTGAGCTCGATCCAAAAATTTCTTCTCTTGATAAGTTGTATTTTTACAAAGATACACTTTTCTCTAAATATCATATTAAAATGATTTTTATTTTATTTTATTTCTTTATTTCTTTTAAGAAAAATAACAATCGAACAATCTTAGCGAGAAATGTTCTTAACAACACCCCTGAACAAGGAAAAGACGAGACTTTTTTGTTTAAAAAAAGGTGTCAAATTTTGTCACAATTTTAAGTTATTGCCAAAAAATAACCAATCACTTTTAACCCTTAGCTACTGATGCCTATTGTACTAAGAAAAAAAAACAAGATTTGTAGTAATAGACCAAATAGATTTTCATGAAATGGTACAGAAAAATAGCAACTTTATTCTTTAGCTTCTCTTTAAACTACTAAATGACTTCGATATACGGTAAATTTTAGAGTATGATGCTTAAACAGAAAGTTCAGAATCTCTTTTAAAAAACCGCATTAAAATTAAAGTTCACTGAGTAAAAGGGGAGTTAAACAAAAAGACGTAAAAAATCGTCTGTTCTTCCGAAAAACTGTCGCTACTCCTTAAAGTTTCAAAAATCATATTATATGGTTTATTAATATGTAGCATATATATCACATTTATTACACATCATATTATTATTACATGGCTTAACTTGCCAAAAAGTCTATGCAATCCTATCGTTTAACTATGGTTAGAGTTGGATATTTAAAGTTGTAAAGAATTTGAACAATCATGATGGTCTTTCTCGTTTGAGTCCATAAGTTAATATTTTGAACTTAATTTGATTTTGTTTAAAATTTTAGAATATATATTTATTATTATAAAAATGCGATATGTAATAGTGTGAAGTAAAGTGTTATGATTAAACTTAAACTAAAAATATTTTACAACTAAAACAAAGTCTAAATTTCAAACATTTTAAATATTACCATTTTAAGAATTTACTTAGCTCTAAGCTTGATTTTATTAAAATAATTAAATAAAAATAAGTTTAATTATTAAATAAATAATAGCGTTTTGTTTTCTAAATATTTTGGATTTTACCAAATAACGAAGCCTGGAATGTTTACAAGGAAGGCTGTAAAATTAAGAGGTGGCGGTACAACAAAACTACGGGGTAAAACCACAAGCTAATTTTAAAAAAATACTCTTTAAATACAAGGGGTTGAAAATTCAAGACTCTACTTACAAATAAATTATTATAACATGGTATAGGCTGCGGATACTTACGGACATAGGGGACCATACCGTCTTCGTCTTCGGGGTCGAGGCAGTCCTTGAGGACTTCATCGGCCTCGCTGTCAGTTAATTTTTCACCTGGAAAAAAGGAGAAAAAAAAGTCGTTGTGAAATAGTTGGAGCCGCATGATGCACTGGAAAAGCCGGTTATAAATTATATTATAGACAAAAGGATTTGGGCGAACACTGCATAGGCCCTCGCGCCATGCGCCACATCGCGTGTTCAAATGAGGGAAAATCGGCTGGATAATATCTTGTTCAAAAATGATTAATTAATAAATAATATTTGTTTTAATTATTATGACTGAAGGTAGGAAAACGAGTGGCGTTTATAAAAATATGGCTAGGGAAATCAGCTTAATTATTGTTCATTAAGAAGGATTGTTTTTTCAATCAAGGCCTGTTTTGACATCGTAATGTTAATTAGATTTTAGTACATAATACGATAATATATTTAATTTTTAAGATAGATTGAGGTTATTCTTTGTAAATTAGAAAAAATCCTTTTCACACTGCTCTTCAATTGTTTTCTAATTTTCAATTCTTATAGTCCAAACCGAAGAATATTCCTTAAATCAAATGTTTACCAAAGATATTTTGATTTTGATCAATTTTAAGAAGAAATAATAATACGGTATACAGATAGATCTAAAATAAAACATGGAAAGCGGACAGCAGTCAGTCAAAGTACCAAATTTGACCTAGGTAAATGTCTAAGCCGAACAGCATGAATTTTTCAAGCTGACGTATACGCTCTCTTGTAATCCATGGACAAGAAATACTTAAACAGTACACGGCTAAAAAATAAATTGATATTATCATTATAAAATGGCTGTCAATTAGACTCCACCCAAGCTTTGAACTTGTCAGTCAAATTAATACTAAACTATTGGAACTTAAGTACCACACCTTAGAAGAACGCACTAACAATACACCGATAAAAAACAATTAAGTCCCCAAGTTGTTAAATAAGGAAGTCCAGAACGAGCATTAGGCTTTTAGCAAATCTGCACGGGCGTAAACTTGTAAAAAATACTACAAAAGCAGGCTAAAATGGAACATGGAATATGGGCAAGAGTCGAAGACCCAATAATCTAGGAAAAAACCCTAATCCACACACCATCAAATTCCAAGCTGATCCATGCAATAGAACTTATGGACAAGATAAACTTATGAACGTATTAAAAGGTGCGGAAAACCAAGCAGGACTGAAGGTTTTGACTCCTCCACCTTCAACTCAAAGTTGGTGTGGGAATGCCTGGAAAAAAGAACACTGATGTGGGTGCCGGGAAACGAGGTGAAGGCAACGAACATGCTGACAACCTCGAAGCAGGATAAGTACCGTGCGCTAACCAATTGCGCCACTGGGGCAGGCTGAAGCAGGAGCTGCCCTCAAACCCTTTGGACAAGAACAGCAATTGCTCAAAGCTTGCTAAAATTTGGACAAAAGGTTAGAGAAAGAGGTGATCACTGGATGAATTCATCAGCTGCTAAGAAATCAAAGAAGTTCCTTAACATCTCAGCCAATAAAATAAAAATTTATTTTTATATCAGCAACAAGAATTCAGGAAAATAATAGAATTTCACCTATTTTTTTAATAGGAAAGTAGTCAGAAACCTGTGGACTCCATAAAACATTAAAAACATTGGAACATGTCCTACGTGACTGAAGAGCAATAGCCGAGAAATGGTTCCTCTTTGAAAAGGTGATACTGACCTGGAGAAATTAGCGAAGAAATTTTTTAAGGTTGTTAAGTACATTTCGGGGTATGGAAATAAAAATAATCAATTACACAACACCTTTTAGAGCACAGCTAAAGGAAAGTAGACCATGGATAGATGATGGAAATGGAAATCTGGTTAGTGGGGGTTTCAAGTTCCCCAAGTCCTGCAGCTTATTGTATTATACTTTTCCTTGTTCCTTAATTTAGTTAAACTGACTCGATCTTTCTCTTAAGAAGCATTAAGTCTTTGTATTCCAGGTTATATCTCCATTGCGAGATTCTTTGCATTCGAAGATGACATGGCTGTTTCCTCCTCCTCTTTGCATAACTTACAAATGGGGTCATTATTGATTATACACATGCATGATTTCTCAGATACCAATGACCGGTATATATATAGTAGTATAGGTAGATCAGTCATCCAGTAACCTCAAGGGAAAAAAACTGTAGCAGGTCTATTAAAGAAATTTGATATGGTAGGTAAGCCAACACCCGTCTAAAATTACAATTCGACAAACGTATTGAAATTATTGATCGAATTAATTTCTTGTAAAAGGTAGACTTTCTTAAAAAAAATACGGGTATTTTAAAATAGAACTGATACAGCGGGCGTTTCACCCCTAGTGGATAATCCGTATCCTCACATCCTACCAATCAAATGAGTTATTTTCGACCAAAGGTTATTGTGGGTTATTGGGCCAATTCCAAGTCTTGTCGAATGAGTCAAAAGGCAGTAGAACATTATTTCGGGAAACGATTTTCTTTTAATCTACCTTGACCAATATAAGGGAGGCAGGAAAATTTTGATTTTCCTTGTCCACACGGAATTTATTTATTTTATATACGGAGAAGAAGTAACTACTTTTTTAAGTGGCTGGGAAACAATCGTTCCATTAAAATTTATTTCGATATCAAAAATGTGAGGCAATTATGCAAAACATAACAAATTTTCACGATATAATTAATCACAAAAACCAAATTTCTTCTCTCTCACTCTCACTCTCTCTCTTCTCTCTCTCTCTCTCTCTCTCTCTCTCTCGTCTCTATCTCTCTCTCTTTCTCTTTCTCTCTTTCTCTCTCTCTCTCTCTCTCTCTCTCTCTCTCTCTCTCTCTCACTCTCACTCACTCACTCTCTCTCTTTCTTGGAGAAATATGATATAGAATTTCTCCCTCCTCTCTGAGAGGAGAAAGAAATTTGAGACAGATTACACATTACACATTAAAATGTGAATAAAATGAGGATTGAAAAGGGCGTTTTGGCAACAATTGGACGTGGGAATGTGTGCAAATTGGGTTAAATTTTGTACTGTTTAAAATTATTAATAATTATGAAACACGACTATAGGAAGTTTTTAAAAAAATTGTTTTCGTGTGTTTAAAGTGCGGCAGGTTGCGAGTTTAAGTATTTCTTAATTAGATAACGTCTAATTGATAAAAAAATTTCGTATATTTTTTTACCGAGAGTAATGAGAATGTGGTTGAGTTCAGCGCCAACCATGAGACCGTCTTCCTGCTTGTCGTAAAGCTTCAGGCACTCGATGAAGTCCTCGTAGACTCCGCAATCTTTGTCCTTCTTGGCCTGGCTGTAGATGGGCAGGAATTCCTCGACGGTCAGACGTTTTTCACCTGGGCGAGGTTATTTGATTGAGTTCGATTTTATAATTTTGTTTCTTGACCGACTTACCTTTCTTCTTGCTTCCGCCGAGCTTTTCGACGACGGCGTTGGTCGGGTTGAGACCCAAGGCCCTCAGGCAGTCTCCGACGTAGAAACCGTCCATGGTGCCAACTCCCTCGAAGTCGTAGATTCCAAAAGCGAATTTCGCCTCTGGAAAAAGACAATGGCTTATCTATTTGATTTTGTGCCAAAAGTTCTATTGAAACCTAAGACACTCGGTCTATTTCCAGACCGAACCTTATAAAGTGGGACCGACTCTTCTATTATTAGTTATAGCTTCTTTTGCACGTTTTTTATAGATTTTGGATTTGCCTATTGATAAATGTTATAATACAATTTACTTTAAATTGTATACTCACTTTCGACGTCTTTGTCACTGAGATCAGCCTAGAAGAAAAAAAAATTATTTTCAGTCAACTATACAGTAAAAATTATACAATAATCGAATCTATTTAAAAAAATATATATATGAATATAATTCTGTTTCAGCCTTTTACTAATTTTTTGATACAAAAACAAACTTCTGCATATTGAGAAATCCTTTTCGTCAAAGTTATATCGAGAATGATAAAAAAATGTCCACCCCGTTTGTTGGTCAATTTGTCCAAATTTCCCCTCGTTTTATCAGCTTCATACATACCATTGTGATGTTGTGTTAGGGAGTTGAGCTAGGTGCTGCCTGCAACAGGGATCTGACTCGAGTGAAGCTGTCGGAGGTATTTTTACACCCCAGGATCTCCGGAGATCGTCCCCTCCTCTTTTGGCATGGATCGCCGGCCCCACCACGCCGGCTGACGACCGCGGACCCGGGCCATCCTTGTTCCAATTCGCTTAGGTTTCGATTTTACTGTAAACATTGCATTAAAAGAAATATACACAAATTTTATTAACAATAAAAACAAGTAGGATAAGATCGATTGAGTGTTTTGGTAGGTCAGGCTATAGCTTTTTGGACAAGAAAAAAGCGTACTTAAATTGTGGGTAGTTGGCCAATTTTAGCAAGCTAACAATAACATGAATAACCCAATAGCTTTAGCCCTATAAAAAGCATTTCTCTTTTTACCTTCATTTCTAATGGCTTATTGCCATTTCTCTCGCATTCTTTAACCCGCGACACTTAATAGCTTCTCCTATTACACACTGTTTCTTTCAAACAGCTAAATTATATATGTAAGATAATTTTGTTAATATAATTTTAGATGAGTCAGATTCTAACAAAAAAGGACGGCATTCTATAAATAAACAGACTTTTCTACTAACTTGTGTTGCTTTTTGCTGAAGAGGTTAAAGAGCTTCACTACGTCCATCAGGTAGGGCTATCATGCTCTTCCACATATGTTTTATAGCTCATCTAGCTTCAGGCTTTTTATTAGCTAGGTTGATCTTTTCTTTACCCACAAGTGGCCCCTTCTTTCAACTTATATAGGCACACATGTAACTCCCTAACATTTTTCCAAGGCTCAACATGCAAATGGACAGACAAATTACATAAATAACATTACAGATCAATATAACATATGGTTCGTCATCTATCCAATGTGCAAGCAGCAACCTTCTGCCACTCCCATGCTTATGGACAGTCCAGTTAAGGCATCGTTTTTCTGTATTTAATGCAGCACGTCTATTGTACTTTCACAACTTCCATATAGAGACATTCAGAAGGTGGCATGAAAAATTGAGTAGTAACCGTAGTAGCTTTTACTATCCACAATCAAATTGCCAGACGGTGAAAAAACCGTTCAATGCCACCACAACAGACCGCTACAATCCTGTTTGCAGGTACTCTATGTGGCTAAATGGATGATCTTTTTTTTTAACTTTCTTTTTGGCCTTGTAATCATAAATCACCAGAATTGCATACCTTTCAGCGGAAACGGATTTTAAATAATGGCCCTTAGGATTGAACTAGATTGAAAAAAGTGCTACATTGCTAGATAAATGAATATATTAAAAAACAAACTGATAAATAATTTAGATAATAATGAATAGATAGATAGTTAGGATAAGATAATTATCAAAATTTTACATAATACATATTATCAGATTGTGATAAGCAAAACAGATATAAAATATTCAACGAGTACGGCTATTCTTAAATTAGAACATTGGTTCAGATTCTTCTAATAAAAAGTTATGTATTTAAAATTCATTAATTAGCCCAACTATACAAGCATAGTTATGTGCTAAAATTAGGAAATCGATTTTTCTAGGACCAAAGACACCTATAAAAAAAAACTACCACTAGAATAGAATAGGTCAATTACATTTTTATACTTAGTCTTTGTAACTATTTTAAGCAAATCAGGTAGGTGAATTTATTTTTATGAAATGATTCTTGAAATTTAAACAACAAAACTGTCTATAATACCTAATTTTATGGGGTTAAAACTAATGAATGGATGTGGCTTATTCCAAAATCAAATTCCAAATTATAAACCTTTAAAATAATATTGATGAAATTTGAAAAAAATTTCCTCTCTTTTCGTCTTTGAAATCACAACATCGATTTCCATACAAGAATAATTATAATTTTGTATGAGTGAGTGTATTTATTAGAGTGAATGGGGAGGGGGTGATGGTGGAATAGCATCCCCATCGCCCCTCAAGCTGTGTACATGACTTGGGTCAATGGCAGAATATTTATAAAAGTACCCCATCAACTCCAATTAGATTAGTTCGTTATTGTATGCAGGGCGATAGAGGAATAGTGGGTACACCATCTACCAAATAGAATCAATGCAATGTGTCTAGGTGTGAATGTGTATTGAATTTGTGTTGTAATATCTCGCATGTGCTCAGGGCTGAAACGACCAAGAAAAAACAATAATATATAATATCAATAATATGTAATACCTATTTTTTTTCTTCTTGTGTATCAGGTAATTGTTTTGTTAATTAAGCCAATTAAAAGATCCCTAATATATCTTAAATATTTTTTCTCTTTTTTTATGAGGGTATTTCGTATTTCATATTATATGAGGGTATTTTGTTATTTAATATTTTATATTTTTTATATAAGGGTATTTCTACATTCAAACCCGAACCGTGATGAGCCCAAACCGTTAAATAAATTAAAAGCGTTTTAACAGGATAGAAAACAACGTCATCAATGATATAATCAGCATTGTTTCTCTTTTTCCTGTACTACTTTTAACATCATTTCTTACTAGGTGGTCACAGTGTTTAGTAACAGGCAGGATCACTCTTCCTTTTCTACCATTAACTTTCAGAGTTCCACAAGGCTCTTGACTCGGCCCTCTTTCATTTGCATTATTCATTAATGATTTGCCTCAAGTACTCCAGTACTCTTAGTACCACCTTTTTGCAGTTGACTTGCAAATTTTTCAACAGGTAATATTAATGGCATTAGTCATATGAATTATATCAATTCCATCTCCACATGGTCAGTAATAAATGGTTTCGCTTTAAAACTATCTGAGACCCAAGCAATTTCTCTGCTTCAACCTTAAACTTTGTGCCGGACACCATTGAAGTCGGTGATGACAAAGCCATACTCTACAATTGTTCACCGTTTGGAGATGATTTTGAGTGCAAAAATTTCCTGGCCACTTTTGCAGTCTATAAAAAAGTTTACTTTAGTTTTCACTTTCTTAAAAAACTACACCTCATGAAACACACCATAGGCTAGCACTATCTCTCATTTTTCTACGTTTTCTGTATTGTGAATCCTACACTGAATCTGAAGTCACTAGCTTAATGTCATTTTTAACTCAGTTATTCGTTATGCATATCAAATTGCACGCTTTGATCATACATCACTTCTTGAGACCTTTTTAGTTGTTATTCCTCTAAAAAATTATTACAAATTGAAGATTGTTTTGGTTATTTTCAAAATTCTCACCAACTCCTCTATCCCTAATTGCTGTCACAAAGCATCTCAAAAACACTTTGTCAAGTGAGTCTCGTTTCCCATTGATCATGACACTTAATCTTTCCATCCACGTGGCTGGGATGAGAGTCTGGAACACTTTTCACTTGAGTGAATCAATACATAGCCATTTTTTCCTTTCTCTTTTTCATTTTTTCTTTCTTCTTCTTTCCTGCTTCCCCTTATATTTTAGTTATTTATATACACATACATATCTTATTATTTTTAAAGTTTACATTTTTTTCTCAAGTTTAATACAACCATGAAAGGTACCAAATAAAAATATGATCAGTATTTACAGTACAAATTTTATTCAATAATTACAATAAATGTCTATGATCACCCTCATCTGCCTATTCTCACTGGTTTTGAGGCCATTGGCTGTATGGCAAACAACTGACAGACAAAATTACGAGAATAGGTAGAGTTACGACCCAATACCAGAGGTTCCTTTTCTCTCTAAAGAGGAGAAAGGTGTAATTAAATTAAATCATAAAACAATTAAAATTTCGCCAAATAATGTGAGTATATGTTTTAAAATAAATAACTTATGGACATATCTTTGGCCATTCCCATGTTCTCTCCTGTTGCACCAACATCTTTCACCTGCTACCTACCTGCTATACATTATCGATCTAGCATTCTTTTCCATTCCAGCCCCTGTGATGTCAGGAGGGCAGAGCCTCCAGTGCGGCAAACCTCCGATGGCAGTTCAATAAATTTTAATCAGCGATAATTATTATTTTTACCAATCAAAAATTGTGTCACCTAGGGGGGTGACAGTAGACCAAGAGTATCTCACACTATTCAACTGTAGGTTTATAACCTCTCAGACACAATATTACAAAAAAGTATGTACAATACATTCACAAAAGAATTACAGTTTTTATAAATGTATGTATTGTTTATACATACATTTTGTTACATGTAACAATCAAAACGTACTAAATTGATTTTTTTTTATTTTTTTTTATTGCATCAATATAAGAAATAATTAATCTGGTTACAATAGAATAAAATAAATCTTTCTGTCAGAATATTAATATAAGAAAAATTATTTATACATAATTTACAAAGATACGACAGATGATGTTGGCACATCATCTGATTCCACAACAAAAGCATAATTGTCTTGTGATATATGCAAGCGAGTTTGAAATCCATTGTTATTGGGTAAGTCATCGCAAGTGGAAGACACAACTCCTAATTCATTTAAAGAATGAGCTGTGCTATTCCGATGTCGCTCATTGTAATACCTTCGACTATACTTTTTATGACTTCTATTTTTCCCGTTTTGATTGTTATTCGTCTTGCCCAGATCGTCAGATGTGGAAGACACACAGTGGTTTTTTGATACAGAATTCCTAACATTCCTATTATGAACAGAAACGTTGTCATCGCTGCTTGTGGTGTCGTTGTCCGAATCAGCAGATTCAAAAGATGATGATGATGATGATGATGAAGAACTTGTCGTATCGGATGATTCAGAGCTGTCAGATTGATCACCTGAATTTGAAGTGTCATCACTCGTCGAAGAAACAATACTTGTGTTCTTTGGATAGACTGGGATATTCCTATGGCTCTTGACTTCCAACATGTGAGCGCGACGGGACGCCTTGAATTCTCTTTCCTCTTTCATCTCCTCCTCCGCAAGTTTTATAAGACCTGCCTCCTCGCTTGGCAAATAAAAATCATATCTGAGAATATCCTGGGGAAAAATATAATCAAAGACGTCTAAAATTTTAAAGGCCATCTTGACTAGTATGAGAGCAGCCTTCTCTCGGTTCAATTCTTGCTTTGCTGAAAACACAGCCAAACGCTTCGTCTTTTCCAATATCCCCGTGGCATTATTTGACAATGATTTATCACTACCGTGCACTTCATCAAATTTGCTTCTCAAAGCACGGAAAACACACTGAGATCGAACGCCTGGCATCCCAAATAAATGTTTCAAATTATTGAGAAATGGGATTACAAGGTCTAACTCCATATCATTTTCCTCCACATCATCAAATTCATTTGGCCGCTTCTGAGCTTCTGAAAAAAAAATTGTTTTATTTATAAAACATAGTTCATACAACACTAAATAAAATATATTAATTATATTTCATAAATTTAACAATGAAATAAATGAATATTCATTTCTTAAAACACTAAATCATCCATTGATAGTTTTATTATAATGCTTTACTTTTAAATTGGATCATTTTATATCTTCTCTCTTTCTCTGCCATAAAAATATGATTAAAATAAAGTGGCAGCATCACTGGACCAGATCAGCAGAGAATAATGTATAACAATGTTCAATTTTACAGTTGATCTATTTCCGCTTTTTTATTATTTTTACTATGTTTTATATATGTACAATTTAAATAATAACTTGGAAAAATGCGTATCAACCCTTAACAATTTTTTTCTTTCCTCTTGATAATTCCAATTATTTTTGTGATCCCTTGGGTTTCTAATTACTATGATTCGACTGTAATAGTTTTAAAGTCTAGATGAAGAGAACATGCTATGGGAACAACAAAAGGTTGATGAATAAGCTAAGAGTTTTCTTTCAAACAGGCCTTATCTCTAATTGTTTAAAACAGAATTTTGATATTGAAGGCTAATATTACTTATATCGAGAAAATGGTTTTCTTAAAAGGCAAAAAAAAATTTCATTTTATCATCGATGGTTTCAAATTAAAACAAAAAAAGTTATATCTAGACAATAATGTAACTTACTGTTTACTTGGGCTAAATCATCCATACTGTTAGACCAAATAGTTCCTAGTAGTCTTGAAACCTAAAATAATAATTTGAAAAATTAAAATATTAAATTTAGCAAACAACTAAACTTTGATGCTTGAGCAATTAAGCTAGCCCACTGTAAAATTGCTTGTAAACCAAACAATGAGCTCAGAAAAGAGTGCAATGACTCAAACGGTTATATATCATAAAAGATCGATCACAAAGACCAGAACCCAGCAGTTATATCTAATTTGGAAGAATGTGAGTATAGTAGATGATGGGGTTTGGTCTGCGAGTTGGTGAACTCATGTTGAACTGGCACATGGGCACTACTGGGTCTGTCTTCCTCGCGGGTATGAGACTCGGGGAATATGAGTATTCTATATTATTCTATTCCATTATATCAATATAGGCTGTTTTATAACAAAAAACAGAGTACATCCTCTTGTAAGCTGACTTAAATTACTGTATTTTTATTATATGTAATTATTTTATTCAATCTATTTTATGTACGTGTAAAGATTAGGATAAGGCTGAAGATGCTTTCAATTTAAGTTAAGAGTGTGTGGTGTATAGTGACCGTTAGCCAATGATTATTAGCAGATCGTGAGGTGCAGTCTGGTGTGACGTAGGTTTTAGAAAAACATTTTCTTTATCATGCCAACGTTTCGATCTTTATTGAGATCATCCTCAGGGCCTGGGATTTATAAACAGTTTAAATTTTACAAATATATGTAGGATGCAAAAAGAAATGAATTTATACAATGCTAGAAAATTTTAGATAAAAAAAATGAATTTTACAATGCTAGAGAATTTTAGAATAAAAAAATGAATTTATACAATGCTAGAAAATTTTAGATAAAAAAAATGAATTCATACAATGCTAGAAAATTTTAGATTAAAAAGCTTCTCTGATAAACTAATAAACTGTTGGAACTATAGGCTTTATTGATATTGTAAGAAATAACTAAGAAGAATATTGGTGAAGTATACTCAAAGTTGGGGAATGTACTTCAAAAAAAAAAGCTTCTGGTGACCGAGGCTGAAGGGAATGTTCCTTAAATGGGCAAGGTGTTGACACAATGCTCATCAATGTAGGGTATAGGTCGCAGGTTCAAATCTATCTGCATTCGAACCCGACATATTCACAAATGGGATATGACCTCTGCTGATGCGAACCCCATTAAAAAATTAATTAATTTAAAAACAAATAGTACAATCGTATGACAGAATTTACTCAGAGATCTACAAAATAGTGAAACGTTACTGCTTAAAACATACCAATGTTGTTTAGGTGCAGTTAAACATTGAACAGTACAATTTTCAATTTGACACGATGCTAATAGATGTTAAGGATTGTATTTACAAATAGTGTAGGTCAGATTGTTCTGCCTAAAACCATGTTTTATCGCAACCCTTTACGCCATTAAGGCTTGATTGATTCTAGAATCATCATGATTGCTAAGTACATATTTTATAATATAATTTTTTTAAGTATATAAATACATATTTTATCAGTTCTTATTAATACTTTGAACAAACGTATAGCCAATTATTGCATGAAGCATTATTTTATGTTGCTTAGTGCCAGGTGAACTTACAGTAGTGTATTAATACGACAGAATTCGTTGTCTGCCTTTTGCCTCGTGCCGGCTAAGGGAAACGCTATTTTAAATAAAAACTCCTAATATTTTAAGCTATTTTTAGTCAGAAATTGCAGCATAAGAACATAACCGAACTTTATGGGTGCAGTAGATTCTTCAGTTGTTCATGTCTGTTTATAGTGTTTATCATTATGAATTGTGGACAGTGGCTGGTGGATAATCGACCCTGAGACTATCGATCATGTGACTTAGGTCTTTAAGTTTATGCCGAACTTGTTGGATTAATTTGTCGTTTTCCCTCTTCGGGCAGAGCTAGTAAATGGGAAAATGATGGAAATTCGATTCCTTATGTAGTTGATTTATTCGAAAATTATTTCTCAAAGGAAAGATGATATCACCAAATTCAGAGGTTGGGTTGGTCAAGGTTCTAAACATCCAAACCAACAGCCGCCGCGCTCTTTAAAATTATTCAAAAAACAACTAGATGTTTTTTATTATTCAAAATCACATTGTAAAGTCCAAATTTTATGTCGACGTTTGCATTTAGGATAAGTCAATAATTTAAAAAAAAAAATCTCTTCATTAGGTAAAAATGATCAGTTTAGACTTTAGACTACACTTACTGATCATCCATTTACTGAAAAGTTTCATATACACAAAGCTATTCATAAAAAAAAGCTTTTATTGAAGCAAACATTCCTGATTAACAAAAAGCATCATCAATGTGAACCTTGGATCTCGTCCATCAGAGGATCCAAACATGAAGATGTTACCATTGCTACACATAGGATAGGACTAATTATTTAGAAATCGTGAGATGCGGTCTGGTGTGATGTAGGTTTAAGAAAAACATTTTCTTTATTGTGCCAACGTTTCGATCTTTATTGAGATCATCTTCAGGGCCTGGGATTTACAAACATTGTTTACATTTAACAAATACATTTAGGATGTGGAAAAGTGAATTTATACAATGCAAAATATATTTTTTATATTCAATCAAAGTATAAACCTACATCACACCAGACCGCATCTCACGATTTCTGAATAATTATCGACTAACGTCACTAATCACCACACATAGGATAGGACGTTGTAGACACACCCGTTCTTTCCTAATGTCTGGAGTGGGACCTTCCTTTTATTTGTTTATTTATTTAAATGGCAGACGACCAAAATACATTATACATTTTTCAACTATAAAATATAAATTTGTCCATAAGAAAAAACTATAACTTAAATTATACATAATTTGTTGGATTTGTGAAGAGTGGTCAAGATTGTGATAGTTTAGAAAAACACTTTTTTTTATCGCTTTTGACAAATCCAACAAATTATTAAACAACCGTTCACTAAAAAAAAAAACACTAAAAACACATTTGCACTAAACAGTATGTTCAGAAAGGAAAATTAGTTAAGACAGTAAATTGTACAATTGTAAAATATTAATAAAAAATGAATTATTAAAAACCTATTTATACAGTATAAACATAGACATTATAATTATATAATAATTGATTAATAAATCTTATATTCTGCTAAGCAGTGATAGAGTTAAAAGTTCCAATTACAATAAAAAAGACAATAGACAAAATCTAATTATTTTGAATAGCTAGAAGATATTATCTAATGGTGTGTAAAGTACTGAATATTTCTATTTGTATAAACTTTTGAAGAAGTTTATTAACTATTTTTTGGAGTCAGTTGATACCAGAATCAAGAAGATAATCATGAGAAACGTGAGGAATGAAGAATTTGGAAGAAAGTCGTTGATTATGGAGTGGAACTCACAGATTTAGGTGAGAAATTAATAAAGGATAATCGATTCTTTTATTTATTAATTTATAAATAATCATGATGATATTCTAATGAAGATAAGTGAGCAGTAGATTGGAGACAAGGAATATTATGTGAGCTATAAGGAATATTTAATTTGAATGAAATTAATTTAAAGAATTTATTTTGAACTTGTTCTAAAGAATGTTTCTGACAGAGAAGATAAGGAGATCAAATGGGAGACGAGAATTCAATATTAGAAAGGACAAGGGCGCAATAGAAGAAGTGTTTAAAGGCAATAATATTATTTAAATATGAGTATTGTGAGAAGTCTAGCAACTTAAAAGATTTATCGATGAAATATGTAGTGAATAGGACATATTGGGCTAAAACGTGACACCCAAGTCTTTAATATAATTGATGTTTAAAGCAATATTATTATTAATATTATAAGAAGAGCAGAATTTTTTTAGAGCCTCGGTAGAAAGACATTACAAATATGAGGTTTGAGAAGAATCCAACTAATTTCTGGGAGTGCTGTTTATGAAGTTTCATGCTATGGCCTTGAGTTTTTGAGGATGTATGTAGTGAGAAACATGGAGGTGAAGGGTCGTATTTATTTGAGAGAATTTTATAGGTTTCGATGAGATCTTGCTTTTCTCTACAATCTTAATAATTATAAATTAATTATTATCTTAATAATAATAAATCTAATAATTTATTAAACATAGCCAAACGGCTTTAATTTTTTGGAAATTTTGGTAAATTGTCTGAACTTTTTCTACGAGTGTATTGTCTTTTTGAAAGTAGGGGATCCAAATACTACTTGCAAACTTTAGTTCAAGTTGAACATTGGTAACATAATTTTTTTAAGTAATTCACGAGAAGGTGACAGAGTTTTACTTGGTATGCAAGAAAGCTTCCTTTTATGATGATGTCCAGGACATATTCCATTTTATGTCTTCTGATATTGTTATTCCCCAAGTCATTTGAAATGGTGTAAAGGACAAAAAACTACCTTCAAGTTTGTATTTTTTTTAACTAAGACCCCCCCCCATAAGTATCGACCAGGCAGAAATCTTATCAACGCTCATTTGCAGTTCAGTGAATACAGTCAAGTGCTTTGCAAATATCTTGGTATCACCTGCAAAAGTACTGATTTCAGTCAATTTAATAATTTGCATCCCTGATATAAAGGATGGTAATTGAAATTTGCTGACATTTGTTTGTGTTTAGTTCCGTAGAGATATTTTAAACAGCTTATCAACAGAGGATTGAAGTAGATGATTACACAGTGAAAAATGATGATGTCTGCAAAATACCAATGTTATTTTTTGTTATGTTGTAACAGTAATGGCGACAGTTGGTGTTTAGGAAATTTAACTTATCCAACTGGACTTAACTCTATTGGATATAATTCTAGATATATTATGAATTTTTAGTATTAGTATACTGGTATTTATTATACTTGTTAGTATTTATGTTAGTGGTAGTTTATAAGGTGCTAATAGTAAGTTTATATTTCTATAGATATTGTTTGTCGTATTTTAAAAGGTCATGTCAGTTTGTACGTATATATTAGTATGTATATTATACATTTTATGTTTTTGAGTTTTGTATGTGTATATGAGACACCCTAACGACAAAATAAATGCAATAAATGTTAAATAATCAGTTGTAATTTTGGAGTTCCAGATATTCAGCGAATTTCAAAAAACCACGTTTCCCGTTAGCTTTGCCGCGTCAAGTTGTTAATCATAAGAATTATCAGTTCGCCGTAGCGGCTGTTCAAAGGGGAATTGCAGGTCGCTGACAATCGGCGGAAACTTTCCAGTTCGACCGAGGGCTGATCAGGACTGGTCAATTGTCAGTCCAACGAACGCTGGTTTGACAATTGGCATTGTCCAATTTTACACCGGTTCGACGGCCGATCCGCCTTCCTTCATTTAACTAGAGGCTCGTCCATTGTTCGAAAATATGAGTAAGTGGGCCACTTTTTTTAAAATTTCCTTTAATCCGTTATTATTTGGGATGTTTTCACTTTTGACATCAGATGTTCCAGGGTCAGCCGTCCTGGGACAACTCAGGAATGTGGCATTACGTGTCCCATTTGAGCAATTTAAACAGAAATTATTACTTAATTCTTTCATGTAATCCATTTCAAACGAGGCTTTTATATGTATCAACACTATATTTACTATGTGTTACACACAAATATAATATTTCACAAGGGAAGTCTTAAATAACTAGATCAATGTGATTTCATTGACCTAATCAGTTTTAACTGTTTCTATACCTAAGAATTGCTCATAATCCACTCACCTTTTTGATTCAATTTTTTTAACACCTTGTCAACAAGTTTTCTTTATATCATAAAATTTTGTAAGCTTCCTATACCGAAAATGTCATTATTTCCCTAGTCCAGGCAATTATTTGGTTTTGATTTCTGAGCCTTAAGTAGTAATAATCTATCTAGCCATTGCGGATTAGGGTAAGATATACCTTTTTTCATTAATGGCAGTTTATGTTAAGCCTTCAGTAGAGAATTTGAGTCTAATTTCCTTTTCCTAGACTATTTGAGTGTGTCAGTAATTAGTTTTCATTACTGACCCTTGGCTAATGTTAGAATTGGTGTGGTGTATACCATCATTAAAGCTTAGTAAGTATAAGTCTAAAATTAACTTTATTATGCATTTTTCGACAATTCCAACACTTTTCATTAATTGTTTTTTATTTTATACGTTTTTGTTAAGCCTTCGGTAGAGAATTTCAGTTTAATTTCTTTTTCCCAGACTATTGTACATGTTAGAGATTGGTTTTTATTACTGAGCCTTGGCTAACGGTGATCTATCTTCCCGGTGTTGATCAGGTTAAGGTATAGTTTTGAAGTTTTGTTAAACCTTTTCTAGAAAATTTGAATTTAGTTTACTTTTTCCTAAACTTTTATTGTACACGTCAGAAATTGGTTTTTATTACTGAGTCTTCGTTAACGATAATCTATCCTCTCGGTGTTGATCAGGATAAGATATTAGTTTTGTAGTTTTGTTAAACCTTTCTTGAAAATTTGAATTTAGTTTACTTTTTCCTAAACTTTTATTATACCCGTCAGAAATTGGTTTTTATTGCTGAGTCTTGGTTCACGGCAGTCAATCCACTCGGTGTTGATATATTCGGTAAGATATAGTTTTTGTTAAAATTCTCTAGAAAATTTGAGTTTCATTTCCTTTTCCTAAACTATTATTGTACAAGTCAGAAGTTGGTTTTTATTGCTGATGCTTGGCTAATGACATTTTATCCAGTCGGTTAGAATGAGGGTGTGATATAGTTTAGTGATCTCCGTATTACTTTTTTCTTCTATGAAGAGTTCGGATTTATATACAATAAAAATCAAGTAATATATAATATGCTCTAAAAAACTCTCAAATATGTGAACTAATTTGCATTAAAATTACAAAAATAATGAATGTTGGAGATGTCATCTAAGTAGTAAAACTTTTTTTTAAGCAAGACACATTTTTGGTCTAGTACATATTCCTTTCAAAAAAGCAAATAAGACAGAAAAATCTTCACACATAAAAATCATATATTTTGAAATATTATACAAAATAAATAATTTAGCTTAAGTAAATTCAATGGCATTTCAAAGTTAGTTTCTCTAAAACTACAGGGCTTATCCCTCAACAAATATTTTTACTTTGGAAAAAAATAACAATGATAGAGGTGATGAGAGCATACTTGCAAGAAAAATAATTGTATTATTGATTCCCTCTATAACAATTTTACAGTTAATTTTGACGATTCAAGCAATTTATTCTTTTTGTTAAAGATGGTTTTTAATTTCTCTTATAATTCCTGCTAATTTCTGTTTTGCGTTGAAAGGAAAAATCCAACCTGCTATTTTAGAAATGAAGTTCCCACTTTTGAAAGGTTGAAAATATGAAAGAGGACTGCAATTGACTATTTTGGTGTTTCAAATAAGGCCCTGTTACAAAACCTGACTACTTCAGAAAAAGTGATTCTTCAGGAAAGGAAAAAAACTGCATTTAAAAATTTTTGGAAATAAGGCCTCAAAAAAAAAAAAAAGGCAATTATTTCAAGGTAATTCAATTATATCAGATTGTTTTTGCCGTTGTTCCCTACAAGTTAACTGAAATCCAGTTCAAATTTTCCACATTTCATTATGCGGTAGTTCTACCTTCTGTAGAAAATTTAACTTTATTTTTTTATGCTCATGACCATAGATTTATCCAGTGTGTTATAACTTTATTGTCTCCGATCACTCATATCTGCTTATTCTTGTTGGTTTTTTGTGTGGTGTTTAGTGACTGTTAGTTAATGATTATTTGGAGATAGTGAGATGTGGTCTGGTGACGTAGATTTTAGAAAAACATTTTCTTTATTGAGCCAACGTTTTGATCTTTATTGAGATAATCTTCCACAACATTCTGTTATTTGATTTTCGAGACGGAGCAGGTAGGGGTCGGAACCGTCCGGTCATTGTCCCTCCAGAGATTCTGAACGCACCTCTTAGACGGCCTGGTGGCGGCACTGGTGATAGTTTCCAATCGGCACAACCTTTTAACAGTAAGCCCGAGTACAAGATGATGCACATCAGCACACCGCCTTCACCAATGGGACGACCTGCGGATCTCAAGCTTTCCCAAATGCTTTCAAAGTTAGATCTGATTTTCGCTGGGAAAATAGAAGATCTGGTCATTTACAGAGTCCTTAGTGTGTATTTCAAAGAAGCAGACAGTCAAATTTATTTTGAGTGAGTACCCATACAAAAAAAAAAAAAAAATTAAACTGTTGACATGATTTTTATTTTAAATTTTAGTGCGATGATGGAGGCTATTTTTAAAAATATGTTGCTCGATCCTTCAAATGCAGTCCCTATCTGTAAATATTTGTACATTCTGAGTCGTGATCAAAGCAAAGGACACAGCATTAGATCTACATTTTATAAGTATCTGCAAAATTATTATAATGGTAATTATTTATTTTTATTGCAACCTCATTAAAACAGCATTTTTTTCATAAATGGACCCTGTGCCATGGTGTTGTTTTTAAGCAAATAATATTGCTTTGTTCTGTCATTTCAGTGGGTACCTTCTTTAATTAATTTTTATTATTTATAATTTATTTGCTAAATTCATAAAATATGAGTTTGTAAGTTTTACTATCGCTCGTTTCCTTTAAGAGAGTTTCAATTGAGTTTCTTTAACTTTTTTAACTATATTATTATCTCAAAAATCATTATCAAATTGTNTTTTCTTAGGTTCTGTTTTACATTTTACAGACAAATACACTATTTGGAAAAATCAAGGAAATGATTGTTTTAAGAACTTTGTGAATTTTTTTGCTGCTGCTACACATCACAACCGCAATGTTTTTATCGCTCCATTTCACGAACTTGTTAATGCTATTTTGGAATTTGCTTTCATCCTTAGCTCTTGCCTTGACTCTTACGCAGAGATAAAGCTGTACAGTCTACTAGTAAGTGTCATAGAGCCCATTATCAAGAACAAAGGGCAGTGACGAAACTTGTGTTTCAGGTTATCAGATATTCGCAATATACTAGCATGCCGAATTCAAAAGAAGAGATTCCCGACATCAATGTGAACATGCAAAAGTTCCAAGAGGTGAAAAACGCAGCAAGGCTCAAACTAAGCCGCGGGACCTGCAAGGATCCGAAGTCGACGCTTTGGCTCATGATGGTTCTTGAATCAAACTGTTCGCATCCGGTGGCACAAACTTTCTACACAGAAGGGCTGGGAAAAGAAGACGTTAACAACTTTCAAACAGATGTGCTCAACATTCAACTTCCTAGAGAGGATTTTAAAATGTTCGATATCAGTCATATTGAGTCTATATTAACTCTAGTCTGAGCAATATACAATTTATTATTTGTTTTCTTGTTGTTTTACATGTTATAGATTATTCTTTGATTTCATTTAAACTGTATTCATTTTTTTTGTATATTTTTAATTAAGACATAACAGGGTGATTTAAAGTAATATTATTTTAAATCTTAAAATATTTCTTGGAATTAATACCTAATTTTAATTTCAACGGTGAAATAAATCACTGTGCAAACCCTGTGTTTATGTTTTGTTGTTGAACTTTTTTTAAAACTGTTTCGGTTTGAGGGGTATCTTGATTTTATTTTTGTGATTTGGACATGGTTATCATGTAATGATTCATCATTTATAATCCATCAGTCCTTAAAATGCCTTATTACAGATTATTCTTGTTGTTTTGCACTATTTTTATAATCAAAGTATGTTATATTTGTCCTTGTATTTTATAAATGTAAAAACATTTTTAAAAAAGTGACCTTTTTATTTTTCTAAAGCATTGTGATAGGGATGAAATCTCGTTTTATACTTATTGCCAATAAATTATATTTTGTATGACTCATTTCGTCTCAAGTTTGTAAAAACCTATTCTTCAACCTTTGAAGTTTAATTCATCCGAATTTCCTATAAAGCCAGCCCTCCTTTACCAATCACTCCAAATGGAACGACACTGAGCTGCATCGTTTGACCAAAACTTCGCTCTGATCAAGTCTTTAAGCTAGTTGTTCACTTCCTCGAAAGTGGTGTAGTGGCTCCTAAACAGACGAAAGAATCTGTTTTTGATCCTTGATAAAGAATTTTTTTGTTCAGATTTTAGACTGCAGCAAACTGATAGTACATGCAACTTATTGACTACTGGTCTAACAGGAATGTCAGGTTTGGAGTTCTGGGATTCGTGTTTATTAAGTTTTTTGTATTGTAGGTTAAGTAAAACCACACCATTGAACCAAAGCCGCTATAATTCAACCAAGGCTTACATGATGTTTAACAACCTGAAACACCCAAAAAAGCTCTATAATTTTACTATTTTTAAATCTAGTGTAGACAACTATCTATAAGCCACATTAGTCATATTTTGTATATGTTTTCATGTAAAAACAATTATCAAAAGCCATATAATGCTGTATTAAAACAACCAATTTTTCTAAAAACTTATTTTTGTAACAAATAATAAACCACCAGATTTTTTTTCCTAATCCCTATTCATAGTTTTAAGTAGATCCATTTTTTAACAAATACCCCAGTTTAGCTGTATTACGGAAACTTGTTTGTATCGTTCTCTTTTATAACATTAATAAAAGAGAAACGCCATAAAAAATATTATTTTACAAAAATATTAAGATTGTCACAAAATGAGCAGTCTTTTATTAAAAACCTATTCTTTAAACCTAATAAACCTTTGAACCTGAAAAGTTTTCTCATAAAATAATTTGAAGAGGCATAAAGGAATTTCGTCCAGTCTAATATTTGGTGTTCCATGCCTCGCCAGTCCAGAATTGCTATTGGGATTGTGAATGGCGGGCTGTGTAATATTGAATGTGTAATTTTTTCCTTACCGATTGACTTAGTTTGATTGACTATCTGTCAGATTTGTTTCAGCATTTTGTCATCTTCAGTGTGCCATAAAACAATTGTGCCTAATGAGACCAACCAAGATGATTGGTACAGATCAAATAGAAGTTACCATAAGAGGAAATTTCACGAAAATAAATGTGTTTAAGTTTAATAGTTTTATTAACGCAAATAGAAATTACACTGCATTATTACATTTAGACTTAGCAAGCCTGGCCAATGTTATTTGTAAAATTATAATGAAGGTAACAGTTTTACTTTTATTTATATATATATTTTTACTGTTTAATTTGATGAAAGTGAAGTAGTGTAAATAAATTTTGTTTAACCTCCAATCGGAAATTATACATAGTTTTTCGTTTTTACAATTTTATACAAATGATGTTTTTATTAATGTCCTTAATATATATATATATAAACATTTTTATACCATTTCCATTTTTTGAATTTCTGTTTATTTATTAATTCAGTTATTATTATTATGTAAATTAAAAATAAAAAAAACTTAGCAAGTACATAATTTGAGACAAAAGAGCTGGTTTATTGTAATGAATAAGTTTATCAAGAAGACAATTATTACATACATATAACAGAAGCATTATTAATAGTAAAATAAAAATATAAATTAATAAAATTTACACCTAATGCAAAACATTAACTTTGTTTGATTGCTTCGTTAAGCAAGCAAATCTTAAATTGTTTCATTGTCTCTTTCCATTTAATGAACTAGAAAAAGCATTAAAAACCAAGTAAGCCATTATACATATCAAGTTTTTTGTGTTTAAAAAATTTTTTTTTAAGTTTTAAATAATATTTTGACTCGAAGTGTTATTTCACTTTGTTAATCGCAGGCTTGTTTTTTTTTATGGTTAAATAGCGAATCCATAAATGGATGATAAAGTCTATGTCGGTGGATGTTCGTTGTTGATCATACATGGGCTGCCGTCGCTGCTGTAGCCGTATTGTTAGGTGTCGACGAGGTTGAAGACGATGAGGATTTGGGCGAATTAGGTCCAGATGGATGTTTCTTGTTTATGTACAAATCTAGGAGTTTAAGCTTTGACGCAGACAGGGTGGAGAGGTATGGGCGTAAACAACCGTCTCCTAGTTTGTCATGGAGTGCGACCATGCAAAAAACAGCCGATTTTCTCACAAGGCTCTCCTCGTGGCCGTAAGCCTGGTAGAAAGATTAGATTAATCATATTTAAAAAATATATATATTTAAAAAATGTTACCTGTATCAGGCCGGGCATCAGGTCGGAGAGAAAAGGGAGGAACTGTTGTTTCGGATGGGCTTCAACTACCTTGGTTAATGCTTTGATGACCGACAGATTGTGAGGAAATGATTCGACACTCATCAGAGGTATCAACACCTAAAATTGCAACTAGGTGAACAATATAATCTTTCACACCATACATTATGTTTCTTAAAAAATAAAATGTGGTTTCTCTTATAAACAAATGATTACACAAAATGTTTATCAAGAAATTTCCAAGGGTTCTTCCCTTTTTACATAATTTGATTGTTTGTATCAACACTTGTGATTGCACAAAATTTCAACTTTTTTGTATGACGCTTAAGTTCGATAATAATAAATGCATGCTTAAAAATAAAATTAGAACTAACAATTTTAAATGAAGGTCTGACCGGCTTTGTGTGAACTCTGTGCTAAATTGATTTAATGGTTTAAGGCAGTCGATCAAATCTGGCATTAATAACCTTTTTTTTATTAAACTAGAATTTTTTTCTGCATCATTTGGTGTAAAACTTTTGCAATTTTATGCATCGGAATTAAATTTTTGAAAATTGAGACCAACAATTTTAATTTTGTATTTATTTATTAAACTATATTTTTGTCGATGGTATAAAGGATTTGCAATTTTGGGCACAGGACGTGCTCAATTTAACAACTAAATGGTCTACACAGAACAGAATGGCTTTTATGAATTGATAAATCTAAATATAACAGGGACCCTTCTATCAGGCGGAAATGTCTCAACATCGGCAGTCAGTGTGGCTTAAACAAAACAACATTACAAAAAGGGCACTCAAAAAGTAGAAAATCAAATGTAAACTAAACAGGCAATTTTTTTGAAATGCATTATCAGTTTATTAACGTTGAACAACTAAAATGTAGTAATATGCATTATTAAAAAATATATCAAAATGCTCACAAGAAAGACGTGAATAAATTGAGCCCAATCATGTTTGGGAAAAAGAATCTGAGAATTGGTTGACCCCCCTTAAAAATGCAGCAACCAAGTCAACATCAACATCCACATAATCAGGATAGAACGAGTCGACAACTGCAGTCAATTTAATACACTGGAAAAGCATGTGCACATTGTAATATAAATATAAATACCTTCATAACCAAATCTGGCTTTAATGCATTTGCCATTTCTTCGATACAAGGCTCTGCATGTTTTGCAATCTAAAACAATAAAATAAAATATATAACCTGAACAATTTAGAAAAGAGGAAAACAGAAAATTCGCTCACATCTCTATTTGTGTCACTGTATGCTCTAATTATGTTAAGAATTAGGAGTTCTGAGTATGACTGGAACATTGGTCCGAGGGTTTTCTTTTTCAGCATCTCCGAAAGGGCCAGCAGAGCTGTTTGCCTCGACTCGACGTCGCCTGCATCGATCAATGGTAAGATGACCCTCAACACCCTCCTGACAATATTGACACGATGAAAGATATCGTTCAACATGAAAACTCAGAACAAACTTACTTGAAATGATGTGAAATTACAACAGGATCGGATTCCTTCACCAGTGTGGCGACTAGAGAAACAGCGAGCTTTTTTTCTTCACCGGCCAAACTGTCTAAAGTGTCCAATGTTTTCCCAAGAAGATCTCCGTCCATTGTACTTCCACCGTCTAAGCATAAAAGAATTTAATGGATACTTATTTTTTTAAGTTAACTGTATTTTCAAGTACATATTAGAAACTGTGGTTTAAAAAAGAGAAGATTTTGAAGAAAAAACAGAACATATAAGACAAAATGGTTTTGAGAAAAACAGGGAGAAAAAAGTTGTCAAATGTCTGAAAAATTTAGCCCTCCAAAAACACGAGAGAAGCTTTTAAAAATTACCTATGTATTAAATTTAATTACCAAAAATGGATTACCAATACATGTGTAAATGAACACAGAGCAAGATGTGAGGAGGAATATAACCTGCAAGAAACTAAAATAAAAATAAAAAAACTGAAAAGGGCAAAGAGAAGAAGTACGCAAAATTTGCTAACAGCTGCCTGCTGGTCTATTTTTACTTACTGAGCCTTTGAAGTTAACTTACCTAACTTAAAAAAAAAAATTAAATGACAAGTATTTTTTCATATGGACATTTAATATATTTTTACTGTTTACATCCATTCTAGATGAGTGAATTATTCTGACGGGGACTAATGCAGTGTATATGACAAGTATAGAGGGATTTAAAATATATAGAAATCCTATCTTTTTTGCCAGGGAATGCAAACATTGTCCGTTAAGAGAAGTGGTCATTGTAGAGAGGTGCCTGTTAAGAAGGGTTCAGAAATTGGATATATTTGCTAGGCTAACAAAGAATTGTTCTGTTTATAATTATTCAAAAATATGACTTACCGTTCATTGAAAAACCATTGCCTAGGCTATTTGAATCAGTGCTGTCTATTCCATTACAGTCTTTCTGCGCTTTTGTTGGTGATGATAATGATAAAGATGTAGTCTGGAAAAAATCCTAATTCAAGTAAAAGCTTTTACAAATAAACAGTTTTACTTTCAACTTAAAAATACTATCATGAAAAAAGTAAAAACCCTGCAGTGGGCAGTAGTGTGTACTGTAATTTCTATTTTATTGTAGTTTTAGTTTGAATTCTTGTACTGATTGTGCCAATTGTTGTTACTACTCATTCATTACGTTTTCAAGAACTAGGAGTGCCTTGTGCTATTTTTTACTTTTCTTAATCTTAGTGCTATGGAGTCGTTAAAGAAGAAACTTGTGTTTTTAGAACTGAGTACTGCTGGCACCTCCTAAAAGTATAATAATTAAATATTTTGATTTAGGTGATCATAATAATCTTTCTTTGGTTATATCTAAGATTTTAGTTTTATTTAAATTTTGTAAATTATCGTTTTTACTTTTTAAGTCTGAAAATTAGTAAAACAAATCTAAAACAATCTTGGAGGTCCTCTGACAACTTTTGGATGAATCTGATGATAATTTCTTAGATTTTACATCACACAGAATTATTGAGCAGCGATGTTTCAGATCAGTATGTTGTCCAAAATGAAATAGTAGTTTTTTTTTTTTGTTTTTTTGCCAAGCTTCTGCTTTTTATTAAGCCTTCCTTTAGCCCTGAGGAAGGCTTAATAAAAAAAATATATATATAAAAAAATATTGGTAGAAAAAAAAGACACTTCATACTACTTCATTAGACAACGTACATGATTCCAATCTTCAATTTATTCGATTATACAGATGAGACTAAACAGAATAATGCAAGATAGTCATGGCAGCGAATTGGAGCTATCAGTGAAGATGAAATAGATAAAGCAAACATACATGTAGAAAATGCTGACACTGATTATACTTTTTTCATCACAAAAGGTGATGATACACTATGGATAAGCAATTCCTCTGCCTTGTGCCATAAAACTAATAAAACTGCCATAAAAAATATTATAAAACCTTTACCAGGCCCCATCAGAGCTAGCCCAGTTCACGATCGGTATGAGAGACCAGTATGAGATAGAAAAAGTATCCAGGTGACTCTCCTGGCGACAAGATTCAGTCACCTCCCCTCCATCTCTTCTCGATCCTCTCCCAAGTGACTTAAAGATCTTGATGTTTGATTCTGATATATTTTTATAATGAAAGAGTTAGAAGCTGTAGCTCTTTGGCATTTAATTAAATGAAAAACAAGTAAAAGTAGTGTGGGTTCGCCCACATTTTCTTTTTAACTTTATCCGCATAATGGTAGTCACTGTTGTTCCAAAGCGTGGGGTATGTATGAACTAATGAAATTCGTTTGTTGTGATCAAAAATGTTACTTCTATACATTTTTTTAACGTTTCAAAGAAGGCATGTGAAAACAAGAGTCGGACAACCTGTGTGAATGATACCATGCTGCACGATGTTACCTTCCTACAGAAAAAGAATCATCTGACTGAACATCTCAAGTGACTAAAAATTGTTATCTCATACCAGTCGCCTGTTAGTCCCCCAGTCTGAATGACCGTAACTGTCCCTACATTACATTGGTCTCCTCGATACCGATCTCTCATTTCAATTAATTTTGTGTGAACTGGGCCAGGATATGTACTGGTTTAACACATTTTTGCCTTTTAACACTACGGATCTGTTTAATGATACAATACACACTTTGATGTCAATAAAGCAAAAATGTGTAGATTAAAAAAATGCAAGACATAAGAAGAATAATGAGATAATGGATGTTTTGGAATAATGTATTTAGTGGTAATAAAAAAAGGAAACAAAACAAACGTGAAGGAAATGTAGAAAATTGAAGGTTGGATGACAAATCAATAAAAATTGAATACTGCGAAATTTATGTTATTTGTTTAAATAAGTATGTAAACAGTCATATTAGCTAGTTTTTTATATTATAAATGCTTATCTTTATATTTTTCATTCTAATTGTTCCTATGATGGTATATCATTATCAATAAAATGTGGTGATATTAAGGTAACTTTCAATGTTTTAAATCTCTTTTGTCATGATTTAAAGGGAAAAAATGAAAAACAAAATGGGGAGAACTAAGTTCTATCACTTCTGTAATTTTTTTATACTCCCCCAAAGCAGGATTAAGATTATAATTGTTTTGATTTTTTTTGTAATATTAAAAATTAGTTCAATCATATGATAAAAACAGAAGAATTTACCCAATTTGTAATGAGGTCGACATCTTGTTTCTCATTAAGTGACATCTGGCTGATACCACTGTCATGGGATGCTGTATCAGTTACTTTGCCATCATAAGAGTAAGACTGGATTTCAGCCGTTGTCCTCCTTAAAGACCTATAAACTTGATCTGGGCTTAAAGGAGTTTCTGATTTCGATGAAACTGGTGTGGATTCACTGTTCGATACTGGTTTCCTAACTCTACACTGTATTAGACTGGCTGCTGCTTCCTGCAAGTAAAGTTTTGTTTTGTCTATTTTATCTGCTTGTTTTATACCGAATTCTTACCTGGTACTCCTTTGGAAGTTCAGTAAACCGTAGTGTGACTTGAGATGGATTCAGATTGAACAAAGCAAGAATGGCTTCTTGTGATGCTCTCCTCAGTTCACTGCCTTGTTTTATACTGTCCCCCATTGTCCAACCTGAAAATTTTATTAAATTTATCAGAATGATGTGAACGTAATATGGTGGTAAAAACTGCCCTACCGATTAGTTTTGTCAGAGCGGCAGTTGTAATGTCACGACTGGACCCTCCTGATGGTACTGGGAATGCTGCCATCGGATCAGCATTCGGTGCTGTTTTGGCCAGGAACTGAAGTACGGCCAGTTTCACCCTTGTATTAGGAGTTTGTGTCGGATCGACTAAAAACCTCAGCGCCCAATGGAGGACAGCCTCAGCCCCAAATGAATCCCTGACCGTATCTAATGTCCTGGCAATCTTACCCTGAATCGATGTTAGCAAATCGGAGCCGAGTTTGTTAAATAGCCTGGTCAAAAGTACGTAAAGCCAAGGTCTTAAATCAGATGAATGTGTCTTGATCAAATCGTTAACGGTATCAAGGAACAGTCCAAAGACCTAAATAAAACAAGTGAATTAGTTCCTTTAAAACAGAAATATTTACAAATTGCACCTACCTTTGTATGAGAATCACTTAGCATTTTTGTAAAATGTTCTGTTATCCTTGTAAGCTGATGGGGTGACAATGTGTTGCCATCTTGAAGATATACAGAGAGGGAAACAAGACCTTCTTTACGATCGCTCCAATGTGTGGAATCAAATGCTTGCATTATTTCCTAAATCAATAATTATATATTACTTTTTTAAAATTATAATTCAGAAAAAGTTACCGAAGTTAAAAGTTAAAAAAATTACTATTTTCAAAATTCTGAAACTGAAAAATAAAATTTGAAAAAGAAAGATTCAATACAAATGAAGTGTTGATATTAGATAATCATACTCTACTGCTAATTAATTAAAATAATTATGTGTTATACTAATTATTTTAGAATAAGTCAACAAACCTTGATTCCAAGCTCACAAGGTTCCCTGTAAAGTCTCGACTGAGAGCCACTCCATGAAAACGACTGCACACAAATGAAAAAGCACACACATATTTTAAGAGCGAGTATGCAGGCAATTTTACAAAACAATACTTTAAAAAAACTAATATTTTAATTACATTCAAGAGTTTTTGTCTTTAAAAAAAATAAAAACATTCAAGAAGAAACGTGCATTAAGGGCTCACTTTCAACTAATAAAATAGATAATAGACGCCGCATTTTACACCACAACATTAAAAAGAATCTAGTGAGAGTTAACAGAAATACAAGAAGGTATGAAAGAATAATAATAAGTACTTATTAAACAATGATTATTTGGAGATGGTGAGATGCAGTCTGGTTGACGCAGGTTTTAGGAAAAACATTTTCTTTATTGTGCCAATGTTTGGATCTTTATTGAGATCATCTTCAGGGCCTGGGATTTATAAACACTGTTTAAATTTTACAAATACATGTAGGATGTGAAAAAATTAATTTATACAATGCTAGAAAATTTTAGATAAAAAAAATGAATTTATTCAATGCAAGAAAATTTTAGATAAAAAAATGAATTTATACAATGCTAGAAAATTTTAGATTCAATCAAAGTATTTGTGCTCACTTAAAGTGTTTGTTTTCCGAGTAAATGTGTCATTCTTGTCTGTCTCGTTGACAGTGCGAGTGATATATTGGTGTTTATATACGTTGGGGATTTTGAAGGGGTGGGGAGGGAAAAAAAAGTCGGGAATAGAAAGACATTTTTATACGAGGAGTCAGCTTCTTTGATGTGAAAGGAACCAACAGAGCCAACAATAGGAAAAAATGGGGAATGGTTCGGGCCTGATTATTTTTTCAGGATTATATAGACAGGGCTAATTAGGGAAAGGAAAGCCAAACTGTCGAAGAATTAGACTATGTAGAAATATGTGATGTGTGGAATGTGATGATTTTTTATACGTTGCATTATGTGATGTGATGATGATGTATGTTATCGATATTGAATTTGATTAATGATATTAGCTTAGCTGCAACTGAGTTTACATGTGTCTGTACTGTAATTGATGCTGTGTTTATCCCTGCTGATGTAAACCATTTCTAAAAAGTTGTTTGTGTTTGTTTTGTTCTGTGTGCAATATTTTTGGATTGTTGAAGTCGAAATTGTGTTGGTGTTCAAAGTGGTGGGTAGGATTTTGTTTGGGTTTTTTGGGGCAATCATAGGTATGTTGCTTTTTTCACATCCTACATGTGTTTGTAAAATTTAAACAATGTTTATAAATCCCAGGCCCTGAAGATGATCTCAATAAAGATCGAAACGTTGGCACGATAAAGAAAATGTTTTTCTAAAAACTACGCCACACCAAACCGCATCTCATGATCTCTAATTAATCATTGGCTAACGGTCACTAAACATGACACATTATTAAATATTTACTATTTTATTGTTAGTTAGTTTTAATAGCAATGTATTTTCACCCTTAAAAGAAAATAACATTAATGTCTCCAAGTTATTCTCTTATGTTTTATCCGACTGACTCCTAATGACATCTTCACTTGGTCAAAATAACAACCACTGAAGATGACAACTCAATGACAGACAAAACCAGGCAGATAAAGCTACTTATTTTATAATAAGTATAATTTATCTCTTTTTGTTGGTTATTTCCTCAGTGTGGGGTTATAATTATTGCTCTTACATCTTATACATTTATTAAATTTTAGATTGTAGTACTTTTCAAACTCTGACCGGCTTCATTTCAATATCACGTGAAAGATTGACAACAGAGCTTTGAAAGCTCCACAATGAGAATAAATTATACATGTTGTATGAGTTATATAATTACAACCATACACAAACTTTATTGTTTCAAATCTGATAAATTAAGTATTTTTAATGTAAAAAATGGAGGTGGATTGTTTAAATCATTTTCTAGTCGATCCCAGTGCAAAAAATGTCCTCAATAAGTCTGTATTATGAAGACAACATAATAAAACAACAACAATAATAATAAAATTAACTAACTGGCAATTTTAAATTTAAAATTTTTTTTATTGATTTTTGTTTTAATTGTTTATTATTAACAAATAATTTGTAAGTTGTGCCAAATAATAATAAAACAGGCTATTTAGCATCACATGGAAAACTGCATGGAATTAGTTATTTAGATGATGTTAATTTTTTATATTGCATTAATCATTCAACAGCAAATTCAGGCAAGAAAATAAAAATAAAATAAAGCTTTGCCATACATAGCACCAGGTAATTTAATTTTTTCTGCAAGATCAGACGCAAGCATTGTTTTGTATTTCCTCTATTTATTTTTGTTTGTTTAATATTTAGTAATTATGTGTAAAATAAATATTTTTTATTTGTTATTTATTCCTTTATGGATTATTTTTATCATGTCATTTTTTTCAGGGCTAATAAGTGGTATAATAAATATTACTAATTTAGAAAAAATTACTTTAACATGAGAAAATTTAAATTTCCTCAAGTTTACTTGTAAGATCGTTATATGTTATAACATTATTTTTTAATGACTTTTTTATTTGTGAGGAGGGGGTTGCTAAGAACACATAATCCCCATAATGCACCATGCTAAGTACGAATGCCTTAACTCAAAATAGGCCAGGAATAATTGTTAAATCACTTTGCCGTATACACAAGATTTCTTCTCCTACTTACTTTTAAATGTGCAAGTGTTTCTGATTAAAAGTGTAAAGAAAGAATAATGATTGTAGTTACATCAGAGGTGCGGCGATGTGATGATTCGAAGGACCGTTCCGAGCAAACGGATGAAGTTTCACTGTCGTCAGATGGATCGTCGAGCCCGCGTATCCGCCTTGGCGAAGTTACCATGCTCAGCTCCCTTGGTTCGTACGTCTACATTCACACAGACACAAGTAACACAAGAATAAAAAACAACAAGTCAGAAGGAAAGAATTTATTTAGATTTTTTTTTCTTAAAGTGAAAATTAACAAACCAGAGCGTCTGCTAGAGCTGACTCTGCTTCGAGTGACTGCTGCAAGACCCTTTGTGACATTATGGGCGGCCTAGTTGGCAGCATGCTCCTCCCAGACATACTGCTCCTTCCTTTTAGGGACAATGGGGGAAGGAGTGGGTGGTGATGGGGATGATGGTGCATAAGACTGGTACCAGACCGGCCTGGAGATGTTTCCCTCGAACCTCCAAATGATGGCGAACGACGGCTACGGTCATTTATGGCTGAATTTGTCCCGTAACCGCCATAATTCAGTCTTGAAGAAGGAGATCCAGACCTTGAAGATGCTAAAAATTTAAAAAAAAAAATTGTCAACTTTGGTCAAATACTAAAAAAAGTTTTCAACTTTGGTCAAACATTTTCAAAGTTCAGTTCCACAAACTTGTGAAAAATGTTATGAGTTATGTAAATAACTAAAAGATACTGACTTTTTTCAATTAAGTAATTTTTTTAATGAGCGTATTTTAACTAAGTGGTTATATGAATCATCTGGGTAGTTTTGGAATAAATAAATAAAAGGCCCATTTGCAAGTGTGTTGGGTTCAAATGCAGGGATTTGAATTTGGGACCTTTACCTTACAGTGATAAACACCGTGTCGATGCAGCCACCGACACCACTTAATAATGTCGAAGCTAGGAAGTTTTTTTTTTACCATCAAATCAAACAATCTGACTAGAAATCTGCTCTCCAAATTACTTACTAACAACCTTACTAACTACTAATAACAAAAGGGTTGTGAGGACAGATGGTGAGGTTTTGACAGTTATGTTTATGTACAGGCTATATATTGAATGAAGTATTTACAATAAAGACAATACTATGAATTTTTCAATTCAGATGTAATTACTTATTATTTTCTTATTAACTTTTACAAGTTTTCATTATAATTGACTTACGCTGAGATTGAGAAACCCTTGTAGTTTTTCTACCTTGACGGGAATGCTCTGGGGAAAATAATGACGAGGAGGGAGCTCCGACTAGAGAACTTGGTCCAGAATCCGTTGTTTTCTTTGGCCGAGCTAAAAATGAAAAACTATTATTGACACATTTTTAATTCTTCAAGAAGAGTATTAATTGAGGAAGGTTCAAGCTTAATAGAGAGGAAAATGAAAAAGAAAGAGAAAAAAAAAACTTTTAAACAAAATATAAAGCTGGTATATATCAAAGTGTTCCAAATGAAAAATGTATGAATTAGGGCTATCCTACACAGTCTGTAGGAAGAAAGGAGTTGAATATGCAGAATATACATATTTTTTATTTAAAGTACCTCCATCCTCTAGAGTAAGCAGCATGTAAGCAAGAACTTGTTAAACCCAATCGTAATCTCCCGTACGTTTTTGTGCATTGGTTCCAATTGCAAAGTGCAAGCATAGTTTGCTTTTGTACAAAGCACAAGATTTATAATTGTCAACCGTTTAAAAAAAAATGCAAATTTTATATGTAATTCCAGAGAAAACTGCACTCGTAATTTTTAACACTTTTTTAAAATAGATTGTTAACTTACGTAAACTGGCATTCGATCCGACTTTTTGCCTCGCCATCGCTGCATACTGTGCCCGCGCCTTTGCTCTTTGTGCAGCTTGAAGGTCCACAGCTGAGTTAGACCTTAACGAGACTGGTTTTGGCGTGGAGAAACCTCTTCTGTTGACTGGGGTTTCTATATAAAATAAAGTTTAAATATATGAGCTAATAATTAGGCAATATTATACAGAAATAAATACAGGGCACATATAATAAATATATGTTTATATTAAAATTACCACAAATATATGTCTAAACTTATTAAAATTGATTTAATTAAAGAAACCGCATAATTGTTTAAACTATCTTTTATTGCTTCATCTTATGCTCTTTTATTACTTAGAGTAATAGTGAAAATTGTCTAGTTTTTATTCTAGCTTTCTTATTATCATTGTTTTGTATTTGTATACAATGATTGATACAGTGATTCATCTCAATCTTATAAATATTAAAAGCTTTGTTAATGGTGTTACTAGTTAAAGTCACACATTAGTCAAAGCACCTAGGAAAGGTCAAAAAATAAATACATAAAACAAAGTTTCGCTGTCTTTTTGTTCCTGGTCAACATTCCTGTTCCTTATAAAAATAATAAAACACATTTTAAGATGGAATTGAGTTTTCAGTAGATCTAAAAATAGTTAAAAAATTAAAAAGTTTTTGTTTGTTTGTTTTAAGCAAAACAAATTTGCTGATTCATTTAAATAAAATATTTTATATATATTTATTTGCTGAAATGTATTGAGAAAATGTTGCTGATCATCTCCAGGTTTACCTCCAATTTACTCGTTATTTTTCACATAATTGACAAAGACATTTTTTAATACATCTGTCGATAAACAAACCAATCCTGGTCTTATGTACAGTACATTGGTGAGACAAATCACCAATATTGCCCAGAGGACCAAAACCAACCAAGACGCTTCGCAAAAAAGAACTCGATACAACCACCTGTATGATGTGTACAATGGCAAAAAGTCTTTAAATCACAAGTACTGCAATTGAAGATGATTACAGAAGAATCTTAGAAAGGGATTAAAGAATAACGATAGAACCACCCTGGGTAATATCTAAGAGACCCCAGGATCAGATATTTCAGTTCTAAACAAAACTTACAGACCACTTTAGTTGTAAAAAAGAAAGAAATGGAGTTAATTCCAGGTAGGTACAATCTCTTGATACACCAACGTAAATGTTATACTGCCACATTGTCAAAATAAAATGAACACAAATAGGTTAATAAATTCTCTACAATCTGTAGAATGAAAACTGTACTTCTCAATTTAAAATTAAAGAGAAAAAATCTTTATTGGCTGATAAATAAATTTTAATTCATAACAGAATAAATTAAAATTACTCTTCCATCCTAAATTATTTTATCTATTTTGTTAATGAATACTTTTTTAACAGGTGTTTTATTCTATTAATTAACAATTATTATCAATATTATTTTAACATATTGATTACAGAGTATTCGCACGTCCTCAGATCATGCTGGAAGTCGAGTGCCACACATGAGGTCATATAAATATTTGTTTTTCGTCTATAAATTTTTAATAACTATTATTATGCTATAATTATTATTATTATTAACATTTATCAGTTTTGGACCAATGCCAACTGCTTTATGAGGCTCAAAGTTTACAATAAATGTCATTTCCTCCTCTTGCAAAGTATGTATAGTCAGACATGTATGCTATTTGCCAAAGATAGCATCTCATACGTATAACAAATTAGTTTTGAAGTAAAAAATACAAATAATACAGATTTAGATTTATTTATGTAAGAAAAAAACCTAATATCCAGCACCAGGACTTATTTTAATGTGAAGTCAACACGTTACGCATACAGATGGCTACTTATGAAATTTTAAAAAAATAGATGTATATACATCGATAGAATTGCTTTATTTATTTTAGCGTAAAGTGATTACTTTCTCCTCACACCCATGAACTATTTTTGAATAACCCTTTAAGTCACATCAATCCAAGAATTAAGCAATGTACTGCATATTTGACTAATAGCCTTTATAAATTTGATAATGACTCTAAGATTTGTAAATATAAAGGATAATGCTGCTAAGATTAACAGAAATTAAGAGGATTGGCATGCTCAATCAATTAAAACTAATACAAAATCATATTTGAGATAGAAATGGCAGACACTAAGATTATCAGCAACAATTAAATATTAGATTTTTTTAAATTTGTTAATTATTTTTAGAAATTAAGATTAAATGGCATTCCAAAAAAAAATTGATTTAAAGAAAACAATCTTGACACTTCAGATATCTTAAAGTAGATACCTTAAAATTAATCACTGAAACATATTTGACCAATCCTTCCAAAATGATCATTAGACAAAGCATAAAGAAAAATGTTTTATTAATTGGGTAAAACATGAGAAAAAAAATTAATTCAATTAGCGCTCGTAATTTTGTTATGTGCTTTTAATTTCACAGTTTTGGTTCTTTTAAAGACCTGTTGATTCTCCTTTATGTAAAACTGGGATGCTGGAGCCACTGCTGCGCCTACCGTAACCAGACCCAGTCAGATTCTCCATGCTTCCTCCTGAACGGCCAGCGTTGCGATGAACAGAATCAAATTTTTGCTTTTAGGAGTAATTTGGAACAAATAGCTATTTAATTTAAATTTTACCCTTGCTCTTTTTTTTTTTCTTTTGCAACTATAATACAAATTAATTTCATGAAGCAAGGTAACTCAAATTGATTACTTTTTTTTCAAACATTACAATGTAATAATTATTAATAACTTCTACAACTTGAATACATAAAACAAGTGTTTTCCCATATATTTTTATGTGTATTTGTTTTAAATTATGCTGCTTTGTTCTCAATACATAATAAATAATGTATAATAAGCACATTTATGTAAGTATTTCCATTTAAATACCTGTAATACCTGGAGGAGGTCTTGATTTTGACGAAGGTGTTGGCTGATTGAGAGAATTTGAAGACGAAGAGTTCGACATATCAGAATGCAAGCTTCTCTTATAATTAGCATCTAAGTTATTAAGCAGAATATCTGCTTGCTCTGGAAAGTGTTCCTTGAATGCCCAATAAACTCTAAATCAAGCAGAAAAAAAATCAATAAAATTATAAAAATTTATGTTTTACAAACAAAAATGAGAACTAACTTCCTAGCTGTAAGTCTGACTTCTTGGTCGGCATCGGTGATGGCAGAGCTTAGAGCATTTTGAAGTTGAGTTAAATGCTTATGCAATGGCGACGTCGGCCAGGATGAGATGATTTGAAGGAGATACTTTATAGAAGCTCTTCTTATCTCTCTAGACTTATGATTTGACGCTGCACATATGTGAGGAAGTAGACGAGAAGATGGTGTGTTTTTAACAATAAATCCTATGCACACTTGACCAGCACTTGCAACCACCTAAAATATGCAGGGATGAGGTAGATAAAACTAAACAATGAGTAAAAATTATGACTACCTTGGCGGAATTTTGAATAAGGTTGATCAGCACTGGAAGCATGCTATCGGCAAAAATGTCAAATCGATTTCCTAACTCTTGAGACATAAATGCAATTGTAACGCAAGCTTCTCTAACGACTTGAGACCTAAAAAAGATAAAACATAAAAAAACTTAATCACTGCTTTTAATTTTAAATCTTAAATTATATTCTATTATGGAAGAATATTAAAAACAATCCTCGGACTTCCACATTGACATATATTCTCAAATATGTTGTATTTGTAATTAATTAATTATAATTTCACCTTAAATCTTTTACTGATAATTGGAAAGGTTGATCTAATTGTCTTAAATGCACAAGAAACTCGTCATAACTATTTGCTCCAGCAATGAGTAAGGATCTGATTTTCTTAATCTACAAAATACAATTAGAAAATTTAGTTCAATAATTTGTAATTATGTTTATGAAGAAAAACAATAATTCTTTTCTTACAGCATCGACCCTTTTATTCCAGTCCTGGTCAGTGTCGGATATCACTTGTTTAATCTTGTTCAGATTATCTTCCAAATCTCTCAAGGAAAATATTTGGACCGTGGGCACAGCCTCAAATGCCCTAATGAAGCCCTCTTCATCAACAGCACCAGCAGCAGTGTTTGAACCAGCTTTGAAAAAATAACAAAAATTATATTAGAATTAGGCGATTACTTTTACACTACCAACAAAATACCTGGAGTGACAGATTTAGCAGAAACACTAGAAACATTTCGCTTGAGGGTCGAGCCACTATTTGGCGGTCTCTTGGGGGCTGTTGAAAACTAAAATAAAAACATATTAGTTAAAAACTTAATTTTTTTAATATGCTAAAATAAATTAAAAAGTGTATTAAATTTGGTTAAAATGTAGTTATATTCTAAATCCAATCAAGCACAATCCAATTACTTACGGAGAGCCTATCAGTTTCATCCTCCTCCAGTAAATCTGAAACAGAAAACACAAGGTTTAGTGTTGAATAAATAGCCAACAAAATGAAAAAATAAGTAACAAATGATGTTTAATGAAGTTTTATGGGTTCTCCTAATGCAACACAAATATTTGCTGTTCAAAGAATTGATAGATTGGTCATAAAAGCAGGACTGAGGAATTTATGGTTCTTTTTCTTTTTTTTATCTCAAGAATCCCCCTTCCACAACAAATTTGGGATAACATGTGGTCTCAATATTTTGGAAAAAAAGAAAAATTAATGTGTATTTAATGAATTCACACTCTAAAAACAAACCTGTTTTTTTTTTATGAGCATACACAATCTCGTTTTTATTTATGAAATATGTGTAGAGATTAGTGACCGTTAATCGATAGTTATTCAGATATCGTGAGATGCGGTCGGGTGTGATGTAGGTTTCAGAAAAACATTTTCTTTATCGTGCCAACGTTTCGATCTTTTATTGAGATCATCTTCAGGGCCTGGGATTTACAAACAATGTTTACATTTAACAAATACATTTAGGATGTGGATAAGTGAATTTATACAATGCAAAATATAAAATATAATATATAATAAAATATATTTTGCATTGTATAAATTCACTTATCCACATCCTAAATGTATTTGTTAAATGTAAACATTGTTTGTAAATCCCAGGCCCTGAAGATGATCTCAATAAAAGATCGAAACGTTGGCACGATAAAGAAAATGTTTTTCTGAAACCTACATCACACCCGACCGCATCTCACGATATCTGAATAACTTTATGAAATATTTTGTAAACAAGGTCTACAACATTTGCATGTGCATAATTGGCATAATAAAGTTATCTGTTTTTAAATTAAACATTATCTAGTGTGGAGAGCAAACACTATTAATTGTGGGTAAATAAATATATGGCATTTTAACCGCTATTTGCTATAAACACTGTAAAATTAACATTTTGCACGTTAAATAACTAACTAGGTAAAATTTATAAAATAGTTTTTTTGCTATGATGACACCCATTGTTAAACCGTCTAATCATTAGATAATTTTTTTTATTAATTATATAATATGTTTACAATTTGGAAACAAGAGACTTTGTCTAACAATAACACGATGACTACCTCAAGGACTCATACATTAATTACCATAATTCAAATCATGCATGAGTAGTGATGAATACACAGATTCAAGGATTAGCTTTCTTAAATTTCAGGAGGGAAAATACATATACTAAAATGATATTTGCTGTAATATAATTAATGTGTAATATGTAGAGACCGTTAATTAATGATTTATTTAGAGATCATGACCACATCCCACAATATCTAAATTATATAATACAAAATTTATAATTATTTCATATACAAATATTCTTACATTCTCTTGGTTCTAGCGATTTAAGAATGTTGTCCCATTGCTGTATCCATTTGTTTTCTTCTCCCCAGTCAATAGACCCCATTTGGCAATTGACACATGCGTAGGTATAATCACTACATGTTTACAGATAATTTTAAAAAAATTGTGTAAAATTTTTAATCTCTTGGTATATAAATCCTCTTGAAATTTGAAAAGACTTGGTTTTGTCGAAGTTTACAATTGAATTTGAACAGGGGAGCACGGCCTAAGGGAAGTGGGGGAGATACGATCGTGTGGGGTGGTGGGCAAATTGGTGGGGAAAATTGTTTAGACGGTTAATGGTAGGTGAACGATTAGCCTCCTTATCTCTTCATTTGTGCTGCTATTTGCAAACACCAAATTAGCCCAATTTTTGGGGAAAACACAATTGAAACTTCTCCAACTGTTCTCAGAGATCAGAATAAAACAAAACCTATTGTGAAAAGTTTAAAACCTTTTATAAAAGCTATTTTTACTAAATCGATTTATATCTTAATATATTAAACATAAACCTATTTAACCAAAAACAAAGATTAAATACAGAAACAAGACAGTGTTTTATTATTAGTGTTTGGCAACAATAATCTTTAAAACACCGAGAACGAGGATGATGGATCGATGGAAAAAAAAGAAAAAAGAAAACAGCATTGTGAAAATCTTTTCTGACAAAAGCTTTTGACAAGTTTGACATAATGAAATTGCCTGAATAATGGAGGGAAGTCAATAAAATAGGGTAATATTTCATCAATTGATTATTGACTCTTCTAAAAATAATTGAATAACACTGAATTTATCTATTGTGAAATATTTCAACTCTTAACAGAAATCATACAAAAATTGGCATTAAACTACAACAACTGTTTGTTTTGAAAAGTTATTAAATTATAGAAGAAGAATTATATTGTATTTATGAGCCTTTTTTTATAATAAATATCTAAACAGAAGTCAAGAGATTATATNAGAAAAATTAATGTGTATTTAATGAATTAACACAATAAAAACAAACCTGTTTTTTATGAGCATACACAATCTCAAGTTTTTATTTATGAAATATTTTGTAAACAAGGTCTACAACATTTGCACGTGCATAATTGGCATAATCAAGTATCTGTTTTTAAATTAAACATTTTATATATATATAAAGTTATAAATATATATAAAGAAACAGGTTGGAGTTATATTTACATTATCATTTTAAACATAAAACCGTTGGATTTTTTAAAACAAACCTTTTTTTTAAATGGCTCTATGTCTTCCATATTAGCCAGACAGAGAGACAAGAATGATGATATAAGTGTAAAGAGGAAGGGGGTGTGAAAAAAGCAAGGGCGATGATGGAAATTGAACCCACAATTGTGCAGTCTACGACATCACAAACCACCAAATTTGTTGTAATAAATGTGTTTATAATTTAACTGCCAAATTTAAATTGGTATGTATAACTTAACTTTTCAGAATTCAATTGATTTTATTAATGATCCTTATAGGCAATAAAAAATATTAAAACCTAAGCATTAAAAGTAATTAAAAGATTGCAGAATTGCAGAAAAATAAAATAAATAATGTTAACTCACTATTAGATGCAGTAGCTGTGGGAAAAAAGTCACCAGCGGTTTTGATTTCATCAAATTTTGCCATTAAAATTGGCATCCTGTAAAAGAAATATATTGCTGTTATTTTTTAAATTATTATTATATTATTTTATTTTATTATTATTATTTGTTTAACGATGGTATTTCAACTATAAGGTTATATTAACCTTCAGAGTGCCGGTTTTTGAAGAAAGAAGGAGGAAAAAAAAAGCATGCTATTAAAATGTCCAGCGGCACTGGCTTCGAACCCAGGACCTTTATCTTACAGCGATGAGAGCAGTGTCAATGCCTGAACCGTTGCAAACAGTGCCTTCTTTTTTTTTTCTTTTTTTTTTGGTCGATAAAGATATAAAATCTTAATGATTATAGTAGATCATTAACCTATATACTGAGAACTAGGGTCCACACTAATGAAATTGAATAGAAATTAAAGTGTGTGAAAGAAAGTAAAGTACAGAAATTTAAAATTGGAATTTTTGACAACAAAATAACAAGTTGTACTTTAATGCGTACCTCTGCCAGAGGAAGGTACTAAAGTAGTATCTAAACAGCACCAAAATTAAAAAAGTGATTTCTGTGTTTTTACTAAACACCCTTGGCCTTTACTGAACGTAGTAGTAGTAATTGTTGTAGTAAGATTGTACAATAAAGGCAAAAAGAAAATTGTGTAAATCTGAAATTATTTATATTTTAACAACTTACTTGGTAGGAGGTACGCTTTGTTTCTTGATAAGATCTGTCCTTAGCTTCTCTCCAACATGCCTGTAGACATTGGCCAGTGTACTCAGGGCATTGTCTCTCACAGCCGCATTTGGATCGCTCAGTAGTTTGACCAGGTTCGGGACGAGACGTGATACAGAGATACAACTCGCTCCATGCCTGCAACACGACCGTCATTGTAACATTGACAATGACAAACAATAAACACAAAAATAAAACAGAAGCACTCACTGATTAAGCGTGTTGTTAAGGCATTTCATTATTTCATCTCTAACATAGCTGTTTTTATGTGAAAAAGCCGGATGTAGCCTGTCAAACAATGACTGTGGCGTTATGACTCCAACATCCATTAGTTGACTCAGAAGTAGTTGGCATCTATCCCTAATTAACTCCTTGCTATCGCCTAAAGGCAGTACAATTACATTATGAGTTAATTGTGTAAATGACTTTTGTTTAAATTACCTAATCGGTCAATAACACTTGGGACTACAGTCGGTATATAAGGTTTAAAATAGTGCTCCATTCTCTTTGCAAGCTCTGTCATTAAATCTAACCCCATTTGAGACACCTGAAACACAATTTTGGTAAATTAAACAATAAAACACTTCAAATAAATTACATAACAATTAAAATTGTATGTTGCATTATGAATAAGTAAACAACTAAGATTTAGCGATTCAGATTAGAGATCATGCTGGATGCATACTGGTTTGACAGAAATAATAACTTTTATGTCATATTTCATCTAGTTTTTTCTATGTTTGAATTTCTATTTGCTCAAAAGAAGTTCTTTTTTCCTACAAACTCTAAATATTTATTTGTACAGAAGATAGGAGAAACACAAACAATTAGACCTAATATTAAAACGCATGACTGACAGGCACATCAAATTGTAACCACTCTTAAGTGGTCAACGTTAGGCTTGTCTTTTTGACATATGCCTTTTGTAGTTATTCTGACATCGGAATGTTAAAACTCTGCCAAAGGTACTTAACCGTGTCAAATGCATGATCGTTTGCAGTTAAAAAAAAAAATTCTTGGACTAAATCTAGATCAGCCGGAATTGCATACATGCACCCCCCCCCACACACACACACACCACAGCAGTATTGCATAAGTAATGAGATCTATTGTTCAATTTCAAAAGAAAACTGAATTTATTTTTTAGTTAACCTAAATTTGCATGTGTCCTTGAAAATTGAGTTTTCAATTTTTATTTTGTAGTTTATTGTTACAACTGTAACAACTGTAGAACTGTCTTCTAATTTTTATCATAATCTAATGTTGATCTGTGAAATTGTCTCATAAAATTAGATTTTAAGAAGAAAAAACCTTGTTAAACAGTACAAATAATGTTAAATTGCCATAAATAAAAACACCTTTACCGACTTGTCAAAAAGATTTTTGTACTTTGCATAATTATCTTGAAATATCTGTACAGATAAATAGTTTAAAAATAATGTTCTTTACATATACTCTTAAATTTTCTCTGAAAGTCAAATGGTTGATGGCACAAAAAGATCAGGGAGTTACTAGAAAATAATGACTAGAGAAAAAGAAAATATTTTTCAAGAGTACCTGGTACATTAATAACAAAATAGGAAAACATTTATTCAGGAAGAGTTTCTAATAAGATAAATAGCTGAAAATAATTCTGGTCATGGGACACACAGAAGTGATAATATTGAGTGAAAATAAAAATATACAGATAATGAAAGGGAAAACAAAATTTATAAGGTAATAATAATCAAACAACATAAACAAAAGTAAAACCCAAACACACAACACACATGCACGCATGTGGCACACACGGACATATGGCATATTTTTTTTCTCTAAAGTGTAGTAGTGAACGAATGTTTCATTCATGCTACAGTATAAAAAAAATTTCAATTTCTTGCAGTACAAGAAATACATTTAAATTTTGTTCTTCCCTGTGTAATAGGCATTTTGTATATTCACAGAACACTCTTGCCATACAATTTTTTAAAAACTTTATTATTACCACCTAAGCAGTTATCTAATCCATTAGGAGACAAGCCATTAAAACTGACCAACAATTTATTTATTTTAATTATTTATCGCAACATACAACAAACTTATACCAGACACATGTACAGACATACTTGTATGCCATTAATCACATTCAGATAGTACTTCATACAAGGTTACAAACTATGATGATAAAAATTAAGACGTTCATATATTGTTGAATAGAGAAATTTTGTTGAATGAAAGATAATTGATGATACTATTTATTTATTTTGAAAGAGAGATAGCTCTTTTTTTTATCCTAGGTACATGTTTATAAATGTTACTTTATTCTTCAGAATGCTTTGTGAATGGCTTTGAAATGGGAACAAAAATCGCCATTGTTACAATTTATTTCATAATCTTGCTATTTTGTAAATATTTATTATGAATAATTGTAACATTTACATACACTCATGCTGTACCTTTTACTGTTCATATGTAAACTATTTATGAAACTGGAAGAAGAAAAAAAACACTGAGTGGAATGGAATCAATTGAAAATATTGATTTAAAATTCAACAGACCTTAGCAGAAAGGGAAAAACATGTTGTCATGAAGATATTCTAACAAGAAAATGCATACAAGTAAAATTTGGATTTAAAAAAACAACAACCAAGACTGGACTGGACAAGTAAGGTACAAGCATACACAAGTATGGCACCACATACTGTTCAACCAGCAGTGGTAAATTTGATGATTTATTTACTTTTTTAATACTAAATATTCAATGAATATTATACTTTTAATATATTGCTTTGTACTCTTTTTGAAATTGTTAGAATACGATTGAATTGTCCAACATAAGATTTGTAAATAAAATAACAATATTGATTGAAAGACAAGACCAAAGACCTTTTACATTAAAAACGACTGGAAAAACGTGCAGCCTGGAAGATACATTAATAAGAAAAAACATTTAAAAAATGGGAGAAAACTAAGGATGGGTCATACTGTGCCACGATAAGTTAAGAATGGTTCTTGTATTAATTAAAATTTTCATCCCTGTAAGACAAAAACAAAAAAATTGACCTCATATTTCCTTATATCTATATACATCTATTATAAACATTATTTTTTATAAGTAACATTATACTTTTCATTTATTAATACTATACTATCTATGTAATTGGCTAGGCTGTTAAAGGATTTGTTCAGAAAAAACATTCAAAACTTACAGAATCACTTTTTATTCAATAATAAAATAAATTCATGACTGATATTTTGCAGATTTAAGCTAAAAAAATAAAATAAAATGAATAGAAAGATCTTTAAACAAAAATAGACAGAGAATGAGGCAGACCTAGAAGTACAAAAATAATGAAGCTACTGGTTCTTCTCGGAGCCGTCGGCACAATATTTCACAACAAAAATATGGAATGAATTTGTACCTTTTGTTAATGAAAAACAGAAAATTGTATTCTATTGGTAAGAGATTACTGAAAATTGATGAAAATTAACAAAAATTTCGACCTCAACAGTTTTAGATATATTATCCCACCTTCAAGAAGGAAAAATCATAAATTAACAAAAATAGAAAAGATGTGAGCCATCAAATGATCCTACACTGATATAAAGTGGTTATCGACAAGAATTTAGAATGATATTTTTATGGGTCCAAAAAGACGTGAGGAAAAAAAAGAAGTGAAACAATGACAGTCAGTTACTTACTACCTCTTAAAAGAACCATCGAGTCAATTGAAGTGATCTGAGGAACTAGAAAAAGTAAAAGAAAAAGAACTAGAGAAAAATTTAATTAAAAATGAACCAATAATAGACAATATGTGAACCATCCTAAAATTTGATATAAAGTGTTATTATTAACACCAAGACTGTTAATTATAACTTATTTTCCTGTGTTTAATTTAAAAAGGTAAATTTCTTTAAACAGGAAGGACGCAATCACCACACAGACCTCGATATAATTAAATGTACAGAATGAATTTGTACCATACGCTAATGACAAATGGAAAAACATGTATTTAAGATGATCTATTAGTAAGAAGTCAGTTGAGTTAAAAATTGAGAAAAATTACCCAATAACAGACACGATTCAAGCCAGCCCACATTCAATATAAAGTATGATGTTTTTGTCAAGACTGTCCATTGTTCACTTATGTTGCAGTATCAAATAAAAAAATAAATAAATAAAAATACGGCAGACCAGGGCAATCAGAGATGATAAAGCTAAAAGATCATCATCCCACATTCAACACAATACTTCTAGACAAAAATGTGGTGTGCATTTGTGTACCTTGTGTTATTGAAAAATGAAAAAGTATATATTTAGGATGAGCCTTTGGTATGAAACTATAGAAAATTGAGAAATAATAACTAATAAAAGACAAGATGTGAGCCATAAAATCACACTGTATGATGATCGTGCTATATAATAAATTTGTATTTCATGTTAATGAAAAACGTGAATATATGTTTTTGGGACGATCTTTTAGTAAGTCCATTCATGTTGCAATACTGAATTAAAATTAATTAAATAAAATTAATAAAATTAAAAATAAATTACAGGAGTTTAGGAAGACCAGATTGAAGACAATCAAGATACAAGTACATAATCACATGGACCTCGTTAAAATATTTCACAACAAAAATATCGAATAAATTTGTTCCTTACGTTTGAGAAATATTGGAAAACATGCATTTAGGATGATATTTTACTACAAAACTATGAAAATTGATTTAGAAATTAACCAATAATGTGACAAGATGTGAACTGTCCCAAAATTCACCAAGCTGTTTATTATTAACTTGCTTTCCAGTATTTTAATAAAACAGCAAATTTCTTTGAACGGGAACAAGACAATCACCTCACACACCTCAAAACACTATACTTGTGTACCTTATGTTAATAAAAAAATGTAAAAATATACATAAGGATGAACTATTTTAAGAATTTGTTCTATTTATAATTATGATAATGAAGAAAATTGTGTAAAACTTAAGAAGAAAATTGGTGTAAAACTTAAGAAGAAAATTGGTTAAAAATTACGAAGAAAATTGGGTAAAAATTTATGAAGAAAATTGTGTAAAAATTGAGTAAACTAAACCAATAATGGACAAGATGTGAGCCATCCCTTTGGTATGAAGCATGATGGCAGTCATCGAGACCATTCTTATCATTTATGTCACAGTTCCAAATAAAAAATAAATTACAGTCGTCTAGAAAGACCAGGATGATTTGAGATCAATCTAAACACATCTTCACCTCACAGACCTCTGAAAAATATTTTACAACAGAAATATCGAATAAATTTGTACCTTCTGTTTACGAAAAATGGAAAAAATCTATTCAGGATGATCTTTTAGTAAGAGACGATCAAATTAAAAATGAAAAAATATTAACTATAAATGAATAAGATATGATCAACTACTTTGATATAAAGTGTGATGGTTATCATCAAGGCTGTCCATTATTCTTTTATGTTGCTGTATCAAATAAAATTTAAAAAAATTAATTATCACAAGTTATCACAAGACTTGGATGATCGAAGACAAGCATGCAACATGTTAATCACACCACATACTTCGGCACACATGTTCCTTATGTTAATGAAAAACAGGACAACATACTCTTAACATGATCTTTTGGTAAGAAACTACTTTAAGTTTAATTTGAATTAACCATTAACAGACATGTTTGAACCATCCCACATATGTTGGAAATTAAGGTTGTTCTATGTTGTTCATTTATGTTGCAGAGCCGAATAAAAAGTAAATTACGGGAGTTAAGAAAGGCCAGAATGATTATAAACCATAAACGATCATCATCTCACAGTCCTCGGAATCATAATTCACAACAAAAATATTGAATAAACGTGTACCTTCTGTTTATGAAAAATGGTAAACTATCTATTCGATGATTTTTTAGTGAGAAACCACTGAAAATTGAATTGGAAATTAACCTATAATAGATACGTTTCAAGCTATCCAAAATTTGGTATAAAGTAAGATGTTCGTTGTTCATTTATGTTGCCGTATCAAATTTAAAAAAAAAATATTGTTTTCAGAAGATCAGGACGATAGAGACAACAAAGATAGATGTTCATCATCCTACCATCCTCAGCACACCATTTCACAATAAAAATATGGAATGAATAATATACTTTATGTTAATGAAAAATGTGTATTCAGAATGATCTTTCAGTAAGGAACTACAGCAAATTGAAAAATATTAACCAACAATGGAGATATGTGATCCAATATTTTGGTGTAAAGTGTGATGGTTATCATGAAGACTGTCCGTTGTTCATTTATATCCCATAGTCGGTATATAATAAGACTGTTGTTTGTTCATTTATGTTGCAGTACGAAACAAGAAATAAGTTATTGGATTTATTCATAACTCATCTCATAGTCCTCAGAATCATTTTCACAACAAAAATATTCAATACATTTGTACATTCTGTTTATGAAAAATGGTAAACTATCTATTTGATGATCTTTTAGTAATTAAATACTAAAAATTGAATTGGAAATTAATCAATAACAGAACAGTTTTAAAGCCATCCTGCATTTGGTATAAAGTAAGACGTTCTTTGTTCATGTACTGAATAAAAAATAAATTACATGAGGTTAGAAACTAGGATGATCGAAGGAAATCAAACTACACAATCATCTCAAAGACCTCAGCAAAATATTATAGAACAAAAATGTTGAATAAATTTATACCTTCTATTTGTGAAAAATGAAAAAAAAAAAAACATATCGAGTATGATCTTTTAATAAGAAACTACTGAAAATGGAATTAAAAATTGAAAAATATTAAGTAACAATGCTCAAGATGTGATCCAACATATCGTACTATGTGCGATGGTTATCGTCAAGACTGTCCATTATTCATTCAATGTTGCTGTCTCGAATAAAAAATAAACTACAGGAGTCGGAAGACCAGGACAATCGCGGATGATCAAGCTACGTGTTTATCGTACCACATACTTCAGAACAATACTTCACGACAAAAATGTTGTCCCTTATGTTAATAAAAAACGGGAAAATATGTTTTTAAGATGATCTTTTAGTAAGAAACTACTGAAAATTGAATTGGAAATTAACCAATAATGGGCGGGTTCTATGCCAGCCCACACTCCAGTATGAAGTTTGATGGATATTGTTATGATTGGTAAATTTATTTCCAATTGTTTAATTAAAATTGAGTGACTTTGGCTCATGTTTTTATAGTTGACGAGCTGAATTTATTTCATTGAAGGACAGTTGCCTTGAGAGTAAAAAAAAGGATCTGTTGCACCAACCACCTTCTGTGATGATTATTATAATGTAAATAAATGGCACAGACCATGAAACTGTGTTAAACCGTTGAGAAAAATGGTATTTGATAACATATGTCGATTGAATTTTATGGTGGGTGTGAGATGTTACCTTCGAGTTGCTGCATTGCATCCACGGTATGAGGGAGTCGACGACGTGCCCGATGTCCTGGCACTCGATTGACCCGTCCCTCTGGAGGTAGAGGAGCAGCTCCTGTCCGATGACCAGCTTCTGTTTGGTGTCCGTCGTGTTGCTGATCAATGGCAAATAGCTGTCCATGTCTTTGACCATTTTGGACGAGGTTTGCCTGTCGCGAACACTTAAAATACTCAAGATGCGTAAACGTCTCCCTAGCGGTCGACTTCGATCATTTCATCCTTTTTCCCCCTCGGAATTGAATGCACCCGCGACGCAAGGGCGAAAAACTCAACACGCGCTAACGACAAAATCCCTGGCAGTCCATAAAAGAAAAGTTAGCTTACGGTAAAACTGGAATATTTAAAAAAGGGTGGCGGAATCAGAAGCCAATTTTATAAATAAAACGAACGGAGCGTGACATTGAAAAAGTTGATAATTTGTCAAAAGTGGCCGACATCTGATTTTGGTTTTTATTTTTAAAAATTAAAACAATCGATTAATGTACTGTGGAAAATGCACCTTTCCTCCTTTTCACATCGCATCGGACCTCCGAGTGGGATTGTAACGGCGGAGAACGGATTTTTAATCAAAACATCGAAAAAATGGGTGGGCACATAAAATCAAGGAGAATAGTCCGAATGAGTTTATCCTTCTTCATATTTTCCCTTGGCAGGTTTCGAAAAGGCCGACTTTCCCGACTCGCCACCCGTCTTCCTCGCAGTTGATATCTGACAGCAGGATAAAAAGTCTCCGTCCTTCCTGTTTCGACTGGGAAGATGGCACGTTACGACACGACTTTAATTTGACCGAGTCTGTACTCAGGACGAATTATTCAATTCAATAACATTACGAGACTGAAGCCTCGACAAGTCTACACCACCACCACCGTGCGCAGTCGGTCCGATTCGAGTACAACTCGGTACAAGTCTGTACAATCCACCTTCGCCCTAGATTTATTTTTATTCGGGAAAATATTAACAAAGATAAAAAATTAAAAAACAAGGAATGGACGATACAGAAAGTAACCGTACGATAATTTTCACAAGGCAATTTTTACATTGTTAGAAGGAATTGTCAAGTTTGGAGAAAACCTTGAAATCCAGAAAGGCGCCTCGTGGGAAGTTTCAATTCTACTAATCCACTTTACAAACTAAACTCAGCTTATAATTTTATTACTGATGATAACAAATAAAAAACGTACACAATTATGAATTTATTCAATATTCAATGAACGAAAAAAGAACATTATTTACAAAAAGAAAATGCATTTATATACTTAAGGAAGTATAACCGAAATTAAAATAAAAACAGTACTTATACAGTATAAATTATTAAACCGTCTGCTGGAGGTGGTGGTCGGCTGTGAATCACTTGTATAGAAGGTAATTCGCACATACAAAGATAATAATAAAAAGTAAACAAAATTAAATTAGATTAAAACTGTTAGTGCTTCTCAATATAAATATAGAAAATTAAACTGCTCCATGAGCTCTCTCCGATACTCCAGTGGACTCTGCAAATCCGACCAGGTCTGAGCAATCTGGTGAATTGAGCTTTGCGACCTCAAAACTATAGTTCCCAAAAAAAACTTGAAACTCCGAGAGAATGGGACACTAAGCAAAAAAATGGAAGAGGTCTTCCCTCATGCAGGAGTTAGACAGTGAGCAGCACTCAACTCAACCATCTCTCACAAGGGAGTAATTAAGGTTGATAAGTTTGCACCTGAGTTTGAAGAACCAGCTTAAATTGATAGAGAAAAACTTTAGATTATTATTATAAAATGTCTGAATGATCACGTTCTTTGTAGAGTAGAAATCTATTGGATCTAAGAGCCAGTTCAAAATGCCTTGAACAAATGGATGATTCAAAAGCCAAAGATTTGGAGACCCAGTCTTCATGATATGTAGTTAAACCAAAACAAATACTTAATATTAAATCTTGGGCTAGAGAATTAGAAACCATGATAAATTAACATTAATTATTTTAACTGTTGTAATTTTGGATAGTCTGCAGTGAGAGTGTCCTTAGATATGATAGGAGTTTGAAGGTATAAACAAACAAATGCTAATGTTTCTAAGAATAATATATAGTTAGGTGTGCAATTCGGGAGGTGAAACAATTTACAAATATTAAAAAAAAAAGATTCAACTAGTTTGAACTGCTGATACCCCCAAACCTGGGAAGCATAGCCTTAAAAACCTTGGACTTAGCGTTAGGTGGAATTGAAAGGTTTGAGAGAAGGTTGAACCAGAATTGATTGTATATTTTGTTGTATAAATTTCTTTTTTAGGTGAGGTATTAGAGAGTTTGGGGGTGAAGTACAACCCCAAGATACATATACTCACTCACAATGTCAATTCATCTGCTACCAAAGAACCAGCGCTCCTTATTCGTCATCCTGCTCCCTTTATGAAAAACTAGGATTTTGGATTTATTTAAATTTACTGTCAGGTTCTACTGAGAGCAATAATTTTCTAAAGCATCAATTACTTACAATAATAATTATAATATTATTATAATTATTACTTACAATAATAATTATAATATTATTATAATTACTACACGCTTGCAAGACAGATGGAGAGGTGGCCAGAATGACTACATCATCAGCATAGAGCAGGCTTTTAATTATTACACTAGAACAGCAAATTTCAAACTCTAAAGCATCAAGAAGATCATTAATAAATAGCAAAAACAGCAAGGGGCTAAGGATGAAGCCCTGTCTAACCCCAGAACATATCGGGAAATATTGAGAGACCTTGTCAACTTTAACAGCAAAACTTGAATGGTCAAATAAGACAGCTAGCATGTTATAATAGCAGAAGAGACTTAAGTTTGCGATCTTCATAAGAAGAAGCCTTTCGTCAACTGAGTCAAAAGCTGCCTTAAAGTCAACAAAGAACACAAAGGTTTTATTTCTCCTTTTTGACATTTCCAGATTAACAAAATTCATAAGCAAGAAGACATGGTCAACTGTGGAGTAGCCTTTCCTAAAATTGACCTGAAATTAGCTTAAAATATTTTTTTCGTGTACAAAATCTTCCATGCGATGAAGTAACAGACTAGAGAAAACCTTTGCAATTGAGTCTATACATGAAATACCCCCGGTTGGGGTCGGTAGGGAATTGAACCATCTGCAGCTTAGTGTAATCGGTTTTAAACATATTTCCCCAAATGGGAGCACCATAAGTTATTAACAGATGTATGTATAGTTCATAAATGAGTTTTTTATTTTTACCAACCATACATGAACACTTATTAATAACCAGTGTTGAACTCCTTAAATGGCCCATGCTTTTCAGCATTTTTACTAATATGGTAACTAAAATTAATTCTGGTATCCAAGGTATTTTGCAAATTATTCTACAAGTCATTAAAAATCTTTCTTATTTGAAAATTAACAAATCAAAACTTTTTCTAAAAGTGCAAATAAAATATCTGACACATTGCCACTATTTATTTATTTATTATTTATAAGTAAATATCTCAGTTACAAGAAAACAAAATGCCTGAGTGATTACATGAGATTTTTCTTCCATCCGATCACAATGTTAATCACAAGCCATGTAAATCTCTGTCTCATATATGCTATTTCATATCTGATATTGAATGTAATATTCCTCATTTACATGGATGAAACAAAAACACTTACATAAAATAAACAAGTATTACACGTTACATAAAATAAACAAGTATTACACGTTACATAAAATAAACAAGTATTACATTTTAATGTAAAATAAAGAATGAATTTTCTTCCTGTACATGTTATCAACTTGTGTATTATTCATTTTAAGCAGAAGGCTCATAATCTTGAAGCCATAATAGTGAAGACAAAAATATCAATGACTTATTGGACATTTGAAATTGTTTCAGGTTCTTGCCTGTTTTAAATTAAAATATTGCTATTTTCATTTAATATATTTTGTTACCTTTGAAATATATTATAATCAGCTCTTTATTACTTAACCTCAAATGCATAAGAATCCTCTGTTTATACATTGGGATGAAATTTTAGTTTAGATAATACATCAATCCATATATGCATTTTAGCAGTCATAATGACCATATTGATTATTTTAATAAATTATACTTTTAATCTAAGGTCTTGGTCGAGATGAAAAAGCAAGTGTCATGAGCAGGATTCGAACCCATGACCTTTGACTCAATATGCTGCTGCTCTAACCACATAAGCTATCGTAACTTCACTTGAAGTCCTTACATTCACTCTAATAAATTACTTTTCCACACCAGACTTCATTCCAAAGTACTCGTTATTCCTTGGGGTGATTGAGAAAGAACCCCTTCTATTCACGCTAATAAATTACACAATTAATTAAGGTTTTTAGTTGAGATGACAAAAAGTTAATGGCACGAGCGGGATTCGAATCCACGACCTTCGGCTTGATACGCCGCTGCTCTACCACCTGAGCTATCGTGACCTCGATCCACTCGGACATCAACTCCCCATCTCAACCCCACCTTATGAGTTTTCCCTCCTTTTGCCATTTTTCAAATGTCGTGAAATCGGTTTGGATTCTCGACGACAATTGAAATGGCGACGGAGAGCTTTAGTGAAGTGTACTTCATTTTAATTAATTAAATTCACTAATTTCGTGGTCCGCTTGACCAATTAATACTATACATTTAATTAAGGTCTTTAGTTGAGATGAAAAAAATGAAAAATGGCAAAAGGAGGGAAAACTCATAAGGTGGGGTTGAAATGGGGAGTTGATGTCCGAGTGGATCGAGGTCACGATAGCTCAGGTGGTAGAGCAGCGGCGTATCAAGCCGAAGGTCGTGGGTTCGAATCCCTCTCGTGCCATTAACTTTTTTTCATCTCAACCAAAAACCTTAATTAATTGTATAGTATTAATTGGTCAAGCGGACCACGAAATTAGTGAATCTAATAAATTACATTCATACATACCAGACTCATTTACACCGCCCCAGAGTACTTCCTGTAAGTATTCCTCAGGGTCTCTACTTTCACACTAATAAATTACAGTCACAAACACAACAGTTCATTCACACTGCCCCATACTACTCAATATTCCTCAAGGATTGCTTTCCCGCAAATAAATTATAATCTCACAGACCAAATTTCATTCTCACTGTCCAAAGTACTATACTAAAAATAATTATAATGTATTGTATAGCTGGAATTGCAGACGAGCTACTAGGCTTAGCTCTGTACCCGCGTGTATGTATTTACGTGTACGTAGATTTGGGCTTAAATAAATCAATAAACAGATTTTTAAATTTTTTTTTAAGTTGTCCTTCCAATGAATCCGTAATTGTCCTATAGTTATAGTTGTTTTACGCAGGTTGACTAGCCTTGTTTAGTAAAATATGTCATAAAGAATTAAATATTTCTTTTTCACTTTTAAAAACGATTGAGACAGTGCCAAACTTCCAACTTTCAATAATCGATGTTTCAAATCAAGAGGTTTGCATTTAATTTTAATGTCTAGGACTAATATAATTTCTAATCATTTTAAGCATTTACGTACGACTATAGTTTTAATATTTATAAAGTGTTTTTATTTACGAAATATAAATAAATTATAAATAAACCAATACGTAATTTTTATAATCGTACTGTAATGTGAGAACTTAGTGGAAAAAAAGGGATATTTACGTCTTTAACAAAATGGTGGATTTTTCATTTAGTTTTTTAAATACCTTGTAATTAAAATACTCTTAATATTTGTTTTGATTTTGTTGTTAAAAATATAAAATAAATGTGTCTAAATTTCGAATTGATGAATTTACAGGCATTTGGACAAGGGTTAAACTATTATTGAACATGTGATTGCTGGACTGCAAAATTGAAGTTTTAAGGCCTCAAAAATCGAAGTATTTTCTTAATAAATACTGTAGTTTCAGGGGCGAGTGAAATAGTTTTTTTTTTAATTTGTGTGTAGCGGTGGTTTTAAGGCATATAGTAGAAAAATGTATCTTTCGTCAAGAGAAGTGGTGAAAAGCTGCTACAAGAGTAGATTGGAGGGCGAAGACGGATTGAATCTTGTCTCAGGGAGGAGAATAGCTGCTGCCGCACCCGCACCTTCGCCCAAGTTGGTTTCTGAGTCGAAAGGTGTCGAGTACGGTAGTACAAAATATTTCTTTTTATGCGCCTTGGGCGGTATCCCGTCCTGCGGTGTTACTCACGGGATAGTCGTCCCTCTCGACCTGGTCAAGACCAGGCTGCAGGTCAACCCGGCGAAGTACAAGGGTCTTTTCAACGGCTTCAGGGTCACCGTGCAAGAAGAAGGCCCCAGAGCTTTGACAAAAGGATGGGTCCCAACTGTCATCGGCTACTCGATGCAGGGTGCTTGTAAGTTTGGATTTTATGAGTTTTTTAAGGTTTTCTATGCAAATGTCGTCGGGGAGAAGATCGCTTTCGATTGGAGGACCACCCTGTATCTCTGTTCTTCAGCTTCGGCAGAGTTTCTGGCTGATATTGCTCTCAGCCCATGGGAAGCGACGAGAGTCAAGATGCAGACGACAAAAGGCTTTCCAACAAAACTGTTACCGGCGTTGAACAAGATGTACCAAGAAGAAGGAGCAAATGCCTTTTTTAAATCCCTCATCCCGCTTTGGGGGAGGCAGATCCCTTACACGATGATGAAATTTGCCTGCTTTGAACGCACTGTTGAGCTAATTTACAAAACAGTTATACCTAAACCTCGGGAACAGTGCTCCAAAGGTCTTCAGCTTGTCGTCACCTTTGCTGCTGGATACATTGCTGGAATTTTCTGCGCCATTGTTTCCCACCCGGCCGATACTATAGTCTCGAGATTAAACCAGGAAAAGGGGTTGACTGCAATGCAAATAGCGAAAAAATTGGGCTTCGCCAATTTGTGGAAGGGCCTTACTACGAGAATTTTTATGATAGGTACCTTAACAGCGCTACAGTGGTTTATTTATGACTTTGTTAAAGTAGCCCTCAACATCCCACATCCCCCTCCTCCAGGCCAAAAGAAGAATTAAATTATTTGATATTGTAAACAATCCTTTATAAAAAAAAAAAAATCAGCTAATAAATACTTGTTCCAATAATAAATACTTGTTATTACATTTTTACTCCTACCTATCATTATGGTAAATTGACTTATTACACACCAAGTTTTTTTATTCTTTTTTTCCCTATACCTTAGGCAGAAACTATACTCTGACAAACCACACGAAACTAAAAACTGGGTGTGACACATGAAAAGGGGGAAATTTTAAGCTTATCATCCTCTTCAGGCCTTGCCTCATGAAGGTGAGGCTTAAAAGGAGGGTAAGGGAATTTATTTTCCTTGAAATTTCAGTTTCACTTACTTTTATAAATAATTAGCGTATTGTTTTATTTTTTAACGAGGGTATTTCAACTACAAGGTTATATGAACCCCTGGGGTGCTATTGTTTTTGAAAAATAAATCAAAAATAAAATTCTTTATAATACAATAATTATCTTAATTGGTATTCAGTGGAATAAAGTGCTTAGTTTTCAAAATAGTATTATTTTCAAAATAATTAAACTCAAAACAAAAATTTAATTTTATTAAACATGTAAAAAATTTAATCAGAATAGTCGAACTTCATGAAACACCAATATTTTGTAACAACAATACAAATATATAAGGGTTTATCTCATAGTATTTATAGAAGTAACACAGTTTCTTTCTTTTTGGTTCTATAAATTTATTTACAATTTATTTTAAATCAAATTTATTTATTTTCAATTTTTTTAAAATCTGAAAATACTATCTTTCTGCAAAGAGATCTTTTATTGTGACCATCCTGTTAGGAATGAATTTGGTATCATTTCTAATCAACTTCTCAAAGATTTGTTCCTGTGATTTTGTCCCGATTATCGTCAGCAGTGAATTGCTGGTTTCTAAATTCCAGTATGCATTTCTCATCGCCATTCTCAGCCTTTCAACTTCCTCAGAACTCATATTTTTTGCAACGTTGAGACCCTTTTCAAGCGGGTTCGCAACGTATATCGGGGAATAATCTGGCTTCGAGAACGGATTCCCAGTGCTCAACGATATTGCGAGAGTTGAAAAATCAAAGTTTGTGTAATATTCAAAGAAGCCTCTCAAGAGCGAGGCAGAATCCATCTTGATCTTTTTTTTCCAGCTGAACTGCGATAAGTCCCGGCAAAATGTGCAGTCTATGTCTTCTGTTGTCCTTGAGTCGTCTTTAGCTGTGGACAAAGAATGATTCTTGCTTAAATGGAATAAATGATTATTGTTCAAATTTCTTGAATAAACAACAATTACTTGCACATTTTCTCAATCTATCCAGAGAGGGAATAATGGAATGAACTTGCATATAGAAAAGGCAGAGAAGGGTTAATGTGAAGTTGGTGATCCATCTGCCTGGAGACGGGTTTGTCAAACCAACAGAGAACGCCCACTGCTTTACAGTGAAGACTAGCTCTCTACTTAAATCAGGTTCAACCGACGCAAGCAGGTAGAGGACTTCCGACATATACACTCCTGTTCTATAAGATAAAAACAATAAATTAAAAAAGTACAATAAATAATCTTATTTCGACAAATTACTTACAAATTTGACATAGAAACATCACAGTCTAAACCAGTTATACCATTTGTGTATTTGACAATGGGTACTCTTGCTTGCAATATTCGCTTCACTCCAGTACATCCTGGAAGGTATACCTTAACAAAATAAAAATATATTTATTAACAACAAAGTTTCAAGGAATGGGTATTTTAGAAATTTTTTTGTTTGGTATGTTAAATGCAGTGTGGATGTAAGATACTGAAATGTTTTAAAATGTTGTCTCACTAAAGCATCATAAAATATGCTCCAAATAAATTTCAGAATTGATAAATTGAATGACTTTTGGAGAACAATTCTACAAAACAAAGATCATGTTTTGTTTCCATATCAGGTAGAGCAGGCTAATTGTTACAGGTAACTGGACAGAATCATTTATAATTCTAATCATTTCCATTCTGAAGGTTGCATTTGATAAAATAAAATTATAAAACATACTTGTATCACATCAGCAAGGACTTCCATCTGCCTTTGAGTGTGCACTCTTGAGCCACCTGAATTTATTTTACATTGGTAGATAAACCGCGAATCAAATATGTATTTGTCTTTACAATGCTGGAAAGAATATAAATAATAAATTTTAGTATTATTTATAACTATAGCGATAAATAATGCAATAATTACCGGAAGGAGAAAATAGTGTTGAAATACAAGATCCACATCACACCCATGCCTCCCAAAACTGTTTACAGAGGAACCAAAGGGAATTGCAGCACAGTGAGGAAAAAGACCAGTGAAGGGCAATTCCAACTGCCTCGCAGTCAGGAAACGCAGCCTGGTCCCGAGTTCACCAAGTTTAGTCGTCTCGAACAAAATTTTCATGCCATCTGAAACCTGGACAATGTAAGGATGCATTTCCTTGTACCAAGGACTGCTAAGTTTAAGAAAAGGGTGACATTCATCTCACCGATGGTGCAGCAGATATTAATTCGACTAATTCGGGCCAAGCAATTGGAGTTTCGGCCTGCCTGAGTGGTGGACTGGTAGATTCGGCAGGTTCGAACTTTTTATTCTTTGCGGTAGCTTTAAACCATACAACAGGCGATGTCACAGGGACCCTGATCTCTCCTGAGGTGTTCAATGGCCCGTGAGAACATTTTGGCAAAACTGTGTTCACCACGTCTTCAGTGAATTCTACGAGGACAAAGTGCTGCAGGGGAAATAATGGATTAAATGACTGAACAAAAAGAGATTGTCATAACGAAACGGCTTACATTCTTTTCAAAATTGTAATGGAACATGCTGATGACCGGGGAAATTGTCTGGCAAAAGTTATACAGTTCTGAGCAAGAAAGTTCTGACTGGACTTGAACAATGATACTCTGTGCAGCCTGTCTTCTCCTGTTTGTCAGCATATCCTCAAATTTTACAAAAGAGTTCTTAGCTTCACTCGCATCTGCTCGAACATTGAATTAAATATATGAGAAAAAATTATCATATAATTAAAATACATTTAAAACATCAAAAGTTTCCTTTACATTAACACACACTAATTTAACATAATTTTAAGGTCAAAAGCAATCTGAATCAATTCAATCTAGAAAATAACCAGAACCATAAATAAATAATAATACAGTGGGATGTATCAGGAACTTTTGTGTTTTATGAATGCTTGTGAAGAAAAAGAATATCCACCTCAGTTTCAACATGTAACACGTAATGAGATGTGGCAGAAGGTAGGGCAAATAGTTTCTTTATAAAGAAATAATGGATTCTCTCAAGTACTCCCAACTTGGGCATCGTAGCAAGTTAAGCAGTGATGTCCACTTAGTAAGCAATATATTTAATTTAAATAAATCAATCATCTGTGATGTCATCTACCATTTTGAATCAGAAAATACAATAAGATTTTCTGAAAATGAGGAAACGAATAGGCTCACTCATTAGGCACATTACGGGTCATTTATGTGATAGTTGTGAAAATTAGCTAGTACAGTTAGCTGAAATTTTTTTTCTTCTGAATGAAGGCTATCCAAAAAATTAAATATAATGTCCTAAGTGGATTTTTCAAATAATTTAATTAATTCTATTTCTATGAGTCAAGACAATTAACTATTAATAATTATTTCATGTATGTAATTTTTTCAATTAATTATACTTTTTATCTAAGGTCTTGAATGAGATGAACAAGTTGGAGTCACGAGCGGGATTCAAACCCATGACCTTCAGCTCGAAGACACGATAGCTTAAGTCGGCAGCGGTGTTCTTAGCCGAAGGCCGTGGGTTTGAATCCTGGTTGTGATACTAACTTCATCTCGACCAAGCCTCTAGATAAAAGGTATAATTAGTTGAAGTAAATTTTGCTTGCATAAAAGTCCATTTTAAGCTGTTGTAATATAAGACTAAAACCATCCTGTATATACAGTTAATGGGGAATCAATTTGTCGCTGCAAATCTCTAAGAATTTGTTCAATTTATTGTACCGATAGAGGGGCAACTTAAATAACTTATTTATTTTGACACCTTTATTTTTTTTGGGGGGGGGAGGGAAGATAAAAAATGATGACTCAAATTTTTAAAAAGTAGAAAAATAGTACTATCCTCAGGCTTAGATAATAGTTAAACATTGTACTGAGGTCGGCAGCTTGATCATCTTTGGATTATGTTGGTTTGCTTTGATCTTGCATTTCAGATCAGGATAATCAGAGACGACTGTTCAAACGATATGTCCCTACTTATTTTACATTGATTTTATAACACAATCCCTTCTGAATTATACCCAATAAAATTGGATAATATGAACATTTTCTTTGTTTAAAAAAATATTATATAAAATATATTGTATAAATATTTTATATATTACAATTATATATTTTTATTAAGTACATAAATTGAATATTATGTATACTTTACTTTTTATTTTTTCTTCCAACTGTTTGCAGGAATTTTACCCTCAAAGGTCACAAAACAAAGTTATATTTTATCTATAATCGGATTTAGACAGGCGATTAAGAATCGGCGATAAGAAAGAAAAAACAAAAATTCCTTCCAGTATATTTGGAAACAGATTATTGTTTACATATACTGATTTAATTCACAGAGCAAGTTAATTCATAATAATAAGTGGCAAATGAATGAAGTATTGATCTCTTTTACACTCAAATAACAATATATATATATAAAATGAATGAGTACATTAAAAAAAGCAGATGTTTTGGCCAAAGACCGATGTAGGTAGCTTGTAAGCTTAAAAAAAAAAAAAAAAAAAAAGAAGGTAATAGTCAACCGTGATGTACTCCAGCTAGAGGCTCATTTTATTGCTCTACCTTTCATTTAAAGGCTTCCTTCAAGCCAACTCCAAACAGTCCGTAATGTAAGGGCGAGCTCTAAAACAGTCATCAAAAGGCTTTGTGAAAACAGCCTAGTTTTTTGCAAATCAGTATCTCACTTGGACACTTGAACAGCTGTTCTTTTCACGGATGAATGTCGGTTTGGTTTGTGTCAATCAGATGACCGGGACAGTGTGTGTGTGTGTGTGTGTGTGTGTGGAAACGCTTTGCTTTATGTGCTATACATAAAAGCCTTTTCATAGACAGTTGTGGTATAGGGTGGATCAACATCATACCGAACTGATTATCATACAGTATGGAAATAAAGGTACATTGAGGAAGTTCTGGAAGCTGTGGTTGCATTCGCTCCATTTATTGGGGATAACTTTGTGTTTATGATAATGCTTGACCATTAGCTTGAGTTGCCACCCATTCCTTGAAGGATATAGGGATTACCAAAATGACATGAATCCTATAAACACTTATAGGAAGATAAAGAGATGGGTTAGACAACGTTCAGAGACAAGAGTTGAACAGATTCAAACTGCTCTTAAGAATAGGATTCAGTTTCACAAGACAAAATCCGATCACTTATTTACTCAAGGCCAAGGAGACTTTAGGCCCTCCGTGAGGCCAGAGGAGTTAACGTGTTAGTAAGAGCAAAACTAGGTAATTAATTGTTAGTTAAATTTTAATCTATAACTAAATGATTTTCTCGTGTTCTGATGTTTTTTCTTTCATGTCATCAAAATTAATGAATTTTTAAAAAAATTGTAATTAATATAACAACAAAAATACATTGTTTTAAATAAACAACGAAATACGAGTGTCTGGTGTTTGTCTTTGAGTGTACATGAATTTAGAAAAAAGGCAAGTTCACAAAGAAGGGTGGATTACTCCGTGCCCAAATTTAATTTAAACCATTGTATGGGAGTGCAAACATCATCATATATAATTGGTAACTACTCAACTTTGTATAGCAACAATGCAAGGTCTGACATTTAACACAGTTGAGTTGGTTTTGGAAAAAAATGTTATCTAAAAAATGTATACACCAATAACTATTGTAAACTATAAATGATTATTTGGAGATCGTGAGATGAGATCTGGTGTGACGTAGGTTTAGGAAAACATTTTCTTTTTCGTGCCAACGTTTTGTTCTTTATTGTGATCATCCTCAGAGCTCAATGTGTTTGTTTTCTGTGTAGATGAGAGTAGTACTAGAAGTATACAGAAAACAAACATTATACAAGCGCATAAAATGGACATGACAGAAGAAAAGAAGGAAAAATGCTAAACTAATGAAAAAGTGTCTTAGAGAAAACAGTCAAGACTAGGCAAAAAAAAGTCATAATTTTTGTGTTACTTTTAGTCTTATATATTTTGTAGAATAAAAACAAAACATAAACTGTATTGTTTTGATTTCTAGATAATACTGTATGTGTTTAGCGTTGCATACAATTTTATATTTTTATTTACTATTTTTTAAAAGAGATTTAATACTTTGGTTTGAGTTATTTATAATTAACAAACTTGACCCGTGTGAGCGGAATGAATGTCTGCAATGGTCAGTTTGAGATATAAGGAGGAAGTGGCAAATTAAATGAAATAATTGTCAAACGTCAAAATATTGATAGAATGGTCATTAAGGGATAAAATAATTGAACGTTTGCTAGTCTATATTTATGTTCATGGCCGGCTAAATTTGAACGTTCTGATTGAGTAAGCCGACTATGAAAAACGACAAAGTGACAAAACAAAGGCGAACAAAAGAAAAGAAAATTGAAAATGACCATATCTCATATGATCTGAGTGAGAAGAGGTATAAAAGTGCGTGCGTTGGTTACCATTTGGCTCGGACCGTATTCGGCTCGCGTCCGTTTGAAAGTGTTTTTTCCTCGCCCCCGGCGTCCAACGCAATCTCCTGCCCAGGAGGCTGCATCGGTGTTCGACCCGCAGCAGGAAGAGAGACATCCCGGAGGAAAAGAAAGGCCCTAGAGCCGGAGGAGGAGACGGACTGTTATACCGGGGCTGTAGTGCGCCGTTCCGTGCCCAGGTGGCTCTGATTTTCACGAATAGCAAATTTCCCAGAGGAAAAACGTCGGATTTTCCACCCTCAGAGCCGTGGGGAAAATTTTCCGAGTCTGTTTTACTCAAGGGTTTTATTTTTCTATCCGTCCGGGGCCCGGGCGTCGTCGTCCGTTTGTCCCGCGTCGAAATGAAAACGGTGAATACCGTAAACAGTGAAGAATGGCGGATTGGTAAACCAGGCCTTCACAGCATCCTTTGAGTCGCGTTACGTACACAGTGCACGTGTTGTCCTAGCGTTCACGCATCTGAAAGAAACGTGAGTATTACCCTGTATTACGGATTGTTCGGGTTGACGGGTCCGAACGACGGCGAAAGGGCCTTTTCAGCCGTTTAACACTGGTTTTTGCGTTTTAGCAAAGAGAAAAAAGAGAGAGGGACGCGGAAGGAAGGATGAACAGCGGGTCGTGCTACCGTTGTAACCGCTCAGGCCACTACGCCAGGGATTGCCCTCAGTCGGGAGACCGGGAACGTGGAGGATTCAGGAGCAAGGAGAAATGTTACAAGTGTAACAGATTCGGCCACTTCGCCAGGGACTGCAAGGAGGACCAGGACCGGTGCTACCGCTGCAACGGCGTCGGTCACATCGCCAGGGAATGTCAACAGAACCCGGACGAGCCGTCCTGCTACACGTGCAACAAGACCGGTCACATGGCCAGGGATTGTCCCGAGCAGAGGGAGAACTCACGCGGCGGAGGCGCCTGCTACACTTGCAACAAACAGGGACATGTCGCCAGGGATTGTCCCGAATCCGTCAGGTCCTGCTATTCTTGCGGTAAGGCCGGACACATCAGCCGCGAATGCAATAAAAACAGCACCGGCTGAAATAAAATAATATTACGTTAAAGATTTATCAAGAAGGAAGATTTTGAGAAGAGAAAAAAACTTAAAAAAAACCATTAAAAAAAAAACCAACACCTTTTTAAAAATTAAACCTTCCAGTAATTACACATTTCGTTGAATTTATAATTAAAAGCAATTTTCTTTTGTATGGAGCAGTTTTATTTCCTTTTTTATATTATTGACACAAAGAATACAATTTTTTTCCTTAAACTTTTATATATTATATATGTTTATATATATATATTATATATAAAACGATAACTTTCGAATTTACGCTTTTTTATATAAACACATGGAGTCCTGCAAGTTGTTTAGAAGGTTTATTTCAAGTTGTATTTGTAAGCGAACTTGTTGTATTAATTATTTAAAGTATATATTATCGAAAATTTACAAGAAGAAAAAGGACAAGAAAAATTATTAAAAAAATAAAGAGAAAACAATGTCAAGAATTTTGAATAAAATATTACATCAATAATAAAGTGAACGATGATTTTTAACCTCTTGTATTTTTATTTTGTTCCAATTGATCACCTGAAAATCAAATTGTACAGTTTAAAAAAAAATGTGTATTTAATTAATCCTTTTTAGAGAGAGAAAAAAATGTAAATGCATACTTTTTTTACTACAATATTTAAACAAATAGTGTAAATTGTTTGTAAAAAAAAATATATAAACTGGTTTTTGAATAAAAAGTTAAAAAAAGTATTACGACGTTTTGAGTCCATTTTGTGGAAGAGGTAGGAGTAGCGAGTGCCCCCGTTTGTTTTTTCACTTTTATTTATTTATTATACCTATTGCTTTTATTTTTAAACAATAGTTTCCAGAGTAAAAAACAATGTTAGATAAATTTTGGAAGAAAACGTGCTTTGATTGGATTTTAAGGTACGGGACCGTGAGATAGTCAACCGTGGGTTTGACTCATGAGCATGCGGACCTTGAGCCGTCCATTCGGAAATTAACCTACTCTGCGAAGTGCGAACGCCAAAAATAAGGTTTTCTTGAAAGAAAAAAATGCGTAGTTAGGCAATTATCTGCAATCCCAAGGACGAACAATTGCGTTTGTTTTTAAAAACAATTTGGGGGGGAAATGGTGTCTTTGTTTACCTTTTTTTTTTTAATTTATAAGATAGATGAGAAATCGGTTCTTCAAGGTTTAAACAAGGTTAATGGATGAGTTTTACGAGGAAATGGACAAGATTTTTGTCTTTCCGCGAAACGTCTATCTAATAAATCAATATTGTACATAGAGAAATTAACATCAACGATCAATTCAATTTAAAAAAATCAATATACCGTTTAATATTATTTATAATGTTAAACAAATAAACGCAAATTAAAAAAAAAAAGATTTCGTAATAGTGCGATCCAGAGAAAAAACACGATGTCAATGGTTACGCGACGACGTAGATTGGAAATTGGAACGGAGGTTAGCAAGGATGGCCGGCAGGTCGCAGGTTAGCGGCGGAGGTTCCACGCGTTCTTCAACTTCAATCTTCATTCGCCACCGGTACGTCAGATAAGATACGACCATGGTGTTGGATTTGGACCTGTTCAGGGCTGAGAAAGGCGGAGACCCGGAGAAGATCCGCAAAAACCAACGGGACCGATTTAAAAGCGTCGGACTCGTCGATACTGTCGTCGACAACGATGTCAAATGGAGGCAGAGTGAGTACAATACCGCTCATCGCAAAGATGATTAATTGGTGCGATATGATAACAAAATTAAACACGCTCTTTCCTACAGAAGGTATTTATAAAGATAAAGGCTTTAGAAGTCCATGAGGTGTGATTGAATGCAAACAGAATTTCTGAAACTTAACTTTCCAGTTGTCGACAATACAGAGGTTCAACTGGCTAGGGTCTCATTTCTAAGGCCCCTTTCCCACTATACCGGACCGGTAAAACTGCTGGAAGGGCCATTGGCTGTACATTTTATATGAAGTTCACATTTAGCCGGATCCGGCAAAAATACCGAGTCCGGCATTTTCTTCAGAGGTTTTGTCACTGTGGAGAGCTGGTAAAATGCCCGGGCTGGTGTAATGTGAACAAGCTTTGCACTGCGTAGCCCATTCATTAGGTAGCTCAGAATGTTTGGAAGGAGTATAGAGGGTATAAGAATCACGTCGGGTCATTTTGGTGTTCGCATTCTGTATTTCAGACCTATCAGAAGAAATTTTACTTTTGCTGGTCCAAAAGAGACCTGTACTGTGGGATAAAACCCTAGATGAATACAAACAAAAACATCAAAAGATGATGCTGTTGTTCAAAAATAATTGAAGGACTTCGTTTCATCACTTCTCAGTTTACCAATTAATGTTTCAAATGTTCTGAGTGAAAATCATTCCCGTAAAATGTAAAATCGTTGTCCATTGAGCACTCAGGTCTGACCTCAACTGAGGTGAGGACTTGTCTGGTTTTCTTACCGAATCTGAGACAGTTGGAGTAGAGCTGTCTTGGTGGAGCACAGGCAGTAAGAGTCGTCCAGGAGTTGGCCAGGAATTATCCACTATTTGGCTGAAGACTATAGAAGGCCCTGTCATTTTTGGTGAGCAAATTTCTATAAAAAGAGAGCTAACCATGACTTCCAATTTAATTATTTTTTTTAACCAATTTCTCGCCATGTGTCTTCTTTCAGGTTTTTGTTTTTTGTAATTGGAATCTTTAGGATCCCACAATAATGAGTATTTTTGGTACAGTTCGACAAGAGTGAGACATTTTTCCTCTGGCCACTTCATGGTTTTGGAGATTGCACAATGTGATGTTAGGTTACAAGAGTAGTACACACTATATAACGTTCTTCACCTAGTGTGCTCCCTTTGAGTTCACCCAAAAACCGACAACCATTGGAACGCTCTTGAATGTTCGCGAACTGTTAGTTCAGCACAGAAGCATACACACTAAAGACGAACCTGGCTCTCCGCTGGTTCGCAAACATACTGGGTTCGCAGCTTTAGAGTGAACCCACAGATCCACTGCCAAAGCGACATTCCGAAGAGAAGCTGGTTTTGATAACGTTAAATTATGAACATGTGAAAAACGTGAATTACAACAATGTAGATGTAGATGATTAGTCAGTGTGTATTTTATACCGTGCCCTTTAAGAGCTATTGTATGATTGAATTTTCCCCCAGCAGTCAGGGCTATATTATCCGCATAGCCCTGACAATTTATCCCTTTACGGTCGAGAGTTTTGAGCAATTTGTCAATTGTTAGGATCCATTAATGATAGTGTACCGTGTACCCCTCCTTGCGGACATCCTTTGGTTAGGCTGACTTTATATAGTCTCTTCTTACGCTTGTTTCAGCTTTTCTGGTTCTTAACATTTCTCCAATCTATCTAGAGTGATTTGGTCTACGTGTTTTGATATATATATATATATACCGAGGGGTTAAATGCCTGGGTAGACTCGTTCCCCATCCCTAAAGGGTCCGGAACTTGGTCGGTTCACATGTTCACATAAACTTCTTGGACTTGTTCACAAATCCTAAGATTTTGGACCATTTTATCTCGGGGAGTGATTTGGTGATGTCCTCTCCTTCAAAAGTTATCTATACCTGGTGTACCTATCACACTCTGCGAGGTAGTGCCGTGCGGTTTCTTCTTTTATTTCACAAAAATGGCAGAAGGGGTCTGGTAAAATATCCATTACGAAGAGGGGTCTTCTCAAAGGGCAATGGCCTGTCAGGATACCTATCAGCCTCCTAATTCCCTTCCTTGAGTTAGAGAATAGCCATTTCGATTCTGTTGGTTTGATCTCCTTCACAAACTCCTTCGATTACCTATGTCCGGGGGACAGATTCCATTCTTTAAGGAATTGTTTCATGCCCCAGCTATTGTTACTCTCTTTCGCCGTGCTTATAGAGTGGGGTAGTACCGGTTGTGGCCCGACAAACACAGTATTTGAGCCTTCTTTGGCCAGGCTATCCGCCTCTTCATTGCCATAGTCTCCTTTATGTGCTGGTATCCAAATAAGGGTTACCCTATTCTCATACCTAGAAGTGATCCTATTGATAAGATCAACAGTTTCCTCTACCAGCCTAGATGTTGATCTCTTTTTCATCATCAAGCAGCCTAGTCTTTGAAATGACCTTAATTTGTAATATTCCCTTTATTTTCTAGCCCTTTCCATCATACTAGGGCTGCGAATAGAAATCTAGGTAGAATAATTGCAGTATATATCCATTTGGCCACCCAAGGTTTGATACCCCATGTTCTACCAACAATTCTCCTACATTGCACCATAGATAATGTGCCTTTCCAATCAAGTTTCCTGTCAAACGTCACCCTGAGGAATTTGATTGAATCCCTTAATTTTAATTCGATGCCCTGAAATTTAGAGTTTTTGAAATTACCTAATGTTCTTCTCCTACCAAACATTATCAGTTCCAGTTTAGCTGGATTAATTGAAAGACCTTTATCACAACACCACTCAGAAAGCAACCCCATGGCATCCTTCATCAGCAGTGAAAGAGTCAGGGGATCTCTACCTGTGATCATTATGGTACCATCTGAAAATAATTGGCTGTAGAAGCCTGAATTATTCAGAAGTTCTATTAAACTGTTTACTGTGATTAACCACAGAAGAGGTGAGGTCCCTGTGGACAGCCTCCTTTGACATTAGTACTAAGAATGCTACTGCCTAAGCACATATTTACGATCCGTCCCTCCAGGTAGGTTTTCACCCATCCTGTGAGGTGATGGTCAACATTATATCTATTTAGTGCTGACACAATACAAGAAGTATCTGCATTATCAAACGCCCCTTGGATATCAAAGAAGCACCCTAATGTGTATTCATTATTGAGTAATGATTTCTCTATCCTTCCTACCAGTGAATGCAAAGCAGTTTCCACTGATTTTCCTGGTAAATAGGCATGCTGATTGGGATTAATTCCACAGTCATGTCTAATGTATTTATCAAGGATTTTCTCTATTATTTTTATGAACAGACCTTCATGGATACTTGAGATGCAAATATCAAAGACTCCTTCAATATCAAAGAATGCGCAGATTGCTATTTCCTTTACTTCTAGTGTATCCCTCAGGTGTCACTAGTTAACTGGTACAGTAAGTACTGTAAGAAAATCATTTTAAATTTGTGATTAATTTATATGGCAAATATTATTTAGGTGCATGATTAAAATAGGTGGTAAATCAAAATATATTACATATTTATGCATTTATCTTCATGTTTAAAATTTACATTTTTTAAATTTTATTTAATTTCAAATTATCAAACCTATCTAGTTCCCTCCATTTGTTTAAACTGTGTAACCCTGTCGTATTTAAATTAAATTGTGTTTTGTTTCATTTAGATGGTCCTTAAATTCAGAAAGCCCATTTGATTTAGGCAAGTGTTCTTTAACTCTCGTTTTAATTTCTCTGCCGTTTTGTGCTGTATATTTAATATCACAATCATTACAGTTAAACCCAAAGTTTGTAAACATTGCTATTTGACAAGTTGTCAGTCTTGGTTTAGGTTTCTAGAGGATGTTTTTAAGTGAACACGTACCTCTAAAAGCTACTCTAAAACCTTGTTATTCGAGAATTTTCCATACATTTTCTGATAGTTCTCCAATGTTTGGGAAGAACAAAAATCTAATGATTCGTTTATGGTGGGGTGGCTGAGTCCGATTATTGCTTCTTTTAAAGTTAATTTTTTAGTATTGTTACTAGCTACCTATCGATATATATTTCTTGATATCCTTTGTTTTTAGTTAAGTAATTCTAATTCTTTTTTATAATTAGCAGGTATTAATGGGGGTTTCAACATACGGTCTACGAGCCAAATGAATCCAATGGCGTTTTGAGTCTATGGGTGAGAAGAATCTGGCGGTATCATAGTGTATGTCGTTGTGGGTTTTCTATATGCGTCTATTTCAATTAGGTTATCTATTAAGATCAGTTCTAAGTCTAAAAAGTTTAAACAACCATCTTTATTTATTTCCGATGTAAAATTTATACTAGTTGTAAAGAATTAATTAATTTAAGGAATTCTTTTAGATCCTCTTGTGTTCCCGACCATACACATAAAAAATCGTCTACATAGTGTTTAAAAAAAAATCTTAATTTATTTACTTTTTTTACTGTTAAAATGATTAATTAAATCAATATAATTTTTATTTATTAAAAAGAGAAAGAGATAAGTTCATAAATAAAAAATATAAAAATAAATTAATAAAATTCACATTACTTCAAACATTTTCCAATGATAGTTAAACCTTATCTATTTATCCCTTTATGTTTTAGTGGTCAATTGACAGATAGGTCTGAAGACCTTACTTATCTATTTATATTTCAACTTTTTCCAAATACAGGGTGAATTGCTACTCGTGCTACAAACTTCTCCAGTAGATTCTTCACCCTAAAATGAACAAAAAAGTTCATATTGTCCATGGTCCGATTCTCAACNGGACCATGGACAATATGAACTTTTTTGTTCATTTTAGGGTGAAGAATCTACTGGAGAAGTTTGTAGCACGAGTAGCAATTCACCCTGTATATTTAAACATTTTTCATTTCTTTTTGAACAATTGTATTAAATCAGTCTAAACGTATTAAAACTAAATAATAATTTAATCTTTTAATATTTCAAGATGATTCTTTTGACAATTTTATTTGTTTTATGGTAAATTTTCTTGCATTACAATCCTTGAAGGAGAACTTTCATTCCTTTCAACTGCTTTCATTCCCCGTCTACTTATCTGCCTTCCCCAAATCTTCCTTTACTTCTTCTAACAATCTTTGTCTTGTTTCCTGCTTTCCTTCTTCCTTCAGTTCTATTTCTATACAATTAGCTCATCGTCTTGTCCGTATCCATTCTTTCAATATGACCCAACCAGTTGACCCTTTTTCCTTTAATATCTGTCACTAAGTAAGGCGACGTGTACAACTCGCTAAGCTCCCTATTTGCTCTTATTTTCCTCTTTGGGACCAAATATTCTTCTCAATACTTTTCTACTCAAATTATAATCATGTCACAGTCGCTCTGACTAAGTAACGATGATTCACTTGCATATAAAATTAGAGGAGTGTTTTATAAATTAATTAAAATTATAAATTAATTTATAGACTTGGTCTTCATTAACGGATTCAACGCAAAGAGACATCTGCTACATACAGTTAATATTTCTTTTACTTCACTTTTTAACTCTTGCTGCTTGATGAATGTGGTGCCCAAATACTTGAATGTGTTTACATTTCTGATCTTTTTCCCATTTTTTTTCAACGGACATTTCTGTTATCAAACATCAAACTAGCATATACTTAGTTTTCTCATAATACCTCTTGATCCCATAGACTTTGCTTTCTTTCTTGTCGCTTGTGGTTCTCTCCTAAGCCTTACAGTCCTCACCACTAAAATCATACCTTGTCTGGATGATCCCTTGAAAATCATACTTTCTGGTTAATTTCAATATTTTCCTTTACTTTTTCTAAAAGCAAATATTTATAAAGTTGATTAATTTAGTGGGGGTACCGAACTCTTTCTGCATATCAATAATCTTCTGCCTGGATAGACTGTTGTATGCACGCTTGAAATCAATAAACAAGTGATGTAGGTAGTGACGATCGATGATATACTCATGGCAGTATGTTTTCTTGTAACATACAAATTGTGTATTTCATTAAAGGAGGTAAAGAAAGGGTGCATCTGATAAAAATGGTATTATTAAATTCACGATTTTTCGTGATCCGCTGCACCTAAACCTTCACGCACCTACCTTCAATTAATAAATTGAAAAATGGCAAAAAGGAGGGAAAATTCAAAAGGTGGGGTTGAGATGGGATGTTAGTGCCTGAGGAGATCGAAGTCACGATAGCTCAAGTGGTAGAGTAGCAGTGTAACAAGCCGAATGTTGTGGGTTCAAATCCCGCTTGTGACACTGACTTTTTTATCTCAACTTAAAACCTTAATTAATTGAATGATATTATTAAACTTGATAAATTTGTTGTGATAAATTAGTACAAAATTGTCTTATTTTATTAATCAAAGCAATAAAGTTTTCTTAAAAGGCATTTGTTACTGTAAACATAAACCACGAGTGACGTCAATTTTTAAATTGTTTTCAGTGAGGCACAGAGCAGATGAGCTGAATCGGCTGAAAAATGTTTGTAGCAAAGCGATCGGAGAAAAAATGAAGGTATTTATTATCAATAATAATACATTTATATAAATGTTATACGATGTTAATTTTAAAGTTAGTCTATTCATTTTATTATATAATAAAAGTTCTTTGGCAAGAAATTATTAAAGAATAAATAAATAAACAAAATAAAATCGAGGAGTAACTTCACTAGATTTTGAAACCCACTAATTGAAGGAAGGGAATCAAATCAAGGAGTAATTGGCATGACATGGCTATCTGATGTATTGGCTACCAGCTATGTCAATCTGATGTAATGTATGAAAAATTGAAGGGATTGCCTTCTGTTCTTGGTTCATAAGTTCATAAATTCTTCAGGTGGATCTCTTATAATGCCAGATATTAATGGTAGAACTAGTAAATCTATAATGTGTTAGGACTAGAATAATAGTTGGACTGCTAACTGCACCCTGCCAGAGGCATGTATATAAACTCAGAGTGGCAGAAACAAGCGCCTGTGCAGATATTGCCAGGAAGAAGAAGAGACAGCATAACATGTCCATGTGAAGTTTTAATAATAAATTATGTTCTTGAAAATAATTGAACCCACAACAAGAGTAATACTGACCACTTAGCCACCATAATCTTTTGAAACTTCCAGTGAAGGGTGCCATTGTTTACTACTGTAGAACCCTTTTTAACTGAACTAAGTCGTGTTGTGGATTCGATAAGGTGCGGACGTGTTTCTGTTCTTATCTCCGTTCACGGATAATTGTGCTGTTTACCTCGAACAATCTAAAAATCATTCTTCCATACAAGGATTATATAGAATAATTATTCTAATTTAATTTATATTTTTGTCTAATTTCTATTTCATTTTGCCATGTCAAGTTCAAGCGGGGGGAAAGATCCTCCAGACAAATTTTCCGAACACATGGAACTTTCTCAAAATTGTACTGGTTATTCTATTAACAATAACAATCAAAAACAAAGAACTTCACTAAAAAGACCCGCTTCACCTGTTACAGGATTTAATAAAGTCACTGTAGTTACACCCAATGATAAACGAATAAACATTGACGGAAATAAACTAGACAAAAAATCCTTTTTGCTATCGTTAGCCTCAAACAGATATAAGACAGATGATGTTGGTCCGTTTGTTGTTTTTGTGGAGAGTCCCGACCGCAATGCTGGAAAAATTCATCCCATGAAATTGGGAAAAATTATTTTTTCATCAGGATTTAAACATAACGAAATAATAAATATGATCGCTACAGGACGGAATAGGATTAAAATTGAATTCAAAACTAAGATAACAGCTAATTATTTTGTAGATGCCTCCTGCTTAAACCAACACAATTTTTATGCTTATATCCCCTCATTTTTTATAAATAAGATGGGAGTGATCCGAAATGTCGATATAGATCTTGAAGATCAAGGAATTCTGTCAGTAATCCAATCTCCAATCAAAATTAAAAATGTTAGATGTATTACAAAAACAATCTCTGAGGACTCCACAATAAAAGTATCCAAGTTAGGTACATGTATTCTTACGTTTGACGCTCAAAAACTCCCGGAGAATGTATCTATCTATGGAATGAGATGCCGGGTAGATCCCTACGTTCCTCCAATTAGGCAGTACCGCAACTGTTTCCGTTTTAATGATTTGCAAGATCAGTGCAAAAGCAAAAGTCGGTGCGAGAATTGTGGACTCCAACATGATCACACCAATAATTGTGAAGGAGAAACGAAATGTTCTAACTGTTCAGGCAGGCATAAATCTAGCGATAGAACCTGCCCTGAATATTCCAGGATTACAGAACAAAAACTGAAAAAAGCTAATGCTAGTACTCTTTATTCAACTATCACCTCAAATAGATTTAATCTTCTCGAAAACATAGAGGAATTTCCTGACATAGAAACCCATTTAACAAGTACTAAACAAAACAACACAAAATCCCGGACACTCCGCTTGACATCTTATAAAAAAAAACCATACGAACGTCCAGGACAACCAGAACCTGGCAGAAAAGACCCATCTCTCCTCACTTATAACAAAGAGTCTTCAAATTCTCAAACACTGAGAAAAACCGCCACCCAACCCGAGGCAGCTCCTGACTTTGGCCTTCAAGCCAACTCTCAACTTAATCCCTTAATCAAAGAAAAATTCTCTTACAGCATAAACATGCTTAAAAACACACTAGCAGATTTAAACCATGAAACTTATATAGACCCAGAAGATATAATTCAAACTATCTCAAAAGCTTATCAAACCATTATATACGAACTGCAACAACTTAATCCTCAAAACAAAAATTATAAATAAACCTAATCTAAAATGAGTTTAACACCACACCTAAACTTACGTTTTTTACAATGGAATTCTCGCTCAATAATTCCAAAAAAAGGACTTTTAGAACAAGTTATTGATAATTCCTCAATCAATATAGTACTTCTTTCTGAAACGTGGCTTCGCCCACAACAAAAAATTCATTTTCCAAATTTTCATTTTCTTAGAGTGGATGGGAAGGACGAATATGGAGGTGTTGGAATCCTGATTAAAAATAATTTAATCTTTACCAAGATAGACGTCACCTGTCCCTTAGAAGATTTCATGAATACCAGGATCCAAACTCAAGTTCGAAATTCTCAACCCTTATCTATCTTCTTTGTTTACAATAACCTCAGGAATAAATTTACGTGTCAAACCTGGGATACTGTCATAAAGAAGTTGCCGAAAGCTAATGTTAAAACTTCTATCCATATTTCAATAATTCATCCTATTTTATTTTTTCATTAATGACAACAAGCAACAAATTCCATATTTTACAATGGAATACTAGATCAGTTCGAGCTAATAAGCCTAACTTAGAAGTTTTAGTGTCATCCCACAATATTGACATAGCCTTGTTATCCAAGACTTGGCTTACCAACAACCATAATTTTACATTTAGTGGCTATGATTTTATCCATGATGGCCGCCAAGATGGCTACGGGGGATGTGCCATTTTAATAAAACAGTCTTATAATTACAGAATAATAAATATTTCGCACAATTTTGGTTGTAATGTCCAAATATGTGCAATATCTCTTAATATTAACAATATCCCTGTATCTTTTGTGTCATTATATGTTAAACCAGCTCTCAATTTATCTTCTTTTGATTGGTCCTCCTTACTTAATTTAATTCCCTCTCCATTTTTTCTCGGAGGCGACCTCAATATCCACCATACAGCTTTTGGTTCTCGTATACTGACCACCCAGGTAGACACCTCATGGACCTATAGACACGCATCACCTCTGCTTCCTCAATGATGGTACTCCTACCCTTGTCTCTAGACCAGACCGAAACCCCTCAGCACCAGATATTACCTTAACATCCGCTTCTCTAACTCCCCATTGTTCCTGGAAAGTGTTGGACCACATTTAGGATCAGATCATTTAGCTATTCTCATAGATTATAAAGTAGGCTCTGCTGTCGAGGGGCGTATTGCGACCTCTTGGGAGGGCTGGATTACAAGAAAAGCTAATTGGCCTACATACAGAGATACAATCAGTGCACTTTGTTCAGAAAACCCGCCAGGAGACTTTGACAATTTTTTGCAAATAATCCAAAAAGCAGCTGATAAAACGATTCCTTATCGACGTTTGAGACTTCAAACAAGTCACGTTCTCCCAAATTCTGCTGGGATGTTGAGTGCAAATCCACCTGGGATGAAAGTAAACGGAAATATTCTTTATATAAATCACATCCCAATATAACTAACTTCATTGAGGCCAAAAAAGCAGCAGCAAAGTGCTCCAGATTGTTTAAACAAAAAAAAGTTGATAGCTGGCGTAGCTTCTGTGACTCGCTGAACAGAGAAACCCCTTTATCAATGGTATGGAAGAGAGTGAAACGACTGTCCACCGGTGTAACCCGCAGCTCTTATCCAACCAATAATATAGACTGGATTGAGGACTTCACCAACTCTCTAGCTCCTCCTATGGCTCCTTACTCCAACTGAACTAGACCTCGCCATGAAAAATACTAAAAATGTAGCCCCTGGTCAGGATGGTATACAATATGTGATGTTGAAGGAACTTCCACAGATAGCTAAAACATATCTCCTCAATATATTTAATTCTGCTTGGATAAATGATGTCTATGTTCCTGAATGGTCCACTCAAATTATCAGACCCATCCTAAAAGCAGGTAAACCTCCTGACAAAGCAGAATCTTATCGTCCGTATTTATCAAAACTTACGAGCGAATGATTAAGGCACGCATCGAATGGTGGTTAGAAAAAAATATGAAACTTCCAGTTAGTTTTTAGTAGTAGGTTTTAGAAAAGGGCATAACACTTTTGATGTGCTTACTTCCTTTACGTCAGATATTTATGAAAGCTTCACGCAAAACAAATGTTTAGTGTCTGCGTTTCTAGATCTAACTAATGCTTTCAACTGTGTCAACATCACTCTTTTAATCAGCCGTATGAGAGATATCAAGATACTGGTGCGAATAGTTACAGCCGTTACTAACCTACTGTGTAACAGAAAAATATTAGTCCGATGCGGCGACAAAATTATAGGCCCACGGACGGTATATACTGGCTTACCTCAAGGAGCAGTTTTGAGCCCAGTTCTCTTTTCAATTTATGTCTCGTCGATTGATTCAGCGTTTTCTCCCAGCATCAAAACACTTCTTTTTGCTGATGATATAACTGTTTACTGCTCTAACCAAAATTTAGACCTAGCACTGTCTGAATTGTCTGAAGCAATGAATGTCCTCAACGAATGGAATCGAAACAGCGGCTTCCATATATCAGAGTCTAAGAGTGCAGTGACTATCTTTACAAGGAAGAGACGGATCATTTCCAGTGAATACATCGAACTGGGGCCTCATAAGATCAAAAGAACGGACCAATTTAAGTTACTTGGTGTCACCTTCGACCGCAAACTATTATGGAGGAACCACATAACCAAATTGGTCGATATATGCGAAAAAGCAGTAAATATAAGATGTGTCATGAAGGTCCGCTATGGCTCGCACCCAAGTATTGCTCTCATGCTGTATAAAGCTATCATTCTATCTAGATTAGACTATGGATTTTTATTGTTCGGCGATGCGGCCAAAACTCATCTGTCGAAATTGGACAAAATTCAAAATAAATGTCTCAGAATATGTCTAGGAGCCATGCATTCCTCACCAATAAATGCTCTCCAGGTGGAGGCCAAAATTATGCCTCTGAACATGCGACGATCTTTGGTGGCTGGCAGATTCTTATCCTCCTGCATGATTATTGAAAATCACCCTGTTATTGCTCGTATCAGACACTTAGCTATGCTTGCTAGCACAAATCGATACTGGCAAAACAAACGAACTCCATTGCTGGTCCAGTCTTTCTTAAAACTTTCTCAATTGACCCTCTCCATCCCCCCAACCCCAAATCATCCTAGGTACCTTACCCAAACTTTTCCTTTATTGTTTAGCCATACTTACGCTATACCGGATCCCTTAGCTGTACCTGAATGGTCTCATTTCCCTCCTTATGTAGAACAGGCAGCCATGAGGGGTCAATCTGACGCGGCATTAACCCTATATACGGACGGATCCAAGCAGGGCAATCTGGTGGGCGCTTCATTTTTTGATCCCTGCAATAATTTCGCCTTACAAATTAAACTGAGTGGGGTCGCCTCCATTTTTACTGCCGAAGCGTTAGCAATCTTGGAATCCTTAAAGTATGCTCAAACTATGAACCCTTCTGACTTAATTATATTCTCTGACAGCCAAAGTGTGGTCCATTCCCTCCACAGTACCCTTAAAACCAATCACTTCTATTAGATCTCATTTGTATAGGCACTCCTTGAGATCTTGGCAAAGGGAGTTTAGCTCCACAAGTAATGCCAAGGTTTACAAATCAATTCAAACCCATATTCCTTCCTTCTCGTGGTTCCATTCTATGAATTATCCCCGACAATCCCTTACTTCCATAATCCGTCTCCGACTAAACCACAATAGTCTACCTGTCCTTCTTTATAAAATCAAAATCCTTAATTCCCCTTACTGCTCCTGCAACAACTTAGTAGTGGCCAATGCCAACCACGTCCTTCTTGAGTGCCCTCTTACCGCCTCAAGCAGAGAAGCATTTTACAGGTCGCTGATTATGGCCGGCATACCTCTTCCCATCACAGTGTCCAATCTCCTATGTTACTCCCACAGATCTGATATAATTGAACCCTTAATTAAATACATTTACCGCAACAAAATCATAATATAACAGACGTAAAAATAAGAGAACGCTTTTTCTTAAATAAAATTATCCATAATTATAATCATTGGCCAATATGATTAACGTAAGGCCATAAGTTAGCTTTCCTTAAAGGAAAGTTATATAAAAAAAAAAAAAAAAAAAAAGGGGATGGAGCCATTTTGGATAACGCCATTTATAATAATATAATCCATGGAGGCTGTTGGCATGCGATAAAAGATGTACAAAAACACCTAATTTTCGATTAAAACAGAACAATACATGTATTTTATCTACAAATGTGAAATACAATATACTGTAGCTAAAATATAAACCAGAGAAAAGTAGGAACTTCATTAATTTTTTCATGATTAGCTAGCTTCATTGTCTTGAGGTTCAGCACTTTAAAATTGTATTTATGGAGTTTAGATTTTGATTTTACCCATTTTGATACTGTTGATATCCCAACACCATAATTAGCGGCTAAATTTTGCCATAACACACAATTCTCATACACTATTTTTTATTGAAATCATTTTGGTTCAGCCGAGTTCCATTAAAAATGGTTGATTAATTGATTTCTGGGTCATTTTTCTACAAAAAGGAGAAGATTTGTAGTTTAATAAAGCTTTTTTTGCTTATGAGTTAAGATGAAAATATATTGTGAGATTTTGTGATTATGTAGTCTCTTTATGGCAGAGTAATGTACTTGTAGTTTGGTTGTTTATGATCATTTTATCTGCTTATTCTCGCTGGATTGGTCAGCAGTTTGCTATCTTCAGTGCTCGCCGTAAACTTAGAAACAGCCAAACTACATAAAATTCTATTGTAACTATTTTTATTGTTAAGTTTTAACATTTTTTATTCTTAATTTATATTCAATAGTGTTTTAAAATAAGTTTATTATCAATGTGGTGATTAGTGACCACACGTTAATTGATAATTATTATCATAACTACTTTCAGAATAAACAGGATGGTGGAGATGTTGGCCTAGCTGCTGATTTCAACTTATTAAGCATCCAAAGCCAAGATGATCTCAAAGACATGTCTGTTGCTCAAATTAAAGAGGTGCTACTTGCAAACTCTCAAATCAATTTCATTGTTTTAATTTTAATAAAATGTCCTTAGATTCGAGTTTTAATTGATAGAGAAATGATAGAAAATGAAAAAGGTCTTGTGGAAACTGAACTTGAAAGAACCAAAGCATTGAGCGAACTAGGAAACCATCTTCATCCTTCAGTGCCTATAAGCGACAATGAAGTAAGATTTTTGTTGTTAATTTATGAATAAATCCCACAATTCAACAGGGATTATTCATTTTAGGATGAAAACGCAGTAGTGCGAACATGGGGCGACACAAGTGTAAAAAAGAAATATTCCCATGTCGATTTGATCCATATGATTGATGGCCTTGAATCTGAAGCAGGTGCTGCAGTTGCTGGAGGACGAGGATTTTATTTGAAGGTAATTCACATTTTGGTTAAAATTGTTAATTCATCAATTATGTTAAATATTAAATTAAATCTTTATTAGGGGCCAGCTGTACTTTTGCAATATGCTCTTATACACTATGCTTTACAAAGATGGTGCAAGATGGGCTACAAACCGATCTACACTCCATTTTTCATGAGGAAAGAAGTAATGCAACAGGTTGCACAGTTGCAACAGTTTGACGAGGAACTGTATAAGGTATTTTTCAAATTGTATTTTTTCCCCAAGTCGGTTTACATTGATTTCTCATAGGTTAGTGGCAAGGGTAGTGAGGAGCAATATCTTATTGCAACATCTGAACAGCCCTTAGCCGCTCTGCACAAAGGCGAATGGATCTCAGAAGGCTCGCTTCCAATAAAATACGTTGGAGTTAGCACATGCTTCCGTCAAGAAGCGGGTTCTCATGGAAGGGATACAAGAGGCATTTTCCGGGTTCATCAATTCGAAAAGGTACACCTTTTAATTATATAAGACACTAAGGAAATACTAATCACCTCATACATTAACATAGGTAGAACAATTTACATTAACATCACCATTTGATAATAAATCATGGGAAATGTTTGAAGAGATGATATCAAATGCTGAAGGATTTTATCAAGAACTTGAAATTGCTTATAGAATCGTCAACATTGTGTCAGGTGCTTTGAATAATGCCGCCTCTAAGAAGTTAGATCTGGAAGCCTGGTTCCCTGGATCAGGTTGGTTTTTCTATTATAACCCATAAAGAAAAAAAAATCATGCAGTACTTATCTTCCAGGCGCTTTTAGAGAGTTGGTTTCATGTAGTAACTGTCTAGACTATCAAGCTAGAAGACTTTTAGTCAGATACGGTCAAACCAAGAAGATGAATGCACAGGTAAAATATGATTTTTTTTTTGACAAAATAATTATACTTTACCGTTTTAGCCTGATTATGTTCACATGCTAAATGCAACTGCATGTGCTACCACAAGAGTTATCTGTGCTATTCTGGAGACCCATCAGACTGAAACAGGAATTAAAGTTCCAGCTGCACTTCATCCCTTCCTCCCACCAGGTAAAGATAATTTGGTTTTATAATAATTATTTGCTTTTCTCATTTTTTATTTTGTATTTTATTTTATTATTATTATTTTTTTAATATAGAGTATCACGAGATCACGTTTGTGAAAGCTGCCCCTATTGAAGAGGAAGAAACGAAGAAACAGAAAAAACAGAAAGAAGGCATGTCAAAGAAAAAGGCAGCAAGCCAACAATGAGCCAATAAAACAATATAGTTTTCTACGAACAGATCATTTATTATAAGTTACATGTATGGAAAAAAAAGTCTTTCATTGAGCTTTACACTTCATTTGGTCTCCAATTTAACAGCCTTAAAAATTCCTCTTCACAATAATTTGTGATACCATTTAGTTCTAAGTATGCCTTTAAAAAAAATGATGATTAGCACTTTATATCGCATATAATTTTTTTTAAGTTTTTACCTTTTGTGTCTTAAGGTTGTCTATTAAGTAAACCTGTTTTTTAATTGCAGAGAGCAGAGCATTTTTATGCCTCTCAAGTTTATTTACAGTGAGATTCATTTCCTCTTCTTTTGCTCTATATTTCTCTTTGGCTTCCTATAAAAAAGGGTTCAAATTATCTCAATAGATTTATTTTAATTTAAAAAAAGGGGGGGGATCTTTTAAGACCTTTTCATTGAGTTGGGACATCTTTAAAAGGTTCTTGAACTTTTCCACTTCTTCTTTTGCTTTGTTCAGTTTAACATCGTTGTTAGAATATTGTTGATTTATTTTCTTCAAGTCTTGTTTTAACATTTCTACTTCCTGTAAAAGTGTTATTAAATTTTCTTTTTGTACTATTTTTACAAGTATGAAAATTTACTTTTTTTAGAAAAGCATTTTCAGAATCTCTCATCGACAATCGTTCGTTGATTGTATTTAAATTGCCTTCTTGTCTTTTAATTTTTTCCCTTGCATTCATTAAATCCGACGCCAGTTTTATCCTTTGGTCCTCAGAATCCTTCAATTCCTTCTGAATTCGTTTCCAATCATCAGTCTGTTTGATTAAAATATATTTTTTAATCAGATTACATAAACAAAAATTATTTCTGATTCTTTAATTAACGATCTCTGGCAGACGGATCCAAGATCTATGTGCATAAATGCTATGAAAGAACAATTGTCATTTTTCTTATGCACAATAAAGCACTATTATTATTATAATCAATACCTTCTTAATACATACATACATACATATACATACATACTATATTAAGTATTTTATACTTATATACTTTTTTAAAACTTTTTTTTATACTTAATAGTACTTATAGTTTTTATACTTAATAATATAAATACCTTCTTTGTTAGCTCTCTTTTAGTATTGGCCAGTTCCTCTTGTAACATTTTACCTTTAGCTTTGAGAAACCTAGCCACACTTTCAGCACTCAGGCCTTTAGTGCTCATTGGAATAAGGTCCCCGCAATCCAATGTCGACCTACAAATGTACACACTATTTACAAATTGAATTTACAAAACGGATTGATAGTTTGCATACTCATTTGCAGGAAGTTTTTTACGGACAGGAGCATTTTTCTTCAACATGGAACTAACAGTCATGATTTTCTTCTCATAACGTAAATCTGAAAGGTCACTTGTTACATCCGACATCGGGCTGAAAATGTATACACATTGCATTGTGTTAAAAAGAATTATGATGGAAAAATAGTGAGATCTCTCTTTCTAGACTGTAGGGTGATGAACCTGTACCAATCATACTGTCTGTCTTATTTATCTGACAACTGTCCCGATACTGAAGAAAATGTTGACAGACAACACAATTAGGCTAGGAAGACTAGATGGTCAGTGATTCAAAATTACTAAATTTGAATTGTTACATAAAAAAAGTAACTGGTTTACAAATTATCCTAACAGTCAAAATTTGTTAAAGATATATTTTTAACCATTCAAAATTCAACTTTAAAGGTGGGGGGGGCAGAATTCATCACTAATGTCCTAGCTTCGAATCTAAGTAGCTCTGAATTTGATTGTAAACTACTTCATACTTAATCTCAAAATACTATTTTTATATTTGCTTATGTGTTTCATCCTGACATCTTCAGGGTTGCTAAGAACGGCATTCATACTCCAAAATTACAATTAAGTTCAGAACTTATTAGAAACATGTTTTTCTCAAGGGAAGTATGTGGCCTATTTGCCAAGAGAGAATTTTTTGTGTCAGAGCCTGTGCTCCCCCCCCTTTGGTTTTTGAATGCATTGTGCACAAGAGAAAACTTGGTCCAGAGCTTTCTCTATAAAACTGAGTGTTAATGTAAGAGAGTTGGCCAAAAAATAAGATAACTTATGTACAGGAATTATTGTAAATAAACTTGTAGGGTAGTACACTTTTTTTCTGCGTGTTACCTCTTGTACCCACATGATGATGATGTCAACTCTCTCCCTCTTGGCTTTACAACATTTTCATAATCCTATAATGATAAATATACATTACTCATTCAATTTTAACACAATACACTGGTAGATATGGTATTAATAGATTTAATTTTATATTAAAACACGATCCGAAAACACACACTGAACATGGTCACCAATACATTAAACAAAGAGAAGCAGAGAAATATTTGTTGCATATATAAGCACATGGATTAAATAGTTTGGTTCATTAAATAATAAAGAATCTACATCAAAGTGATATTTTAGTGTTTTCATTTATTGTCCTTCCTATTCCATTATAGGTTATTTGTAGTATTTTATTTATATTTTTTTAATTCAAAACTGTTTACCTACATTACAAAACATTGGCCTAGTAAAAATCATTTACTAGTTTAGTAAAATAATTTTGGCAAGCACAATTATCAATAAATAGTAAAATTCTAAAATTAATTAAAAAAGAAAATTTTATTTAGAAAACAATAAAAAATAACACTAAGATAAGTGATTTTTGTCTTATTCAAGATACATACTGTCAAAAAAGGCTTCATTTTTTTCGTTTTATTTACTACAAATTGATCTAACCCAGTTTTTACTTCTTAGGGTCCTATTATTGTCTATTTTTTCATTACTGTATTTGCAGTGCTTACGTCGTAATAGTCATAGCTGTAGTTGGGCCATGTTTTCGTATCACTTCTTCCTTTCATCGCTTCTTCGACGTCTTTCATCAGCCTTCTTGTCCTCAGCTCCAATTCTGCGTTGAGCTTGTGGTAGGCGGCTTCCTGTTCCAACAGATTCTCTTCCATTCTAGGAAACGTTTATGAGAAGATTGAGAGGTAGAAGATGAAAACTGATCACGACATGCGAACTGCTCAAAAGAAACAAAATGTGTTGTCAAGGAGACAAGAGAAACAGTACTCCAAACAGAAATAGGTCGTGTGTGAACATTACGCATCGATGGCCACGTGAGCACGCAACGAAACGGTGCTAAAAATCTATACAAAAATGACAATAAATTGCATTCTATATAACTGTACTAACGTTTACATAGAATGCAAATTTATTGTTGTGTTTTAAAGGTCAATTGAGAAATTCATGACTCAATAACAATATTTAAAATACGTGCTTGTAACTCCAAAGATGTGTAACTCCAAGCCATAATAATATCGATAAAAAGTAATGTTTATTGTGTTATTGAAAGATATGTTTAAAGAATTTTCAATAGTAAAAATAAACCTATGTTGTTTTTGTTTTTATATTTTATCTGTTTTAAAATGTTACTTAAGGTTCGTTGATCGCAAGGTTCCAGGTGAAGACCAAGAATGACCCAAGAATAACTTGGGAAACCTACGGACTCACATAATTAATAAAAAGTCAGAGGAAAAGTTCGTTTGTCAAGAAAGGTACTATCTATTGGTATGTTCTTCGGCTGTAATGTCCCAGGCATTGACCATTAACGGTCAAATTAGTATTGAGTTAAGTATCAAAGAGATGAGCAGTATATATTTCAGTTCAAACTTCTAAACCCACCTAAGTAATAAAAAGGAAGGGGAAAAGTTCATTGGTCAAGAAAGTACTAATCTGTTGGGGCGATCTGCTGCTCTTAGGTCTCATACGTTTTACGAACGATTAAACTTGGAATGAAGTTGGATCCAGTAAGATACAATAAGTATACTACAAGGGATAAATAGGATATTCCAGTTCAAACCAAAATTCCGGACCCAACTGGGTAATAGGAAAGTCAGTGTAAAAGCTCATTTTTCATGAAAGGTACTATCTGTTGGTACGATCTACGGCTGAAAGGTTCCAGGCGTTTACCAAGAACGATTGGAACTAGGTTTAATCTAGAGTAAGCATATTCAAAGGGATAAACAGGATATTCCAGTTCAAACCAAACTTCCGGACCCACGTATCTTATTACTCAATAAGAAAGTCAGAGTAAAAAGCTAGTTTTTCATGAAAGGTACTAATCTGTTGGTACGCCTACGGCTATAAGGTTCCAGGCGTTTACCAACAACGATTGGAAGAAGGTGGATTAATCTAGAGTAAGCATACTCCAAGGGATAAATCGGATATTCTAATTCAAACCTCCTGACCCACCTAAGTAATAAAACAATCAGGGGGGAAAGTTTGTCAAAAAGGTCTCAAGTCTATTAATCTGTTGGTAAGATCTACTGCTCTAAGTTATCAGACGTTTTACAAGAACGATTCTACTTGGATTGAGGTGAATCCAATAAAGATGTTCCAAGGGATGAACAGCATATTCCAGTTCAAGTAAAACTTCCAGACTACCTCAGTAATAATAAAAGCCTGAGGAAAAGTTTGCTTGTCCAAAAACGGTACTATTTGTTGGTACGATCTACGGCTGAGGTGGCCGGCGTTGACCCTGAACGATTAAACCTGGAATGAGTTTCAATTCAATAAGTATGCACGAAGGAATGAACAGAAATTTCAGTTCAAGCCCTTTTACCAAGGAAGAATCTTTAGATCAATAACGTGAAAAGGTCGAGTGGCAGTTCGGTTCTAAAATCAAATACTCACAACACTGTCTTTCAACTTTGTAAGGAAAGAGGTAACCGAATGTATTAAAGGAAGCAGGAAAAACTGCGAATCATAACAGGATTCTTAACAGGGCACTGCAAACTAAATGGACATCTGAAGAAGATTAGTATAACACAACATGGCATGTGCAGAGGAGACACCAACGTTATTAACAAATTCACTAGTTTTCGTGGTCCGCTTGACAAACCATGGCGTTTCACTTGCTCGTAGGAGGAAGTTTTTTGGGACATACAACGTACCATAGAAGAGATTAGACCACCGAAACCGGGCCTATTAATGAAGTTCCTTGATGAACTAGGACTTACCGGCGTGCTTTAAACACAGAACGGGGATACAATAGCTCATAAAGGGCGCAGTGTGCACGCCGACTAATACATCTATCCCTATAATATCCTTTTCTCTACTAATTTGACAATTCATTCTTATAATACTCTCTCTAACAATGATTTTAGATCAGGTCAAAATAATATTAGATGGTCTAATAAATGTGTTTCCCACATGGAAACGTACATTTTCAATGCTCTCCCTGTTAGTATCAAAATGATTAATAGTTTAAAAGGGCTTTGAAGATCCATTTCCAGAGAAAATTGTATTGTGATCTAAATGCATTTTTTAGTTCTTCGAGGAGATTATTGTGATAATTTTGTAATTACTTTTAAGTCTAATTGTATTAATTTATTTGTAACTCGGCGTGTTACAAATATGTTACGATACAACACCTAAACTGATAAATGATTCTATTTTATCTGTCTATCACTGTCTTACAAGCCGAAATTCGCCAGATTTGAATATTTTTCACGCGATTAAATTTGACGAGAGGGTATACACAAATAAAATTTTTAATAATTTTAATATCATTTAAGTATAAAAATTTGTAAATTTGGTCGACTGCAATCCAACAAATTACAGGTTCATCACCTTGCATCAAAAAATCTCAAAGTTTTATCAATTGTGACAAGCCAAGCAGATGTCACCGAATATGCACATCGACACTCGTGGTTCTTAATTGCAAGACCTGGGTTCCAGGACACACAGGAATAGTCGGAAATCAACCGTTCTCCAGAAATGCACGTACACTGTCAGAGGCATGATATACGATCTGATTTTCCTGCAGGACACATAAAAGTAAGCAGGAAACCAAATCATAACTCTCTTCACAATTGATAGATATCTGGGAAAGATAAGACCATCCTTTAATGGTAATGGTCTAGAGTGTAGAACGACCAGTGGATCAAGGGTCGATTCAGCTTAGGATAGTGCATGTCTCGTGTTATTCTCGAGATTTGTCGACACAGTATGGATTTTTTATAAATGTTGATATCTTTATCATGTTGGGATGCTAGAATGTTATTTGCTAAATATTTACTGATGTGTATATATTTTTTTAATGATAAATAAAGACAGTAAATATTCCCCCTCCCCCCATCGCTCTTCTGTTTGATTCGGCGTTGAAGTCTCTTCGTTTCTCTGTGAAAACAAGTTGGACCAATCACGATCTGTTGAACGGAACAAATCTTAGGTTCTACGAGATCACTACTGTCAATTATTGACTCAAATCGGTTTGTTGTTGTCATCAACAAATGCTGTTGATACAATTTCTCGAAAACGTAGGAGTGAAGGGAGAAACACCGACCTTGGGCAGAACAGTCAGGAGTAGAAAGCCTTGGGAAGTTCTGAGGAGGGCTCTGGGGGAATAGTACCCAACTAACAACCGGACAGTGAAAGGTTGAACGCCTTTCCACCAAGGCACCAATTTGAGATGGATATTTTTGTAAAGATCCTGTCCTCAGTGCTGATTCTCGGCGTTTTAAGTTACCGAGACGTTGATTCCATCGAAAGAAATGGTAAGTTAACGGTTTTTACGTGTTTTTTTAAATTTTATTCTTTTGGAGTTTCTTCCGGTTCTTTTCTTTTTCTGCGAACTTAATGTCACGTTATATCATTTGCCCTGCTTTTATGCCGAAGCAACGTGCAACCTTTCACAGACATGCTCATAGCTCAATAACTTTTTTTTTGTTCCATTAAACTTAAAAAAACAGTTAAAATAATAACAGACACCACCATCTTTGCAAGAATATCTTTTATATTCCAAAAACTAGTAACCATTTTATGATTCAAGCTTAATATAATTGTTTTTCAGTATTTAATTCCTCTTTGTAAATGTTCAGTAAAAGATATCCTTCAATATAAATAAACAGTAAAAATCTGGATAAATTACCATACGTTTTGTCATTTTTTTTACGAATTACAATCTTCAGAAGTGTTTTCTATAATTTATTTTAAATTATCACATTTTCTTAATGGTTTGTCTTTGTCGTTTTGTCTATCTTTGTCTATCCTTCTCTTACCATATTACATTTTACATGTTGGTAACGTGTTTAATCTAAAAAATAAACCTTGCCTCTTTTGACCCAGATAATTATCTTGTAAGAAAATGGAAAATTCATTGTTACAGGACTGATTGTTTGGATTTTATGCTACCACTAATTTGTATTAATCTGTTTTATCTATTTATCTACAAAACTAAGAAACAACTAAGTAACAGAGGTTTTCCATAATTTCTGTTATAAATATTAATTTCATAAACTAAGGCTTGATTCAATGTTTTATATGTAAATTAAAAATATCGTTGGGTTGATTGATAAAATTGAATATGTTATTATGTACAATTCTAATAGAAAATCTAGAAAATCAAGACAGTGTTAAAAATGTAGAGAAAAAATCCGGAATGGAAGGCAAAGTTCAAAAGATCAAGTATTTTTGGGTAGCTTGGGGGGCTAAATGGTAATGCTAAATTACATTAAAGGAAGGTCCATTTCCACTTATGTATGATATTACAAACATTTAACTTTTGATTTTTTGAAAATTGTCATTTCATGTTTTTTAATATGATTTATAGGCAAAGTGGTCGTATGCTATGTTGGAACCTGGGCGATTTACCGTCCAGGAAGGGGGATGTTCTCGGTTGACAGCATCGATCCCAGCCTCTGCACCCACCTCGTTTACTCCTTTGCCGGGCTCAACCCTTCAAACTGGACAATCATGTCTTTAGACCCTTATAACGATCTTGAAGAAAACTTTGGAAAAGGTGAGAACTCGTCGTCAACATGATCTTTGTATCGATTATAAATTTATTTATTTACAGGCAATTATAAAAAAATGACTGCTTTGAAAAAATCCCACCCGCATTTGAAAGTCACATTGGCCATCGGAGGATGGAACGAAGGGTCGGCCAATTATTCAAAGTTGGCTGAGGATCCTAATCGCAGAAGAATATTCATTGAAAGTGTTCTTGAGTTTATGAAGTACGCCTAAGTTAAATCTTTGTTTCAATTTAAAAAAATACTGCTTAATTTTTGTATTAATTACAGACTGTACGACTTCGATGGATTAGATCTAGATTGGGAGTTTCCCACAAAGCGAGGCGGAAAACCTGAAGACAAAACTAATTTCGTTTTGTTGATTAAGGCAAGATTAATATGTTTCCCACATATAATAACATTAAGATTTTTAATTTAATTGTTTTTTTCTTGGTTCAAACAATTTTTATTAGTTTTCTTTTCAAGTCCTTTCATTCATGAGAAAAGGAGATAAGTCCACCTTTTGTCAGAAGTTGCACCGATCCGTTATTTATTTAATTAGCCAAGAAATTATATCGGTCGACAAAACGAAAGCTAATGTTTAAAAGCTAGTTAATTGAGTTTCTAACGTGTTGTCTAAGAATTGGCCAACTTCTGAGGGAAAGCGAGTATTAATATATACATAGAAAACAATATGAGAAATTTTGTGATTGAAACGAGCACATTTCCCATTTTTATTCCTGTTAGTGAAAACAACATTTTTACAACCCCAAATAGATAACCCAAATTAAGTAAATATTTGCTAAAGGTAATTATAAATAAGCCGGTTTAATTTTAACTAATGAGGATAATTAAGAACCAATTATCTGTTTGTTCATTCGTGTATATCTGTCGTAATAAATTTTGTTTTCCATTTGTTTTCCTGTACAATTAAAATATTATTATGTGTTGTAAAAAAAACATATAATGCATGTATTTAGACCGATTATGGCGTCATTACATACAGCGATAATAAAAATTTTGTGGTGATCCATAAAATTATTATATTGAAATTATTTATATAGTTGTAATTTTTTTATGTTTTAAGTCTGTAAGCATTTTGAATTATTTGTATTATTTTTGGTTTGTATTTTCAGGAACTCGGTCAGTCGTTAAGACAACAAGGTTATATTTTAACTGCGGCTGTTAGTGCTGCGATTGACACACTATCGACAGGATATGATTTACCAGAGGTTCACAAACATTTGGATTTGGTCCACCTGATGTGCTACGATTATCATGGGTCTTGGGAGAAAAAGACGGGGCCGAACGCTCCACTTACTCCTGATACGGATTTACTGACAGTCGTGAGTAATTATAAAAAGAAAAACAAAACATATCCGCCATTTACAAATTTGTTTTGTTTCGGAAGGAGGCGAGCGTCGAGTACGCTCTGGATCACGGGGTACCTAAAGAGAAGCTGGTTATGGGTGTGCCACTGTACGGAAGGACCTTCATCCTTGACGGAGTGAACGAGACCAGCGGAAAACTGGGAGAGCCTTCAAAGGAAAATGAGGGTTTCCAGGGGCCGTTTACAAAAACAAACGGCTTCCTTGGGTTCAATGAGGTAAAACATACAAAACATAAAGGTGAAAAATAGACATGCGGTTAATAATTGGCATTTTTTTACAATACTGATTGAATAATTAAGTAAAAAAGTAATTTAATAGGAAAACCATGAAACTGGTGGCTGTTGTCTCGGAACGCACTACAGTCTATACTAGTGATGAGTAATTATTTATGAAAATGTCAAGGTGAGGCGATCATGCACCTATTCTTTGAAAACAACATTCAAACACCTGAACATTTTGTGAGTAATTTCAATTCAAGCATCACGCGAGCTTTGACCAACTTGAGCTGACACAACTAGCTTTTATTTCTTCTTCAGCCATAGCTCGATAAAACCTGAGCTTTTAGTAGATAATTTAGTAGGGCGAAATGATGAATAAAAATAGGGGTTGTCTCCTGGAGAGGCTCGAATTCTAGAATATTACTTTTTTAATGATTTGATGAGAAAACGTTCCGTTCTTTTCAAAAACCTGTACTTTGAACAATTTCAACAATTTCAGTACTTTGATGAGTCATAAAGGTGAAAAATGTGACATAACTGTACTTCTTACTCATAATCATTGAATGCTTGGCTCAGAAAAACGTGATCGGATAAGGTTATTCCAAAATTATGTCATGCCTGAATGCCGGAGAAGCTCAAAATCGAGAACATTTATTGAGAGGTAACATGAGAGAAGCTTTCGATATACCCAAAAGCTGGGTTTTTCGTCCATAATGTCATGTACAGTTGTAGTCTGGGGCTAACTTTAACTTTCAATTGAGATCATCAATCTTGAATGCTTTGCATAGAAAAAAGAGAGAAATAGGAAAAGTGATGTTCGGAAGAGAGTTAAGAACAGTATTCTGGAGAAGCTCGATACAACCAGCTTTTCCTTGTTCTTCAGCTTTAGCTAAGCAAAACGGTTAAATTGTACTCGGACAGAATGAGAGCGCTATGGAATCCAGGACATTTATTTTTGAAGTGGTTTGTCGAAGGAAACTTTTGATTACGAAAAGATGGGGTTTTCGTCCGGAATATTGTGTAGTGTCATCATGACATCTTCACATCAAAAGATCCCGGGTAATAAATTAATTAATCTTTACTTCCTAGTTGACCTTGATATTCTGTAGCTGTTTTCAATCATCTATCCTAGTATTTCAATTTCAGTACATTGGTAAGTCGTTAGAGGGGAAAACGTGGCACAACTCACTTCTTCCTCAGATTTTTATGATTGGTCCTGAAAAACGTGATCCATCGGAGAAGCAGTATTTTGAAGTGGTGTCTGAGATGAGAGCTGGAGAAGCTCTAATTCCAGAGCTATTTTATTTTTGAAGTGGTTTGATGAGAGAAACTTTTGATTAACTAAAAGCTGGCTTTTTCGTTCATAAGTCATGTAAATTCATCATAATGTCTTCACCTATCAAACTATCCCAGTAGGCCGAATCTAACTTTATTTTCAAGTTGAATCTTTCATATGTCTTTAATGCTTGGCCAAGAAAAATATGAGTCATGGGATATGAGATACTGTATGCTGGACTGGCTCGAATTCCAGAGCATTCGTATTTATGACAGTTTGACGACTTCCATGCCATGCAAATAAGTTACCTTCACATTTTCCAAAAGCTGAGGTTTTGTATATCATGACATTTTCACCTATCGCACATAGAAAAGATCGTAGTCAGCCTGAACTAACTTTACTTTAAATTGAGAAATCCATCAAATTTTATTATACAAGACCTCTTTGGCAAAGCTTTCTTGTCTTAGCCCAGGTTTTCTTTACGGCTATTGAAGGGCGTTAGAGGTGTAAAAATAAACCCACTTTTTTACTTAAGTGCCTACTCTTGTGGCGGGTTGCTTCTCCAACTCTCGGATTTCAATGTCTGACAAATTACATATGAATTTCCTGTTTTTTCGAGTATCAGGATTGTTTTTATTTACCAAAACAAAGCTATTAATATTGTGAACAGCCTGGGATAAATATATTCTCAAGGCTCGTGCCTCCCTCTCAGAATTTCGAAAACTGGTTCTCTGGACAGAGATTGTTGAAATGGCATCTTCACCTTCGCATATCTTTCGTGCTGCATCAGTGACTTCAAAATATTTTATTTGTTCTGGAGACATTCAAAACGGCAGATAACTCATTTCTTACTATAATGAAACACAACGCTTCAAGCGTGTAATCAGTCTCTGAAAACGCGTTAATTCTAAAGAATGAATAACTTCGATAAAAAATTATTAGTATAATTAAAGCCCTATTTCAATGTAATGACAGTTGATTTATTTTATAAAGAAACGGTCAAACTTGTGATAATTACAAGTTTATTGCAGTAAAGGCATCAACTACTCAGTGTCCTTAGCAGTCTGGGGTCATCAAAGTTATGCTTCGAACCTATCAAAGAATAGATCATTTCAGCCTCCAATAACAAGCTAAACATAATTTATTTCCTCATCCATTATTTAACTAATCTCGGTGAAAGCCGATTTGGTATTTAATGTTCTACCATTGATCCTCTCATTCCACAAATTCATACTAATCAATATATTCATTCACACAAGATGAACAATTACATTTACAAGACACAGCTAGGGATAGGGATAGGGGTAAGAGAGGCGGCCATAAGGCCTACTACACCTCGACCTGAATAGATCTATTGTGGTCCTCCGTTATTTATAACTCACTGGCCAGCTTCAGGCTATCAACCAGCCTACACAACCTTGCCAGCAGTTCCTTAGTGTAGGATCTTGCTTGTGGCTTTTCTTATCCTAGTTGCAAGAACCTGCACCTACATAGACCTTCACAGAAACATAAAATGTGTTCTGCGGTCTCCTCCTCTTCCTGGCAGTATCCGCACAGGGTTTCTTCTGTCTGTACTCCTATCCGGTGCATGTATTTTCTTAAGTGGCAGTCAGGAGTCCAACCAGAATCCTGGTTCGGTTGCGGTTGCCTTCCAGTAATTCTTTTGTAAGTTTTGCGGATGGCCCTTTTATGAATCTCTTCCCATGCCTCATACCTGTGGTATTGTTCTACCAGGTTTTGGACTCATTAAGGATCCTTTTTAAGATGTATCCTCTTTTGCGGCAGGCTGCTAGGTCGCAGTAAGGTTCTGGGCCCATAGAGCCATGTTGGCTCCCATTTTGGCCAACATGTCAACCTTTTCGTTGCCTCTATACCCCGAATGTCCAGGGACCCATGCCAGTGTCAGGGCATTAGTGTCGCTGACTTTCATCAGGGCCTCCATGCAATTCCAAACACTCTTTGCCTTCGCCCGCATGAGGCTAAAGCCCTGAGAGATGCCTGGCTGTCAGGGAAAATGGCTATCTTCCGGGAATGTATACCTAGCCTTTTTATTTCTCTGGCACATTGTTCAATCGCTATAATTTCAGACTGGAAAACTGTAGCATTCTTGCCTAGGTTTACCGTCAGTTCGGTCTTGTGGTTCATCCCAAAGACCCCAGCTCCCGTACCCTTGTCGGTTTTGGAGCCGTGATTATACCAGCAGGAATTTGCCTTTAGTGGTGTTCCTTTGGCCCATTCTTCCCGTTCTGGTATCAGTACTTTGTACATCTTGGCGAAGTTGTACTTTGGAGTAGTGGCATCAATTGGCATCCATAGAATGGCATTATTTACATGGCCTATCCTAGCAGATGGTTGCCCATTTATGAGCCTGTGAGCTGCTGCTCTGGCTTCTCCTTGGATTAAAACACACAGCCAGTTTAAACATGGAACAGATGACAAAAATACATGGTGTTTTAAATAATAATTGTCATGCTTACTTTCTTCCTGTATATAGCCAACGCACGAAACCTTTCTATTGTCTGGCCTTATGCTTTGGCAAAAATTAGGTGCCTGTGTATAATTGCATATGACTTATTTGTGTTTTATATGTTTCTTATGCATTTTTACATCAGTTGATTTTAATGACAGTCTCATAACTTTCTCAAGATATATCAGAAATATACTAATTTTTGGTTGTTTTTTTCCAAAGATCTGTAACGAGTTGAGATCACCTGAGTGGAAAGGACACTGGGACAATATTTCCAACACGCCTTGGGCTAGTTCAGGCAGCAAAGTTGTCGTGTATGACAACGCCATGAGCATCAAGTTGAAAGTGCGTATCTTTGCAATTCGGTCATGTATTTTTCATCACAAAATTTTTAAATTTTTGCAGGTCAATTACGCCATGGAAATGGGCCTGGCTGGTATCCTGACGTGGTCGATTGACACGGACGACTTCCATGGAGACTGTTCCTTCCCAGGCGATCCTGAGCCCAAATACCCTCTGGTTCGAGCCATCAACGAAGCGATAACCCAGTCTTTTGTCAGCCCTGCAAAAGAAAAAAGCTCTGCTTCCCAGACTGCTGTTTCAGCTTTCGCCTTTTACATTGTTTTTATCGTTGCCATTTTATCATATTAACTAAAGACAAATTGAACAAAATTAAAAACTCATTGACATTATAGTATTAAATTAATGTATATTAGTACATTAAAGTATATTAAAAAGTGAAAAAAGATTTTCACTGCTTGTTCAACTTATAACTTATTATGGAGGTGTTTAATTTTTTTTATATGAGTTTTATTTTTGAAAATTGTCTGTTAAAGCTAAGCAACTCATATCGCACTGAGTTGTGTGTAACTCACCAATATTGTCTCAGGTGGTAAACCATATTGCCACTAAATGCTTTCTAAGATCCTTTTCAGTTTATACACCTCCTTCATTCTCTTCATCACTGATGTTTTCTATTTTTTTCTTTTTGCTTTCTTCGCCTTCTAATTGGCCCTCAGCATTTTTCTACATTTTATTATTATGCTCTTCTTTATAATTTCATATTCTTATCATAAATCTAATCATGGTGGTAAACCTTTTCTAACATTTTCATTTTTGTACACTTACCTGTACCTCTTTCACAATATTCATCACTGATATTTTCTCTTTTTATGTTCTTCTTCTTTAAATTGTTCCTCAGTATTTCTACTTTTCCTTCTTATTTTTTCTTTATAATATCTTCTTTTTGTCATAAACTTAATATACATATATACCATTGTTAAATATTTTGTAAAGCGTGGTGTCATAATTGTAAATTGTATCATATTAACTAGTTTGCAATACGATTTAGTCAAAAATAAATATTTAATTATGTTGAACAATTTTGTTCCTCCTAACGTCCTAAAAATAAATAATTACACAAAAACTAATTTACTGAAGTCGTGAGGAGCGGTCAAGGAAGAAGTATTTTTTTAAAAAACACTTTTTTTCATTTTTTGGCTGACGTTTCGACCATCTTCAGGGCCTGGGTGATTTACAAAACATGTTAATTAGAAAAAGTACACTAAAGATGTAATTTTTTTTAACGAGGGTTCGCAACAGCAGAGGTTATATCAACCCTCGGGGTGCCGGTGTTTTTCAAAAACCGGTGTAAGTATGTCGGGTTCGAATGCAGGAACCCTGGATTCGAACCCGGGACCTTTACCTTACAGCGATGGGTGCCGTGCCAACGCCTAAACCGTTTCGGCCACCGACGACCCCTAAAGATGTAAGTAATTATAAATTTTGAACTAACTATTTCATTTTCTTTTTTTCTAGAAATGGTTTACATTAACAGAGAAACTCACAGCATTAATTACAGAACAGATTCATGCAAACTTAGCCGTAGCTACGCCATCATAAAGCAAATAAACCATTAAACTTTATTTTTATATTTCCCTTTCCTTCGTTATTTCCCATATTAATTAACTTCCTTTCCAATATTGAATAAACCCCGAATCACAAATCCATCAATGCCGAAATTTATTGCTCTCAAATTGAACCAACGCACCAGAAATTGGCATTATTGAAGCCATATTTGGTCATTAGAAAAAGGCCGATTATGTTTCTCGACAACGCTCGGCCCCATGTCACCACACATGTTTGTCCAACACGAAAAATGTTGGCTCTTCGTTCTTCCTAACCCTCCTTAATCTGCAGACCTCTTGCCTACTGAATACCATTTTTATCAGACCCCTAGATAACGTTTACAACATAAAAATTTTATTAGTCAAAAGTAATTAGAAAATTCGTTTACAGAATTTTTTAATAATAAAGACTAAAAATTCTATTCAAAGGGTTTAGAGATGTTGCCCTCATGTTGGAAGAAATGTATTGAGAGTGAATAATAAAAAATATTCCAAATAATTTATCTAATTGTTTTTTATTTTTATTTTATAACCAGGTGCAGGTTTATGCATTAGTTTCCGGACAACCCAACACTTTCTCACCTTCTACCTCTCTTCTCATGAACTATGAACATGATTAAGATTGAATTTTTATAAATAAATATCGAAAATAGTTCAATCTTTTTATTATTAGCCACCTTTTATATTTTTTACCTGTTACTTCTATGTTCTCCTAATGGTTCTACCTCACCACATTGTTCACCTTTTACTTATTATGCTTCTCTTATTATTATCTCCTTATTTCCTTCTACTTCTCTTTATGAACTCACGGGCGCGTAGGAACAGAAATGACACCTATCATCCTTCTTCTCCTTTAATCTTTTGTCCTTCTTGGCTGTATCTTTTCTTCTTCTAAATCTTCTCTTGGACGTTAAATAATATTAAGGAGGAGCACAATAGACCTAATCAGTGCCATGGTACACAAAGGACATTATTACCATGTTCGGTTATTTAATAAGTTGTAATTTCATAATATCTCTATTATTATAATTTCATATAACCTTTCATTATCGTGAACGTGTACTGCTTTCTTCATTTTCTTCTTACTATCCACATCTTTTTTCTTGAAGGTTGAATAATATTAAAAGAGGATACATGTCCCGGAGAAGCGCACTGGGCCATTACAGCCAACTCCCGTTTGAAAAGTTGAAGTTGCGTTGAAACGTCTTGTGTCTACGATAATTTATATTTCTAAATTATAATGTCAATGGGTAAACACCATTTATTTAAACAAAAAGTAAAAGACGAATTTCCATTTCTTATTAAGTTCGCAATAGGGGTTGCGCAATTTGAAAACGAGCGTTGAAAGTTTTTACTCGCCCCGTGTTTTGCGGTTGACCGAAGTTATTTCTCGTTCGACGCTAAACAATAATTGCTTCAAAATTTCACGAATAAAAATAGAATGATTGTTTCGAAAGTTAATAAAAGTAAAAATAAAACAAATTGATTTTCGAATCGGATGGTTTTATCGTTGGATTTATGATCAAGCGTGTCCATATTTTGTTCGTCCAGGACAAAAAAGAAAAAGGATCGTGATAAATTGCAGGCTCTCTGTAGTGTAAAAATATTAATACTTATTAAGGAGTTATTGAGATTAAATTTTGACACAATTATGAAAGCTTCTTGCGTTATTTCTTGAAAATGACACAAAATTGACGATAGCAAATGATATAAATTGAAATTTCTTAGAAGATGGTTCTGTCGATGGTGGTATTTGCTAGATGGCTGGTACTAATTCGATCCAAGTGCATACAGCCTCTTCGGAATGGTGGTACTAACGCCTAAAGAAATAAGCGAAGAGGAATCTCGGAAATTGTTAAACAACCTGCTAACAATCCTTTTTCGAGGCTTGGAAACAAAGAAGGGTCAATTCCACAATAGATTTTTTTAGGTCTTAGTGGAAGAAAGAGTAATTTTAATCACCAGTGATCCGGAAGAAGAACAAAAAAGTACAGATGATCAGATTATCACAGGTACTAAAAACAGAATAGATATTAGGATACTTTCGCCAGCATCCTTAATCTCGATGAGCTCGACATAATCAAGAGGCCAATTTCAATCAATATTTTTCATTACAGTGCAGCACAATCGACACGTTAATTTTTTTTTTTTTTGGTGAAATTTACGTAAAATCTTAAAAGACTTGGAGGGGGATGTTGGGCAAGCCCAATGATCCGAATCATGGTTTACTTATAAAGAGACTTTCTGTCTACAGATACCATTTCTTTCTGCACAGCCATGGGAATTTTCATAGTAAGTAGCCGAAACGTTTCAATTCTATGTCCTTAGCAGAATTCAATACGCTCAGTGATCTAGAAGTATATTTGTGTGTGCGTGCGTGTTTTATGAGTGGTCTCTCTGTCTCTGTCTCTTTCTCTCTCTTTTTCTTTCTTCCTTTCTCTCTCTCTCTCTCTATCTATCTCTCTCTCTCTCTCTTTCGCTCACCTAGGACTTACACTAGACAATAGGCTGGAATAGAATATCCATAATAAAGATCTTGTCAGGACGACAATATGAATTCCAAAAAGCTCATTTACATATGCTGCGCGCTCGAAGTAATAAGATTCGTGTTCTTACAAAATAGCATAATCCTTAGACTGGAACCGAACATCCTCAATTCTAGGACCAGCATGTCATATTATACATGTTTCAGATTAGTCAGCCATTAGATCCCTGTAAATAAATCATACACCATATGTGTGACATATTAGCTATTTTAAATAACATTTAAGGCCAAACATTTGCAGATTCATTGTTCATTCTCCAACATTATTATTAAATATTTCTTTAAACTTGCAATAAGATTAATAATATGAAAGCTATGTTTCGTTTGGTATGTCATTGTTCCATTGTGCCTGTATTGTGACAGTTTTGTGTATGTACATAAATGAGTATATTTAACCTATATGAAAAATATGTCATTTTTTTAGGGTTCGTTCTGTTGGTCGATGATTCTGGCGTTAGCTGTTAGCCAAGCAGCACATTTCCCAGCTGGAATCGACCCGAGGCTCTGCCCCAACTATCCTCAGTGTGACAACGCCATCCTGGCAGCTTTTAGTAAAAACCCGTTGCCATTCATGAGGTAAAGTTTTCAAATAATCTTCAAAACAATATCATTCGGTTTAAAATGAAACGGAGTACCATTTGTATAAGGTCAACTCCGAAGGCACTACATATGTTTGTGTGTTAATGCATACAATGTACATAACATATATTTTTGTCATCATATGATTTATTAATTATCAATACTTTCACATACCACTCGACATTGGTGGCTACTGTGGTATAAAAAAACGTATCGTTTGGTGACAGCGGTGGGATCGAAAAACAAACGATACAATTGGTGGCCAAGATTTGATAAGACAAATATTAGTTGGTAGCTGTACAAGAAATCTTAGAGAAACCAATTAGTGGAAAACACAAAAAATGATGACAACGGCAGAGGTGGGATTACAAGCCAAACTTTACAATGGTCTGTTGGTAACAGCGTCAGGATCAAACAAAGTTTATAGTCAATGGGACATAAAAAAGATTTTAATTTGATGATAATTTTGAAACTCCAAACTAAACCTTACCGTCAGGGGTATCTACAACAAACATTCCAACGATTTTCTGAACAAGCTGACCGTCTACAATACCAACACCAACAAAGAAATTTCAATTAATTCAAATTTTTCTTCAAGGGAATTTTAAGTCGCAATTTATAAAAATAAATAAAAAAATAAATTAATTGAAAAAATGCAGAAAATTGCAAAGGAAATCTAGGGCAACTACCTCTCAGAATAGGAGTTGATTTACCCCATACTTAAATCTAATAAGATTCATTAATCTTTTTATGTAAGGAATTGGTTGAAATGGTTTAAATAAAAAAGCTAGTGTCACGAGCGGGATTCGAACCCACAACCTTCTGGGTTCAATCGGACCATGAAATATAATGGATCTAGTAAGAAGGTCAATAATATGCCTAATTGCCATAAGTAACTGCTTAGGTAAAAATTGTAACCGCTTTATTAAAAACAAACACGAATACAAATCAACAAGATTTTAATTAACCTGCTCTATGGAGTACAGACTGCAGATCATGGGGATCTACTACTGACAGTATGGGACAAAGGAGGCTTAACTCAACTTACAAGAGTTCTTTAACCATAAGTTTATCATGTTTTTGTTTGTTTCAGAGGTGGTTCTGGTAGCGGAAGAAACAACGGAGGAGCAAGGGATATCGAAATAAACCATTTTCTTTTCACACCCCCAGGATATCCGGTGGGCCTGACTAGAGATCAATGCCCTAACTATCCTTTTTGCCATTAGGCAACTGATTTGTTGATATCTATTAAATTGTTATAGTGACCAAAAATAAATTGTTACTACATTTTAATATTCTAATATATTTAATGTTTTTCGTTTGGAGACCCAAGAAATTTACAAACTAAAGTCATTATATATATTTGAGGGGATATTTTAACATTTGTAGAAAAACTGAATACGGTTTTAATCTCATCCTTTCATTAAATCCTTGCGGTAATCGTCACAAATGGTTATTATTCATTATAATTAATCATTACGACTAGTATAATAATTTGCAAAAATGTAAAAAAGGATGTAATTAAAGAAAAATCTCCTGTTGAAATTATATATTCAAAACGTCCATATGGTATTTTATATAAACAAATTATAATATGTGACTATCTGTAGTATTTTTCATTTAATTTACAACCATAAATTGCATATTTTTAATGTAAATAACACGTAATTTAAAAATAACGTCAGAATTCACGATTTTACATGCTATATATTAATTTTTAATATGTTGTTATATTTATTATTTTAATGAATGTTGTAAGTTAATGTAAAAATATCATTTTAAATTTTATCCAAGATCGAATATATTAAATAAATCAATTTATAGTTTGTTGTCTGTCCTCAAGTTCCTACTTTTGTGTTAATGTTACTGTAAGATGTTTTTATTGCAAGGATTCGAAAATATAATTTAATAAATAAAAAACTATCTTATATGGAATTTTGGTGACTTCTGGTCGAATTTGTTGCAGTTCGAATCCCAGCTTTGCAACAGAAATTTTCTGAAACTACCTAAGCGGGTCTGTCTCCTTTTGAAGGAAAGTTAAAATTAGCTAAATTTACAAAAAGGGTTTTAAAAAAGTAAATACATTTATCCGTACGAATTATTTATTAAAGTGCTTTATTATGTTAGTATTAATCAGCCTAAATAATTATATTCTATATGTTGGTCTTTATCAATCATTTTGGTCTGCCTATCCTCCATGGGTCGGTTTATCAAACACGTTTGGGAATTTAGTTATTTTAGTAATTTTTAGTCTGATAATGGGTGTTATTATTTAAAAATTTAATTAGTGACCACCGGTATCGACCAAATTACAGGTTCATCATTCCGCAAACCACACGGAGAAATCTCAATATAATTTATATTCTTTGAAGTTAGCAATATAAAAGTTATAAATATTGCGTTTAGATTTGAGATGAACATAAAAAAGAACGAAATAAAACACAGACCAACTACTGAGATGGCAAAATAAAGGAAGAATGGATAGGCCAAGAAGAATTGTTGGTACCTTTGTGGCAGGATATTCACAATATATTCCAAATAGACTTAAAAAGAGGATGAATAAATGATCAATAACTGGCAAGCAAATGATCCATAATGTACATGTTTTTGTAAAATTAAGAGACGTGCGTCATATTATTTTTGACACGTTCAGTGGTAAAAGTTAGTATTGATTTGTTCTGTAATGAACCCTACCTGTTTACTGAATATTATATGGACAGATTGGTTAAATTCTCTCTCTCTCTCTCTCTCTCTCTCTCTCTCTCTCTCTTTTCACTCACCCTCTTTCTCAATCTTTCACTCTTCTCTCTTTCGATTGCAATAAATTGACAAGAACAAATATTATAACAAAAAGTTTTGACGTTTTGGTACTAGAAAATAACAATACCATACAATACTTAAGAACAGTAAGAAGACACCAATACCTAGAGCAAGAAGGTAATAGTAACGAAATATTTTTATAATGGTCGTTTTTAATTAATTTTTGCAATTTTATATATCAGAAATGGCTTTAACAACGACGTTCATGGTTTTTACTGAATTTTAAAATTAGCTTTATCAGATGTTTTAAATTTTTTTGGGGGTTTGTGAAAAACAATCCTATTAACAATTATTGACAAAAGAAAACGGAATAAAACAACATCAACAATAATTAGAACGAGAAGACGACAAATGAACAATTACAAGAAAAAGATGAGCAACAAATCAAGAATAAGAATAATAAACAATGCTTTTTAAAATCGTCGTTTTTTAAACTTTTTTTAGACTTTGATACGAAACATCAGAAATATATGATACGAAGTTCATTGGTCTTGAACAAAAACATCCTGTTGCCAACGCTATTATAAAAAGAAGTGGAACAAAATCCATAAAAATAAGAACAACAAACAACATCTACACCAACAACAACTAGAACAGGACTAAAAATTAACGGACAACAATAATAAATCAAGGACAGCTTTTTAAAATCGTATTTCTTTTATAAATCAAGTTTTGCATCTTCATACAATACCTTGAATTATCTCAGTTGGTTATAGCACATTTTCCATTTCTCCTTTGAAGAATAGGTATTTGGCAACATTGGAACAAAGTTATTGGTATGTTAATAACAATAAAAAACAAAGTTAGCAAACGAACATTTACTAAATTCAATAACAAAAATAGCCAGTTAAACAACAGCAAATAAAACAGGAAGAATATAAGATATATATATATAAGACGAACGACAACAATATTTTTTTGCTTCTTTAAACTTCTTCATTTTTGATTCTTATGTACCAGAACTGATTATAGCTAGGACTTTTTTTCTTTTTAGCACTTACAGATCTTCAGACATGTTAGTAGAAAAATAAAAATCGTTAGTATTCACGATTTTAGCATTGAACGCTGTTAATTAGTAATAATTTTCTTTTTTTATTAGTTATTTAATTGAGAAGCGACTCTTGATGGAATCATAGGTGATAACAAATAGATCGATTCGACTCCAAATGTTGTGCTGCGGTTTGCTATGACAACAAGACGCGGAGGAATTTCTGGGAAACGCCGTACCGCTGCAGACCTCAGTGCTGGTTCTGTCGGCCGATTGTGCGACCGTCCCGTCGCGCTGGATCTCTCCCATACGTGATATGGGATGTACGAGCAGCAGCAAGAGTAAAACGAACGTAATTATCAAAGAGCTGTGTGTAGTTTCCTTTTTCCGTACTTTATGATTTTGTTTAAATATATATAAAGGGAAAACTTACGGCGGAGGAAGGAGCGGATTTGCTCGACACCTATATGAGACTGGACAGGGACATTTTCAGGGAAGAGCGAAGTCCTCCTGCTCCGGCTTTAGGTAATGTTTTTTAAGTATAAAAGTCGGAAGTCAGTTCGCAAAACAAAATTTCTAGTGTAATTTTAATGCTTGAATTTAACTGACCAATCCAATCTTGAAATATTAAATTCTTGATCTTCTCTTCTGTAAACGTTCATCACCTCCCAGTCTTCATGAGAAATCCGGGACCTCAGTCACATATTTAAACCTATATTGGAATGTTTAACCACAGAGTTATAACAGAGAAGAAATGCTTCCGATATGGATATATGGAAATCAAAGAGGGGTTAACAAAAGCCTGAAGATTATTCAGTAATCTAATAAGAAAATTTTCCCCAAAATAAAAATAAAAACTCTTTCCTGTCAATTGTGTCATACTGCATGCCTATGCCTCCCATATGCCTGGGATGCCATAAAATATAAGAAAACAGATCTGAAGTAGAACTGAATTTCCTTGTTAAAAAGATAGTTCCTACTCAAAGTTAGTCCACTTACAACACACTCACTCCACCATTTATCATTTCTATTAATACGCTAGTCAAAGCAGTAATGGATTATAACGCAATTAATAATAATACCTCTTGGAATTCGTTCTTGCTAAATTAAATATTAAGAACTGTTCAACTCTCTTACAACATAAATGCCAAAAAGCCATATTAAATAATGAATTACATAAATTGCACTGTCAAAGAGATACAAAACGTTTTTTTCAATGTCTTGTACGCATTAGATTTGCCTCATTATTGTCTCCAGTAGAATGGGATAAATTTGATTATGATACGCGATCAAAAGTTAAATTTATAATTGATAAAAAACAAAGTATATTGGATTAAAAAAATTAAAAACATGAAGTACTGTACACTTAAAAATAATAATATTCCTGAAGACCAGGAAACTCCAATTAAATTTTACCCAAGGTTTATAAACTTAACAAACATGGAGCTAAATAAAGAAGAAAACAATTTATTAAATAAAGGCTTAAAATTTGTCCCAAAAAACGGAATTAGATACAAAAATTACTATCCCTTGGTTCATCGGTAGATTGTTGTAACGTAAATACAATATAAAATATAAATGTGCAGAAGTTAAAATTAAACAAAACTTAAACAAAAATCTAAACGTCCAAATATTAAATATCCTACATATCATTAGGTCTATTGATAAAAAGTTAAAAAGTAACTATTAACTTTATTTTAAAAGCCGATAAAAGGAAATAGTATAATTAACATTGAACATCAAAAATACGTTAAAAACTAACTGGGAGAAGGAACTATTTAAAAAAAGATTGAACAACACTCTTACTCCAACATTTATCATTTGTACTGAATCTGCTTTGCTGCAAAAGAATTGCTTGCAAATGTAAAAAAATAGGAAGGGGAGAAATATGAAAAAAATCAGAGTACCTCATCGAGTACAAGAAGACCAAATGTTTAATACGAATACATATTTTTTCACTATAAATTTGACTTTTATAACCTGCCATTTAATGTAGGCGAAACGTCTGATGGATTTTCGAACAGCACGAACCAGGAAGCGGATCTTCGCGACTGCTGTGTGCAGCGTTGTTTTTGGCCGGAAATCAAAAGAAAATGTCACAAAATTACGACCTGGTCGGGGAATTGCGTAAGAGAGTGAAACTACAGTCTGCGAATTCGGTTTCCTAATCTTTGTCGTGAGATCCCAGTTTTGAAGTGGTCATGCCAATTTGCCACTTGGTGTACACGAAGATAGGATGAATTGAATTCTCTCTTACAAAGACAGTGGGTGTTGAAAATTGATTTACATTCGACAAACAGCGAGGACAGATATACAGATATATATTCAATTTATGTTCATGTTTATCCAAGTACCTTGATTGAGTCCAACAGATAAATAGGGAAATGGGACCTATAAAAAATTTTCGAAGCATAATTTGACAAACGTGACCCTGTTACCACAATAAAACACCCAAACATATATGCCAAAACCTCATTGAAGATGACACCGAAACGCGAATGACAGACAAAATCCAGGCAGGATAATCAAGCTACAGGAAATGTTTCACTTAAAAGACAAGACAATTGTAACATAAATCAATGGATAGTGAATCTATTTTTGCTAAACACCAGCCTTGAATTATATTAGACAATAAAGCAAATCATTCTATTATTTTTTTTTCCAAACAACTTTAAGGCCATGCAATGGTGAAGTTGGACAGGCTCACAACACAATTGGATTTGGCAATGATGGACGCGTCGTTAGACCATGATGAACACCACATAGCCGTACCAGGAACTGTCCCTGAGATTGACACGACGTGAGTTTTGTTATTTTAATATTTGTTAAAATTAATAAATTTAAAAAAAAATTAAATTAAAGTCGGCTGGAAAACTACGACGATTCAATAAGGAGAGTCCTACATGAGCTTTCTTTGAATAGGATGCCAGACCAGGCGATGGAACACGAGGAATTCATATCCACTTTGAATCGAAAGGTATTTGGACAATTGAACCATTGGCAATATTACTAAATATTCTTTTTATGTAAGATCTTGGTTGGCTCAATAAGCCGCTGCTCTAACCTCTAACCTCAATTGAGCCGAAGGTTCGAATACCGCTCGTGACACTCACTTTTTCACCTCTACCAGCCCTTACATAAAAAGAATAGTTAATTAATGTAATTAATATGGTCAATTAGACCACTAAACATAAATGGATTAATATTACTAAAGTTAAGCCATATAAAATACATATCAATACCCATAAATAATAAATTATATATGAACTCCTAATATTAGATTGTATTTTAAATTAATTAAGTTGATTGCAATCCTTATTTTATAAATTTGTTTTTGACACAATTGGGTTAACTAATCGACCAGTTCTTAGATAATAAAAATCTTTTTTATATACGCAAACTTCAACTGAAGATAAAGGCGTCATGTCAACCGTCCGAAGACAGCCAACTTTTCAATTTGCTGGAACAAATACAAACATATCGCTTGCTCAATAGCAATTCTAGGCTCGTACTGCGACCTACGATATTTGAAGCACCGACGATAACCTCATTTGAACCCAGTAAATTAACTGGTAACATTCCAGTAAAGTGATAATACCATGAGGAGTGCAAGAGAGATCAATGATTAAAATGAAATTAATAATGATCGAAAAAAGTCTATATGGAATCCCACAATGCCTGAGTTGCTGAGATCTTGCTTCAACTAAGAAAGTTCTATTTGAAAGGATTGACAAATAATTAACGGTTCTTGAGCACAACGTTCATTATTGTGATTATGAGGAAATGATAGTTAACGCTTTGTTCTTGAAAATAGGCTATGAAGCAACACCGTATTTTCTGGTTGAACAGGAGAAAACAAGATGCCCAAGATGAGGTGACGAGGTTGTCCGAACGGGTTCAACATCTTCAAAATCTCTACCAACACCACGACACTCTTACAAGTCAGTAGTATAAAACCGTTTCCTAGAGGATTTATTTTTCTGAATTAACCCCGGATATCTGTCCAGACAGTGTAGGCTCTCCGAAATCCGAGCTTAGAGGTGAAGCGGACCGTCTGCGGAGCTACAGGGACACTCTTTACTCCGGGGAACTCTCCTGGAAGGAAGCAGGACGTCTCGTCCAAGCTGCTGCCACACTGGGGAGGTCAGGGGTCGACAGCTGGTCAGAACTTCAGGACACACTGTGAGTACCAAATGGTTCGGAACGTTCAAAGAAAACATCAATTATTTGACCTGGTCGCTTGACAATCACAGCCTGGCCTTTTAACTGAGATAACAGTTCCCAAATGAGTTGTTCTTGTACTTAAGAAGTTTAAACAATTAAAGAATTAACATGGCTATTTTTTAGCGTGTTGTAAATTGTCAATGGCGGTCAATCGTTTTATGTCCATTGGGTTTAATTTATATACAGGTCATTTATTACTAAAAGAGAACCGAGATCATTTGTAAGTAGGGTAGTCCAGTTGTTAAATTTCATTTTAGACCTTGTCAACTAAGACCACGAGATATACTAGTTCATTCACAAATTCATTCTAGATAAACATAAACATAAATAAGGCGATGTCCACTCTTTACTTAAACTTCGTTTGATCCTTGTAATTAAGAAAATTAAATATGACGATAAAAGTTTATGAAACTGCAAGGTAGTCAACATTGGATGTGTGGAAATGGTAATCACTGGCGTCTCAACGAGAGGAAAGGATGAGACCTAAAACATACCCTTGAAGTAGGCCAAACGAGCCTTGTCAACATACAAATGGATAACTATTATCTTTTTTATTATGAGCGTGTACGTTGTCGGTTTTCTCAGAATTTTCTTTTATAAAGCTGAGTAACACATTGAGTACGATGTTGACTTGATAATTTGGCCTACTTGTTTACTTATATTATTGTAATAAAATTATTATTTTTTTTACTTTTTGTTAAAAAATAGAAATACAGACTCCAGATGGACGCTGGCACAGGCGGCAAGAAATTGCATCCATGAGGCTCTGCTCTGCATTAACGCAGGACAGGCCGTACTTCCGGGCGTACAGTTTCCCTATTGCTCACAGAGGGAAATTCAAACTGTCCACCAGGTGACGACCACCACTTGAAACAAAAATGACAAATTTAATTTCGAAGGATTAAAATATTAACTACAGGTTCTTGAATACCTTTATACGGACATGCAGATACCGGAACGGTACAAGCACGCTGCCAATGTCTACAGCAGCTTTCAGAAACGTACCTCTGCCCTTTACCAATGGATCAACAAGGTAGACAAACTGTGGTTTGTAAAAATTAAACTATTTTTTTTTAATTTAGAATTATGTTGAATCACAACAGACCAAACGTACCAAACGTATGAGGACAAAATAGGCGGACCAAGTTAATCAATCGGATCAGGAATAATCCTACTATAATTTCTTTTATGATTATTACAAATTAATACAAGTCCTTTTATTAAAAATAATAAATAGTGGAACAAGGGATGCTTTGGTAACTAATGCTGAAAGCCAATGTGAAGATCCATACTTAAAACAAAGAAAATTCTCTTGAATTTTGTCATCATGAGTGATCAATGTGTAGAAAAAAATTCTTTTATACATAATTAAAGACCATTCCTAAGCTGACGACCTTGCTGCCAATATTTCAAAACTATTTCCATGATGGTGCCATCACTATCTATATATCAAGTCTATTTTTAAGCTGGCAATATTGCTGTCTATTAAATCTATTATATTTGGTGGTCCATTGACCAAATTACTTCTTTCAATTACTTAATATTTTTATGTAAGGTTTTGGTTGAAATGAAAAAGTTAGAGTACATAATGTATATAATGGATTTAATAAGCAAAAGGAAAAGTATAGCTTCACTAACAACTCCCCGTGGCCACTTGATATGTCGCCGAGAAAATTGGAGAAAAATGGCAAAAAGAGGGAAAATTCGAAAGGTTGGAGGTTGAGATGGGGAGTTGATGTTCGAGTGGATCGAAGGCACGATAGCTCATGCGGTTAGAGCAGCGGCGTATTTAGCCGAAGGTCGTCGGTTCAAAACCCGCTCGTGACTCTAACTTTTTCATTTCAACCAAAACCTCACATAAAAAGAATAAAAAATTGCTGACTATATTTCGACACTATTCTATGCGGTTGACACTGCTGTCTAAAATCAATTTTATGCAAACGACATTGCTATCTATATTTTAAGATATATNATATATCTATATATATATAATTTCTATACTGATGATACTGACATTACAAGATGTCACTGTTGTCTAAAATCAATTCTTATGCATAGGACATTGTCATCTTTATTTCAAGACTATTATTTCTATACTGCCTACATTGCTATCTACATTTTAAGCTGGCAATATTGCTGTCTATATATCTACATATTCTATGCCAATATCTCAGCTGCCCGAAAACAAATTCTTTTACAGAGGACATTGCTATCTATATTTCAAGACAGTTATTTCTATATTGACAACATCTCTATCTATATTTCAAGACTATTATTTCTATATTGACGACATTGTTACCAAGATTTCAAGACTATTTCCATGATGGCGACATCACTGTCTATATATCAAGACTATTGCCAATATTGATATCTATATTTCTACACTATTCTATGCGGTTGACACTGCTGCCTAAAATCAATTCTTATGGACAGGACATAGATATCTATATTTCAAGATTATTATTTCTATACTGACTACATTGCTATCTATATTTCAAGACTATTTCTACGCAATATTTTTGTCCATATATTTACATATTCAATGCCAATGTCTCAGCTGTCTAAAAAGAAAATCTAATACAGACCACATTGCTGTCTGCATTTCGAGACAACAGATTTTCTAGACAACATTGCTATCTTTCAAAACTATTTCTATGCTGGCAAGATCACTATCTACATATCAAGATTATTTTTACGCACTAAATACTGTTGTCTATATTTCTAGGTCTATGCCGATGGCTCTGCTGCCTAAAATCAATTCTTATGCAGACGTCATTGCTATCTATATTTCAAGACTATTATTTCTATACTGACGATATTGCTATATATATTTCATGACTGTTTCTATACTGATAAAATTACTTTCTAAATTTATAAATTATTCGTTTACTGATTGTATTACTTTTGATAATTTAAAGTCATTTATGCTGGGCACATCGCTAACTATAAACATTTCTTTACATCCCTTCGTTAAAAATTATTAAGACTATTAATATTTATTAATAATCATCATAAAACATGAATGCTCGATGTAATTAAACAAGGCTTTTTTGCTAGTTGTGTTTAATAGTTGTTCCTTTTCTCGCTTACATACAGGACTGTGTAATAGTAGAACGTTACGAGAGTTTAATGTTTGTTCAGAGTTTTCGTCATGCTAAGTTTGCTAAGTGGTTATTCGAATAAGTAATGGTCACTAAAATAAGCTTCTTTAAACACGAAAGGCATGCGATTAGTATTAAAATAAACACATTTAGGCCAATTACAAGCGTACAAATGTATACAGAAATATGTATACATTTTTCGTCTCGCTTTATGAGTAAATTCAAAAGTTACAGGGAAAAACAAAAAGTTACCCTACGTCACATTTAACGTATACGGTTAAAGCCGAAAGGGTTGAAACAGTTACAATGCCATCCTTTTTGTTGGAAGAGCCAATCAATTGAATTGAACCGGGTCTAGGGTAATGACTTTTATTATCGCAACACCGATAATGATTTGTATAGGGTGACCTTTGGGAGTTTTGAAATGATCATCATAGTTCACTGTCATCCTGCGCAATAATACAAAGCGGTATTGATGTTTCATCTGGTCGATTATTCAAAGTGAAGATTAGATTTTTGATAAAAATCCAGCGTTTATTGATATTGACAGTCTGTGAATGTAAAAACGCAAACTTTCCATCCCGCTAGAAGGACAACAAATTTATGTTTATATCTATTGGGTTTTTAATAAAGCATTTTCTCTCCAATAATTTCTTTACTCCATTTTTTGTTTATACTTCTTTAAGTTATTAGCTGCATTACGATGTATAATCTCTATCTGCAATTTTTTACATTTTAGATGGTCGAAGAGACGATACACAAAGACTTGGTCGACGTTGATCAAAAATTGGCAGAAATAACGAGAAATATGACGAATCAAACTGTGAACAACATTCGCCAAATGGTAATTATTTATATTAAAAACAAGTTTACTACCATTTCTTACAAATAAGAAGATTTTAATAAGTTTAAAATATATTTTGTTTGATCTAAGTTGATTAGAAATTATGACATTTTTATTTTCGGATTATTTATGTATTTTGTTAATTTTTGTTTTATCTGATTCGGCATGTAGACAAAGTTTGACGAGAAACAAAGGGTGTCAAATTGTGGATCTATTTAGTCAGTCATACGATTTTATATTACAATTGTTCTGTGTACAGAGCGGGCATTAGCACACATTGGTATTGTGAGAAAGTCACAAGGAAGGGAAATATGGAATACCTTCTAGTACCATATTTAGGTTAATTATGAAACGAATAAAATTAGTCTCATAAATTGATATTATAAGCAAGTCTAGGTAGAAATATTAGAGTGCCTTCTGGATCCAAACATAGCTTACCTAATGAGTGAATGTATTTATTAGTGTAAATAGATATTGTGATAGTCAATTGGGAGTATTGAGTCTCTCACAGAAACTATGTGTTTTTGAATGTATGTGAATTTATATTTAGCATATGTCGCTTGTTTCAGTGTCTAAATTTGATTGCCTGTAAGGATAACAGCGAATAATGTATTTTATCAGGCTAAATTATATTAATAAAATCGTCAGTATGCCCTAAAAATACTTTTTCGATCCTGTTTCTTTTTCATAAAAATTACGAGTTAGTATGAAGGACTGGGTAGGTGGTATATTAAGTGGGTGTATCAGAGTTGTTTTGCCACGTTTTAGAAATTCGACTTTTTAAGAAATTTTGGTATTAGAATCAAAACTGAATTATGACATTTATATTTCTTAGATGATTACAGCCACAAAGTTAACCTACTTGCATGAACTTTTATATAAAGCCGAGAAACTATCCAATAAACTACGGATCATCCAGTTAAATGTTGGTTAGATAAATCTTTGACGGAAAAGCACCAATTAAATATAGTTAGATTCGTGTTCCTCAGTGAAAAGTAAGATACAATTTATAGGTGACTTGGCAAGTACTGTTTCACCTAAAGCCCGGGTTTAAGTCACCGTTTTACGCGGATGTATATAACCATTCATTTTGGTGAGTGGAATACATTAAAAAACAAAATTGCCATGTATAGCCTTTTTAAATCTGTTTTCGAATAAAACTTAGGATTTATTTATTAATAATAGTTTAAAAATCACGAAGAAACATTAATTTCTGATCAGCAAGTATTTATTTCATATTAGAGCTAAAAATTAATTGTTATTAAGTCTTAGGAGAACTTATTTTAGATTACACATTGACAAGACGTGTCTTTATTAGAAATGATAAATGGTGGAGTGAGTATGTTGTACAATCTTTATAAAAAGATAGTTCTTACTCACAGTTAGTTGTTTTCAATGACCGGATTTTATGCTTATAGCTCATCATCATCAGGTTAAAGGAATTTACAACCAAGTCTCTCGACATAAATTGCACCAACGATACGTTCCATTGAGAAACTGGTTTTTATTGCCGTTCAATTTTGGACGTGCGAAAAGCGGGAATTATAACACAACTAAATGTTATATTAATAAATACTAAATATTATATTGATAAAACAATTAAAGAACTAACAACTGTGTTTTAGTGTCATTCGATGTTACCAATTTATTCACAAACATCCCTGTTAAAGAATGTACAAAACTTATAAAATAAAAGCTTACGGAGAATACTATTAACGGATTTGTAAAAAATTATATAATAGACCTCTTAAATGTATGCGTCCTATATAATTATTGTAAATTCAATAATAACTTTTATGAAATGAAAGGGTTACCAAGGGGGTCTCCATTCTCCCCATTTTGTGCCGAAATATTCAAGGATAATTTTGAAAAAAAATCTCAAATCAATCAACACATTAATTAAAACTGTTCTTTTTATGTAGACGATATTTTATGTATATGGTCGGGAACACGAGAGGATCTAAAAGAATTCCTCCAATTAATTAGTTCTTTATACCCTAGTACAAATTTTACATGGGAAATAAATAAAGGTGGTTTTTTAAATTTTTTAAACTCTACACTGTCCATAATAAATAACCTAATTGTAATAAACATAAATAGAAAACCCACACTACAGACACCATGATACCTTCTCACCTTGGACCTAAACAGCTTGTGCCTTCATTTGACTCATAGACCGTATGTTGAAACTCCCACTAACACCTGCTAACTATAAAAAAATTACAAACTATTAAGACCTTATCTAAAAACAATAGATATCAAAAAATATTTATCGTTAGGTTGCTAGTAAAAAGAATAAAAAAATAAATTTAAAAGAAGCAACATTCAGACTCAGCCACTCCACCCAAAAATGAATCATTAGGTTTTCGTTGCTTACCAAACATTGGTGAACTATCAGAAAAAGTAGGTAAAATTCTTAAACGAGGTTTTAGGGTAGCTTTTAGAGGTACGTGTTCACCTAGAAACATCGTCTCGAACTTGGCAATACGCGGGGTTTACTAACTTAATTGTAATAATTGCGACATTAAATGTATAGGACAAAGCGGTAGAAAAATTAAAGAGTTAAAAAAAACTTACCTAAATGGAAACAAAACCCAATTTCAATTTAAATACAACAGTGTTACACATTTTCAACAAAGAGAGGGAACTAGATTGGTTTGAGAAATTTTAAATTAAAAAATATAAAAATCGAAAATGGAGATAAATGCATTAATAATATAATAGATTTCGATTTACCTCCTATTTTAAATATGTACAATTAATTAAGGTTTTTAGTTGAGATAAAAAAAGTCATTGTCACAAGCGGGATTCGAACCCACGATCTTCGGCTAGATACGCCGCTTCTTTTGAGGTATCGTGACCTCGATCCACTCGGACACTAACTTCCCATCTCAACCCTACCTTTTGAATTTTCCCTCCTTTTTTCCATTTTTCAAATGTCGTGTAATCGGATTGGATTCTCGACGGCAAATGAAATAGCCACGGAGAGCTTTAGTGAAGTATACTTCATTTTAAATCATTAAATTCACTAATTTCGTGGTCCGCTTGACCAATTAATATATTACAATNCATTTTTTTCCTCAGGTACATTAGAATATCACAGTTAAGATTAGTTAAGCTTTTTTAAATTGTACTATATATAGATAACTCAAAAATAAAAGTGCTAACTTCTACCACAAGGGAGAGACATGAGGCCCAGGCGGCTTTTCGGTTACAAGTGAACACTTTACTTGTCTTAATTATTGCTGTTCAAGCAATCATTCGCTAGGAATTTTTGTTTATTTTGCCTTTCAAAAGGTTTTGGATATTTTTGGATTTCCATGCTAAAGCTACATTGGTTAAATATTTCATGAATTGTTTTACTTTTGAGCTATAGACTATAAATACATAGAATATGCGCATAATTTCAGCCATAGGGAGAGTGCTTAATTGCATAATTCGCTTTTTACTTAATATGGTAAGTATGTCGTTTTTATGTTCTTACAAAAGTACTTTGTTACGATTTTCCACAAGGAGTTAACTAATGATTTGACTATTTTCGTGTTTCAATTTGTTTTACAGGCCGGTCTGGGCGGAGTGAAGGACGATGAAAGTCTAACGGCAAGGATGAGGGACTTGGATAGAAAATTGTTGACGAATTCCGTAATTAACAACACAATTGTGTTCAGGCACGATCCCCTCCGGCCTATTCTTCACTGACATTTAAAACAACCGAAAGCCAATAATTTGGGTCGTGGACGTTTTGGATTGACTTAATTTGATAGGCAATACAAAAATTCTGACCCTCAAAATTTAGCCACACTCGTAAAATTTTGGTCACGTCACTGACGTAACAGAAAACTTGAACCTTCTGTTGATACGAAGAGTCAGTATTTTTTCTAAAAAAACGAGACCAAATAAACTTATTTTGAGCTTAAAAATATAAATAAATAAGAATTAAATAGTATTTGAACGAAATCAAATAAAATTATTTAAGAATATGATCTAGAGAGAGACTGATCAGTCTGATAGTTAAGTGGTTTTATCTTCTTAAATATTCCCCAGCCTTTCATCCCTGTGTATATATACTTTTTTTCAATTATTTAAATTAATGTTTAAAGTTGAAGTAAATTATGTTTGACAATAAATTGGGTTGTTGTTTGTTCTGGAAATTGTTTTTAGCTGTTAAAATACTTAAAGTTATATTTTGTGATGGTTTATAAGTTTGGTATAGAGTTCAGTTTAAATTTTTAAATGTTGTTGTACTTCCGGATCCGAGGTAGACGAGAGAGAGAGAGAGAGAGTTAACGCGTCATGCTCTCGGTTTGTAAACCCGCGGTCGTGGGTTCTATTCCCAACGTTGCCACTGGAATTTCCGACCTTGACCCATCTTTCGAAAATTATAACTTCTTCGCACAAATAAAAAAAAAAAAAAATGTGTATTACTGCAAAGTTGTAAACCTATAAAAGGACCCAATGGTATAATAAAGCACAGACCAACCACTGGAGATGGCGTTATTTCGTAACTCGAGAAGATCGATGTTTGAATTCATCACCACGCACACTTCAGCACAATATTTCACCAAAAACATCAAATATTAAAAATTCTCAAAATTTGCCTGATTTGAAACAATCTTTGAATTTTTACGTACTTTTTTTTGTGTTACGCTTTTAGGTTGTACATATTCTATACGTAACCAATAACAAATGCCATCGGTTTTAAGTAAAATATTTTAAAAGAAAACGCCTGACTCCGATATCTTATCGAAAAAATTGGGCCAAGAAATCGTGTCAGTTTTGATAACTGACTTGTTCATTTGTTAAAACACACAGAATCTTCATATTTCAATTATTTTTATTCAATTAATTAAGGTTTTGATAGAGATAAAAAGTCAGTGTCACAAGCGGGATTCGAACCCACGACCTTCCGCTAAATACGCCGCTGCTCTATCACTTGAGCTATCGTGACTTCGATCCACTAGGACACTAACTTCCCATCTCAACCCCACTTTTTGAATTTTCCCTCCTTTTTGCTATATTTAATTGAAAAGAATATATTTGGTCAAGCGGACCACGAGAACTAATAAAAATAAATTATTTTGTATTGTTTACAAGTCCTGAATCCAAAATTGAATAAGGAGAAAAAATGTGATCTTATTTTTTAGAATTAATCGGAAAATTGACTGAAAGTCTTCCAAAAATATTCTCAGATAGAATTGAAAACATATGTAATTTTATTTTTGTCTTGTTTTTATTGAAAATAAGAAGAAATGTATGTAGCCATAAACTATTTTAACGCTTTTATTTACAAAAAAGAGTCATGTACTTTCTTTAAATAAATTATATTTCAGCATATGTTGTTTTTTATATAGGAAAAATTCGGCTTCTAATAGAAGGAAGAAAGGTACGAGAAATTTGTGTGGTGTTTAGTGACCATTACTTGATGATTATTTGGAGATCGTGAGATGCGGTCTGGTGTGACGTAGGTTTTAGAAAAACATTTTCTTTATCGTGCCAACGTTTCGATCTTTATTGAGATCATCTTCAGGGCTCAAAGTGTTTGTTTTCCGTGTAAATGTGTCATTCTTGTCTTTCCTGTTATGAAGGCACTTTGGGCCTGAAGATAATCTCAATAAAGATCGAAATGTTGGCAGGTTAAAGAAAATTTTTCTAAAACCTACGTCACACCAGACTGCATCTCTCGACCTCCAAACAATCATACGAGAAATAGTTAATACGCCATTGTAGGCGTCTGTCCCAGTGGAAATGACACATTTCTTGCGCCAAACATCTCCAATTTGTAGTAGGTTAGTTAATTTAAATAAACTAAATTTCAGTATGTTATTTGGTTGCTGTTTTATGTAACCTAGAAAATATTAGGCTTCTAATGGAAGGACAAAAGGTACGAGAAATTGTTAATCCGTCTGATTCGTTATCGTAGGCGTCTGTCCCAGTGGAAATGACACATTTCTAGCGGCAAATATCTCCAATTTGTAGTAGGTGACACGGACGAAGGAGTCGGGCCGTGAGTAGTGTTTATGTCAGGAGTGGTAAGGTCAAGCCTAGAGAAAGTGGTCGAGTGAAAGTGTTGATTCACTTCTGTTTCTCCACCGGTTTATACTTTAATACTTGCACCCGTTAATAAACGGCAAATTGTCCGTTTTGTTTATCCCGGTCTGCGGTGTTCGCGGAACAGAGCAGTTTTTCCAAGACCGAATCCAACAGTTTGTGGGACGTAATTGAAAGGGAGAGCTTTCTGGTGGGCTGTACTTTCCAAATAGTTGACTTTATACGAAAAGAAAAACGAGGGGGAAAATTAATAATTTCTATAAATAAGAATAAATTTTTACTTGAAAATTATTAATAGGTAGATACCACATTATAAAATTTTAATTCAACCAACCGATGATAATTATTTCATCCGGGTTACAATTCACTTTCACGTCTTAACCGTTTCTAATTTAATTGTTCCCAACCGGGTATAAACCATAAAATCTAATAAACCTGTTGAACGTATCTTCAGACCGCAAAAATTAATATTCCCACCTCAAAAAAATCAAGTTAATACTTAAAAAGCTCGGAGAAGAACTTTTACATCAAAGAGTCATCGTCAAGGACCTTGCTACATCCTTCATCCTACGGAAATAAAGTCGAGATAAGGTGAGAAACTGTATGTCACTTTTTTGAAAGCTATATCTAGTTTAATTCTAAGACCTTGTCGGAATGAAAAATACGGAAATTTTATAAAAAGCAATTGCTAAATCACGTTTTAGGAAGCGGCAAAAAAATTGCTTCCGGCATTCAAATCATAATTTGGCATTTAACCCGTCACCATGATAGAGACCAAAGGACCGCCGCCGAGACATCGCTGATTGAGTGAAATTGCAGTAAAAAACGCAGCACAAGATTCGGTCCTATTTCCAACTATTTTTTATATAAAAAGTGTGAAACATTTATCTATAATAATGGATAAAAATCACAGTCTTATGGCAGTGAAATTACTGTTTAGGCCATATCAAAATATGCTTTTTCTTTCTCTTCTCGTCTTCTTTTTTTTCTCTTGTTTTCCAATTTCCTTCATGTTTCATCGGTTTTTTTAAATGAACTTGATGTAGGTTGCAATATCTATGAAAGCCTGATGATAGGAAGAAAATTATGAACCGAAAATGCATTAGCACATAATAACAAAAATATAAAAATGAACTAGTTGAAAGTTCATTTTAATAATCCAAGGTATGCTGAATGTAGGGTTGTCGTTCGAACAAAAACAATCAGGCTCATATAAATTTAAATGTAATTGTGTTATTTCTGAATAGGAAGCCTTTAAGGCTTCAAAAATGCAATTAGTTCGCTGATTGTGTTAGTTTAAACTAAAACCCTATGCACTGAAGCCTGCAAAATAGCCAATCGTAGAAGAAAAAGGATCGATACAGATGTAAAAAATTTTTTAGTGTTTATCGTGGTTGTTGATTTGAATCCGCTGAACCTAGAAAACTTAAAGAGTTAGATCAAAATTGTTTGCTTCATGAGAAACTTAAAAAAATGTTTAGGTCTTTCGAGATTTTTCTCGAAAACGCCCCAATAAAAAAAATATTAAAAAACTATATGAGGTTACTGATTTTACTTCTACTTTAAGCTTTTGACTGCCTAAATACGATGCAAAAAACCATGTAATAAAAATTACACCATAAACCTTCGAAAAAATATTGTAATATTGAGTCTTAATACATTGCCAAGTCGGTTAATTATTTTATTATTTTTTCCAAATTAAACAATGTAAAATTTAAATGATAACGCTTCTAGATATTAGATTTAAAGATTTTAATATGATACTTTCAAACCTTTGGCAACAGGGGTTTGATGCAAATTGGCCTATAACTAGTGTCAACTTGGTAGATATTAGTGTTAATTCCATTAGATTTAGTGGTCTGATTGACCAAATTACTTCTTTCAATTAATTCATCTTTTTATGTAAGGTTTTGGTTGAAATGAAAAAGTTATTGTCACGAGCAATATTCGAACCCACGACCTTCGGCTCAATTCGCCGCTGCTCTAACCATTTTGCCAAGATAGCTCAAGAGATTGGAGCGGCGGCGTATCGAGCCGAAGGTCATGGGTTCGAATATCGCCCGTCTCACTAACTTTTTTCATTTCAGCGAAAACCTTACATAAAAAGATTAATTAATTAGTGTTAATATTAGTGTATTATAATTGTAATGGATATCAATGTGATTAGACACTAAAATTAGTATCAGTTTATTCAAGTATCAGGATAATATAATATATAGTATTATAGGATATTTGTATTGTTAATATGAGTGTAAGCATCAGTGAGAATATGGTGTGATTTGATATTAGTATTAGTGTGTGTGTGTGTGCTTTATAGTGGTGTATTAAAATTTAGCACTAGTAGTGTGTAGTGTATAGTAAATCTATTACATTTAGTGGTCTATTGACCAAATTACTTCTTTCAATTATTTAATCTTTTTATGTAAGGTTTTGGTTGAAATGAAACAGTTAGTGTCACGAGCGGGATTCGAACCCACGACCTTCGGCTAAATACGCCGCTGCTCTACCACTTGATCTATCGTAACGTCGATCCACTCGAACACCAACTCCCCATCTCAACCTACAACCTTTCGAATTTTCCCTCTTTTTGCCATTTTTCAAATGTCGTGTAATCAGGATTCGATTCTCGGCGACATATGAAGCGGCCACGGGGAGCTGTTAATGAAACGTATGTATACTTCGTTTTACTTATTAAACCCATTATATTTAGTGGCCTATTGACTAAATTACTTCTTTCAATTAATTAATCTATTTATGCAAGGTTTTGGTTGGTGGCCGGGTGGATCGACATCACGATAGCTCAAGTGGTAGAGCAGCGCCGTATTTAGCCGAAGGTCGTGAGTTCGAATCCCGCTCGTGACACTAACTTTTCATCTCAACCAAAACCTTACATAAAAAGATTAAGTAATTGAAATTAGTAGTATTATTAATGTGTGTTGTTTGTCTTTGTGTACAATTTTAGATTTGTTAATTAATGATCATTGATGCGTGATAGAAGAATATGTGTGAATATATACTGTTGCTATCGCACTAATTAGAATGATTACTATATTACATATATTGTAATCTCCTGGTTTTTCAATTGGAACGGACATTAATGATTTCCGATTGCCCATATGTGATCCGTGTGCAATATTTGAAAAATCATCGGTAACCCTTTTAGAAAACATTAGCACTGTCATTTTCCTGTTGGAAAATTGAAAGTTTAAATCCTCGGAAAGGTCGCGGATTTCCTGCCGGAAAATGCCGGTCTATAGTTCATATCCTCGTAATTGATATAGCTGGGGCAAAATGGATTTAACCCGGCCTTTTCCGCATTGGAAGAACAGAGGAATGAAGTGTAACCGACATCATTGGCAGGCTGCACGTCGAAATTGTTAATTGACGAGGAAACGCACTCTCCGACACTAGGCTCGGATTGCGTTTATACTACCGTGAAAAACTTTCAGAACTTTTCCACACCAGGCCAGAAACCGAGTAAACGTTTTACTTTCTCCACGCTTTGTACCGAATGTCCTTGTCACCCCTTCGATTTATTGCATGTTTCGCGGTAAATTGAAAACCAATTTTGATAGCCGTTGAAACCCGTCGGTTAATAAACTTAGAATGTTGATTTGAGATACAATGCGAAAGTTAAACCATCCCTCTTGCCTGGAAAACGGCTATCAATTTCAGCTTTCCAAGTTTAAGCACTAGATTTAGATTTTCTAGTTGATATTTCAATAGTAACATCGAGAAGTAGAGACAGGTGTTTTCCACGGTCCACGACGGACCGGAAGTCATCCATTATCTCTAATTGGGTAATAAGAAATTTACCTTCATCACAAAACCTGCACCCAAACCGAATTTTGACAAGGACATGTCGGCCAACATTAAAAAGTCTAGCATTGAAAAACCAAATGTTGCAAGGGACAGTAATGTGATCAATCGTTTGCAAGACGGCATACAAATTCAAGGACATGTCCGACATGGTTAAATACACCAGCATCGGATTGAACATTACGAGATAAACTCAAACGATGATGAATTGTTATACAGAACTTCGAAGATTTGCTCATTCCTTCAACTAAATTCAAAATAAGATAAACCTTACAAACACGAAGATAAAATCCTGTAGCTTGGAGTGTGAGACAATCAGGTGGCATACAGTATATTGTATTGTGAAATTAACAACTACTGGGCAAAGACCGTATTCGTCTACATACTCTTTTGAAAAATTGAAAATTGAAAGCACAAGTCGTTTAAAAACAAAAGGAGGTTGTAAATGCAAGACGAATTTAGAGACAATGAAGTCTTTGTTGTGGTATATGAATAAGAAGGTCCAGCTGTACCCCTCACCACAGGTATAAAAGGGTTAAGAGGTTGTCCTGTCCAATTCAACACATTTCAAGACCTAAAAAAACTATCATTACCATTACAATCGTGTGTTAGAAAAGCATGTAATACATTTTAGTTGTAAGGGTCAAGTGAAAATTAATACTTTCAGAGGTTTTATTTTTTAAACAACACTACAGTTAGATTATCATAGAAAACAAAATAGTACGGTTTAAATTAATGATATTTTTTACCTGGATTGACTCGATGAAGGGAAAATTGATATACGCTAAATTTGCCTTCGTTCGGCTGACGGACACTAAGAGGAAGACCGTATGGTAAAAGTTTAGCCTCCGAAAAGGTTGGAAAGTGGCTGTTAAGTTATGTAACTTTCTCTATTCCTGCACTTTCAAATGTAATCATGGAAGTAACTGAGTGTTTATTCTTCGCCTATATTCCTTCTTCTTTAGCAATGATTAATTATTTAATTTTTCCAATTAATAACTATTTCCTCATTTCCTCGCTGTTTCCTTAACATCATAAGCTTGTTCATATGTGGTATGAAACTATACCAATTAGGCGTCAATGAATTCGAATTAGAATAGCAAGTTGCGTTTACTTTATTAGCAATTTTTCTTTATTATTCAGGAAGTCATATTAATTATTATGTATTTTATAGTACTACAATAAAAAAAAAGCTTTTCATTCTGCACATGAGCCAAGAGGTTTTATTGATGCATATATCAAATAAATATATAAAACTTCAATTCTATTCCTGAATCTAATTTTTATAACAAATTAAGGATTTCTATTTATTGCAAAATTTTCCTTAATGTATTATTTAATTACTTGATGTCACAATTAATTCCCAGTAATTGGCGATTTCTATGTCTGTGACAAAATATGTCACAATGATTTTTTTATTATTGACGACACGATGACAAAAGCTTGATCAAAACAGATCCAAGGACGGTTTTTCAAGTTGGCCAAGAAGTTTTGTTATGCTACGGTGCAGAAACAGCGAGATTAGACGGACCAGGATGATCTTTAGATAATTATGTATCAATAGGAACCAAGGAGGAAAATTAACAATAAAAGAAATATGAATTTTTAATTTCACTTTCTTTTGATATTCCAAGTACTACGAAAAAGTCAAATTACCACCAAATGGCCGGATTTCGTAGGTTCCAAAACAATCAAAAGTTAAATTATGATCAGTTTTTCCAGTTGACCAAGGAGTTTTGTTATAAATGGAAGCATAAACGGCGACAATAAGCGGACCAGGATGATTTTTAGATAAATAGATGTCTTTAGGAAGCACGGGTATAAACCCTACCAAGATTTGAACCTATAATTTTACTTTCGTGTTCATTCCAAGCACTTAAATAAAAGATCGAATTACCACCAAATGGTTTTTGTAGTTTCAAAAGTTTTTTAAGAATCATATCAAAGTTTTAATAAAAATTAACACAAAGCATCTTTTGTACATTTCTTCCATCTCTCCAGAAAGCCAGAAGAGAACCGATGGCACAATGAAGAGGTTGAATCAAAATTTCTTAGTCGGTTTTTCAGTCGGTCATGGCTTATTTGAAGCAGACATGATTCAAAAATAGCGAAATGGGACGGACCGGGAGACAATTTGGTTAATTAGATCAATTTAGGACCTCCTTCTTTTGACACTCCGAGTTCCAGCAAAGTTAAATTAACAAAACGGGATTGTTTCCATTAATCTATACTGCTTATTTTCAATTTTTTTCTGAAATAAATACTTTTATGAGTTCTGGAAAAGGTAAACCCTCCTATATGGATCATTTCTTTCCTTAAGGGTCAAAAATATTTTCTCATTATAAACATTCTACCAAAAATTACCCCTTCAAACCTTCGTAAATTATGATCAAAAACCATAGTTTACCCAACCAACTTTTATAATGCAATTTTTTGATCCATTAATTTCCCAACGTTACGTAAGTTTTCTATGGTTTACACGAACAACAACGACGAACAAACCACAATCAAATGATTGGCCCTTGATAAACCCTTTGAAAAAGTCTTTTGTAAACAAATACTCCTAATTCTCGAATCTTCTAATATAATTTTGAGTATAGCGTCCACATTCCAATGTTTAAATTTGCTATGGTGTAATGGACATCATCGCATCCTCCCTTGATAAGAAACAATACTGCTCAGGGGTCTTCATCGATGCGGAACAGGATTCGAGAGGATTTGGCTTGCTCTGGAAACTCGAAGACATCAACTGCCTCATTCTCAATCCTGTATGGTGGACAGGTACTTTAGTGTAAGGGTCAGATCCTCTCGATCTCATTTCTACAAGACACCACTCTCTCCGTCCCATCACTCTATCTCCAATCTATTATAACCGCACCCCTCCTACCCAAGCTACCTTGGTGTATCTTGAGTATCTAGACAAGCGACTGATCTGGACTCCCCATTCACGACTAAAGGCAGAAATGAACCGATCACTTAAAAGGCTATTCTAGACAACGGATCTAATTCTCCTCTACAACAAAATACTCATTTAAAACTCAATATTGCAACCAAGATGGACATACCACACCTTCCAATCTCTGCAGATCCTACAATCACGATTCCTTAGATCCCTCGTCAACGCCTCGTTCTATACTTCCCAGCACTCCATCCACTAACACCTAAATGTTCCCTTTACAAATTAAGTTAGGAATCCTGCAACAAAAAATTCTACACTAACCTCTAATCTCGTGAGTCCTCACGTACAACAGCTTTCCTCCCGGTTATTTCCCAGTGATCCTCGCCGACCTTTAAAAAAGACGGTGAACTCTTCCTCAGAGAGTGGAGAGAGTGATAATTAATCAATGATTTAGGAGTGCTATCACTCAACAGTTCCTCGATCCAATGTTATCTATCTCTCTAAGATAAGTTATTGCGTCTCGCGTAGAATGTTGGTTAAAAAAAGTCAATAAACCAAATGCATTATTTTATTTAGCTATTGTTCAAGGCAATAATGGTTTTATTTCATAAAATAATTAATTGTAATAAGACTTTTTATCAACTATATATATCGTCATGTGATCAAGCCATTACTTTACATTCATATGATTTTTTGTGAAAAAACGTGAAAAGAAAATCTGTTATGCATGCTGTATTTATGCTAAAAGAATTGCACAAGAGCCTATGCACATAAAATAATTTAACAATCGGTTACACAACAGATACATCCAACAGTAAAAGCAGTATAAATTTTCATGACTGATAGAATTGGGCAAAGTATATTACGTGGCAGAAGATTCCATGGAAAAAGTTAAAGTTCAATACTAAACATTCGTTTCGACATGCCAATTAATTATACAATACATATTTAAAAAATAATAAAAGAGAAATTTGAGTTAACGTTCGATTCATAGCAAAATTTCCAATAGCGTTCTGTGTTATGTACTGACTTTTTTCCAAATCAAAAAGATGTGGCAAAAAACCATACATGAACTAAATGGAAAATAGAAAATCATCAAGATTTACTTATTTCAAGTGTGTTACCTAAAAGAAACTTTTAATAATTATTAACCAATTGGTTTGCTAATTTGGTAAATTTAGACCATATCAAAACCCCCAGATTTGTTAATTTTTGTTGTATAAGTGCTTGGACTTTCAGATCAAATTAAAAATTTAATTTGGCCTCAGCGTTTATAGTGGTTTCCTAAAAATAACTGATTATCTACAAATCATCTTGGTCAGCCTACTATCGCTGTTTTTGAATCATATCTGTTCCAAGATAAAACAAAACTCCACAGCCAACTGGAGAAACAGACCACGATCAGTTTTGATTAAACTTTTGTAGTTGAGCTATCTGATCATTTTTACTGGAACTTTGGTTCTTTTTTAAAATTTTTGATAGTTTTGTAATTCTTAGAATACCACAAGAAAGTGAAATTAAAGGTTAAAATATCTCTTTGAGTTTATACTCCTGTTTCATGAAGATATCTAATTTTGTAAACATCATCCTGGTCCGCTTATAAAAACTCGATTGTTTTAGAATCTACGAAATCCAGCTATTAGGTGGTGATTTTTATATGTTTATTTAAGTCTCGGACTATCAGAAGAGATTATAGGTTCAAATCTCTGTTATGGTTTATAATGGTGTTTCTCAAAGATATCTACTTACTCAAAATTTATTTGGTTCCCATTCTCGCTCTTTCTGCTTCATTTTATAACAAAACATAAGCTCACCTGGAAACTGCCCAAGATTTGGCTTCTGATTGTTTTAGAGCCAACGAAATCTAGTTATTTTTGTGATGGTTTGACCTTTTTTTAAGTGCTTGGGGTATTAGTATAAAGAAAATTAAAAGTTAAAATATCTCTTAGGGATTATACCCCTGATTCCTAATGATATCTACTTATATAAAGATCATGCTGGTCCGCCTATTCTCGCGGTCTTCCCCCGGGTCCCTTTTGTAACAAAACACCAGGTCAACTGCAAAAACTGCCCAAAATTTGGCTTTTGATTGTTTTAAAGCCAACGAAATCCAGTTATTTGGTGGTGATTTGATCTTTATTTGAAGTGCTTGAAAAATCAGAAGCAAGTAAAATTAAAAGTTAAAGTCTCTTAGATTTTTTACCCGTATTTCCTAAAGATACCTACTTATTTAAAGATCATCCTGGTCTACCTATTCTCGCTGTTTCTTCTCCATTTTATAACAAAATTCCAAGGCCAACTGGAAAAACTACCCAAGATTTACCTTTGAATGTTTTCAAACCTACGAATTCCGGCCGTTTGGCAGGGGGGTTTGATCTTTTTTCGAAGAGCTCGGAATGTTAGAATTAAGTAAGATTAAAAATTAAATCTCTTTTAGGTTTTGTACCCGCATTTTCTAGACTACTTAACTGGTCCGCCTATTCTCACTGTTTATAATTTAAAACGACAACAAAACCGCATGAAACATGTGTCGTTAATAATTTCAAATCAACCCCCGGGTATACCTGCTGGTGCTGAACGGACGTAGAAATCGCTAATTACTACTAGTTATGGTATCAATCATATTACACCATAAACAGGTAATAGGCGTGGTATAAAAATTCCACAAATAGAATTGGCCGAAAACCATGCAATTAGGTTGTTCTAGTCTGAAACTGAGGTATTTCGTTATAAAATTGAACTCTTATAAAATGAAAAGCCCCTTAAAAAAAATAATCCGAAAAATAATCTTTTCAATATGAAGCTTGGTGTTATAAGAGAAAACGGAAATGACCGTAGGCCTATTACATGAGGTTGGATACAAACAGGATTTTGTTATGAAACAAATTTTGTAAATATAATATGAAATTAAAATGTAATTAAACCTCTGATGATTAAGCACTGTTTTTCATTAGGTCAAAGCAAAGCGCGTGTTATAAGAAAAACGGAAATGACCTAAGGGCTTGACTATTGCATGATCCTAGGATGTAAATTTCAATATTGTTATGAAACATAATACTTTCATAACATAAGATAAAAAGAAGACACAAGGCTTTATTTTAAGCCTTCTTGAATGACTTGTCTCGTCCTTAAATCCTAAAGAAAAGCTCATCTTAAAACACGGAAATGACCAAGGGACGAAGACATTAGCATGACAGAAGAGCAAGTACGTTGGCTCTTCGTGAGCGTCAATAACAAAAACATCTGACAGGCTGGGTGTAATGTACTAAGAGAATAAATAATTCAAAAGGTGACATCCGAGAGTTGTATATAACACGTGGTTTGAGTGAAAGTAGTTTTTATCCAGGGGTCCCTCGCTTCCCCCGTACGCGGCCGATCCCCTCTTCTGTTTCGGAGTTGGAGCAAACGATGGCAGAGGTGAGTGTAGACGTCTGAGGGAAGAAAGTGATTCTGATTTAGTCGTGCTTCGATCTCACTGACGACGACCCATCGCTGGATATTTTATTTCTCTCTCTCTCTCTCACTCTCACTATCCCGTCGAACTCAGGATTAACATTGCCTTCCAGCTAACTATTTTGGAGATAATAAAATTCTGAGGTAATTATCAACATTGGTGGCACCAATTAAGTAATATAGTTTAATACGTTTTCGTTTGTCTCACAATATACTCAGAAAAGAGAAAAAATTATCAGAATTCCGTATTACCTTAGGTATGAAACCATTTAAAAAAATTACTTAAATTCATCAAATGGCATTTGATAATGTTTTGATCAATTTGAAAATTTTGTCTGAAAAATGAACAATTAATACGCATAATTATAATACTTCCTTACATTATTTTGCCTAATTACAAAAATAAATATATATCTATTCGTCTGAATTCACTTTCTCCTTTTCATCTTGTTTGTCTCCTTAAGGTTTTAAAATCCTTCTGGTTCGTACGAAAAAATTGACGATTAAATTATAAATCCGTATACCTTTATGTTCTATATATGTATTTATTTATCATTCATATCAGGTTTTTCATTTTTTTAAACATTTTAATAAATAGTAGCTGTATCAAGTTTTTTGTTGTATGTTTCTTCTAGCTTTATTTTAATTTATTAGGATGTATCAGATCTTCTTACTTTTTTGACGATCACTTTCCCTTTATTTTTAGATTTATTATTATAGTACCGTATAATTGTACTATTCAAATATATTTTGGATTCGTGCTTTATCAATTTATCTCCTCGGAGGAAGGCTAAAAACTGTAAAATTGGGTGAGGATAAGGACAAAACGTGAAATAAATTACTGTAAAAATCGCTGTAAAGTTCAATAAAAAGACTAATCCCTTATAAACTTAAATGGCAAAAAAATAGCAGTAAGATAGATATATTTAAATACTATTATAGATAAATTACCTTCGGTTTCATATCCTTCTCTCTCTCTCTCTCTATCTATCTATCTAGCTATCTATCTATCTCTCTGTCTGTCTGTCTCTCTCTTTCTCTGTCTATCTCTTTCACTCTCTCTCTCTCTCTCTCTCTCTCTCTCTCTCTCTCTCTCTCTTTCTGTCTTTCTACATCTATTTATCTATCTATCTTTCTATTTATTTTTCTGTTTTCTTCTTCTAATCATTATCAAAATAATTATGTGTATATTCCCTCAGTAATCGTATTCTTCTTCTACTCCCCGTTTATGTTTTTGTATTGTATGTCAATATTTATAAATTAATCCATTTTTTGTTGGTCACTTTCTTCCCCTTTTTCATCCTCTATTCTTTTTTTAACTAAGTATTTCTAAAGTAACTTGTGCTCCTATTTGTCTTTTTCTTCTCTCTCTCTCTCTCTCTCTCACCCTCTCNTATATATTTCATGCTCGTATTCTTAATTTCTTCTCTTGGTCGTAATTAGGTTTAGGATTCTTCGTTGCTATTTTACCGCATTCTCAAAAAATTATTTACATTATTCTCTCACATATTTTTCTTTTTCCTTTCAGGATTTAGGATTCTTTAAAATCAAAAAATTACATAATAATTTTTTATTGGTCTCTACCCATTCTTTTCTTCTACACGTCTTTAAGATATAGGAACGCTTATATACAATATGTAATAATTTACATTAATTTCCCCATTTTCTCCCTTACGTTTTATCTTTTTTTCTAACAATACCTCTATCTCATTCACACACAAAAAAACTGTATTATGTGTCTTTTTCTTTCTTCCTATTTTTGTTTTATTAATTTCTCTAATTCAAGAGTTACAAGTGATAAATACACAAGTGATAATTATATTGATAAAAATAAAATATTTTTATATTGTTTAATGTAAGTATATTTTGTGTGTGTATGTGTAGTTTTTGTTGATTATTATTTTTCTTCTTACAATTCTTCGCATTTCCTTTTAAGATTTGTGTAAACGTCGCTATAACCCTCTTCTTTTTTATTTGTTTTTCTAGCCCTCTTGTCATATATAAACCCTAAATTGTTCTTTCTGCATGTAATTGTGTAAATTGCATTTAGGATTTGTTTTGGCATTTAACACGCTAAAAATGACAAATTATCATAAAAGATTTATCATTGACAATTGATTTTCATTTAGTGTTTATGTGCCTGCCTATTTCTCTATCTGTATACAAGATGTATATAAATATTTAAATTGTTAAAAGTACCTTAGAAACGTTTGCATTTGATTTTCTCTTTACAATTTCGTGCCTCCCGAAGCAAAGTGGATTTTAGTTTCTTCCCATGAAGCATTCCAGTCAGGGATAAAGCATTAATCCAATAATGGAAATCGTCTCCTACGAAATTCGTTAGATTGCGTTTATACAGTTCTTTAATGGTTATAAAATTTCAGCCGTCTATAATGGGATTCTCGCGTGTATAATTATATAAAATGTCATGGATTTTAAATATAAAAAAAAAAAATCCTTATACTCTCGCGGGGCGAGGGGTGAAAATATGTCTTGTTTATTCAGATGGCCCCCGGTTCCATCATTTTCCCACACACACGGACTCAAACTAACAGACACAGACATAGAAAATTTATACATGATGATATAAGAAGAACAAAAATATAAAGGGATAATTTAAATAAACACACCAAATCAGAATGGTAGCCAGACAGTCAGAGAACTCTTTATATAATGGGCTGCAAAGCTAGTGGATTTTTATAAATATAAAATCAACTTTTAATCCCTTTACAGTTGCATATATGTATAAAAACACACACATATTCACTCACAAACCATGTACATATCCCTACTATAGATAAAGATTATACCCTAAGTCTGAAGGTGACAAAAAAATCGAAGGAGAGAGTGGAAATAACAGATAATATAATATACATATAAACATACAAACGTACGCACGCGGATGTTGGGTATGACTAATAGAGACTAGAAAAAGAAAAAGACGACGAAGTAAAAAAAAGAATAATAGAAAGAAATTTCAAATAATATGTGTGTATGTGTGTGTGTGTGTATGTGTGTGTGTGTGTGTGTGTGTGTGTGTGTGTGTGTGTGTTTGTGAAGTTATGCATTTTTTTAGTTATCGCCCTTATTGCTAATCAGGTGTGTAAATTACTTTTTAAATTTGAATGACGATATATTATTATTTTTATATTTGTTCATTTTTTTATCTATCTTTCCCTCTCTATATATATCTACCTCTTTATAATTCTACCTATCTTTCTCTTTATCTCTCCCTTCTTTTTCTATTATTCTATCTATCTATACCTAACTACCCACCTATCTATTTCTCTCTCTCTCTCTCTCTCTCTCTCTCTCTCTCTCTCTCTCTCTCTCCCTCTCTATCTATCTATCTATCTATCTATCTATCTATCTATCTATCTTTCTCTTCTCTTTCTATTTATCTATCTATATATCACTATCTATCTTCTTTTCGCTCTTTTACTCTCTCTCTCTCCCTCTCTATCTATCTATCTCTATCTACTCTTTATCTATCCGTCTATCATCCATCTGTCTATCTATATCTCTCTATTTATATGTATATCGCTTTATCTTTCTCTCTCGCTCTCTTTTTTCTTATATTATTTGATAAATAGATAAATATTTAGGGGATTCTGCTTTGTTAAAGTATATGTTTAATTCTACCTATCTTTCTTTCTCTCAGTCTTTCTCTTTCTATTTTTCTATCTTTATCTGTCTATCTCTCTATCTTCTTTTTTTTCTCTCTCTCTCAATCTATGTATCCACCTATCTCTCTTCTCTTTCTATTTACCTATCTATATATCACTAACTATCCATCTATTTATGTTTCTCTCTATTGCAAACATCTCCCTCTCTCTACTCTCTCTCTCTCTCTCTCTCTCTCTCTCTCTCTCTCTCTCTCTCTCTCTCTCTCTCTCTCTCTCTCTCTCCTTCACTCTATCTTCTGTCACACTCTCTATCTATCTATTTATCTATCTATCTATCTATCTATCAATCAATCACTCTAATTTTCCCTCTATCCATCCATCTATCTCTCCATCTGTCTATCTGTACTCTCTATTTATATATATATATTACTATTTATGTCATTTCATGAAAATTAAATATTTAGGGGATTCTGCTTGGTTAAAGTAAATGTTTAACTATATACAAAAGATTTTAAAATTATCGGCTGAATACTTACTGTTATTAAATTAAACATATATTGAATTTGTGAATAATTAACATGATACATACTGCTACGAAATTGTTGAATTTTGAAGATTGGAGAAGTTTATGAAAGTTTTCGAGCAAATAGTTATCAAAAAATTACTGAATCGTGCCCACAGGATGAAAAAGTAGGATTTTCAATCTATTGGTTTCTATAAAATCCCCTATAATGTTGGAAATAGTTTTTAAGTTTAGAGGCTTTTTGTTACGGACAATATTGTCGAATGTTAGATAAAAGAAGGCCTAGGTGAACGAAATGTTCAGGCAGCGGGGGGTGAAAGGTTCACGAGAATGTGGACGGATGCACGCACGTTGAACGTACCGCATCCTGTACGTTTTATGATAGTACGTGTCGCACATTCCCTTACTCATCACCTGCACGTCGCATACAAATAATCAAAGATGAGAATCCTTACGAGGCATATCCACGTCCGTTCATCCTAGCCGTTGATGTCATTCAACTTGGTTTCTATGTTACTGACTGTGTTTTTTAATGTTTTTAGTTGCATGGTGATTTGTATTATCGTTTACTACTACGCAGAAAGTTCATAGTATCAAAGTGAAATCTCCGAGTAAAAGTTTTCAATGAGAAATAATTAAAGTTTGTCTAGTCAGTAATACATTTTTATTGAAAAAAATGTAGATTGCTTAGCATTCAGAATGTTCTCATAGGAAAGTAAAGCATTAACTCTCCAATTTCGTTTTCACTGTGCATAAATACTACGAGAACTGCTTAAACGAAGGCTCATTTAATTAAAATAAAATAGAAGCGGCAATTATATTTTATCATCGGCTATTTTAATAAGTCCGATTCAAGTTGACGCTACGACACGGGATCAAGCAGAAAACGCTTTAAAACTTCGAGAACGAAATTGGGCCGAGGGGGGCTCTTGTCTTGTCTTTCTCATCAAGACGGTTGATGATCTTTTGTTAAGCACGGTAAGAATGAAAGTCTGTGCACCTCTAAAAATAATAATTAAACTCTTCTCCTTTCGGGTTCTCAGATAAGCCAGTTGGTATTCAGCTCTAGTGAAAGGCAAAACGTGGAAACTGGGGGATCGAGAGAAGAGACCTTTCCCTCTCTTGGCTCGACAATGGTAAAAAATATTTTTCTCTACTTTTTTTCTCTGGAAGAACGTGACTTAGTGAAAACAGAAAACAAGAAATGTTTAAAGTAAATATCGGAAATCAAATCTAAACATTCCGTACTTTATTTTCTATATGATAAAAAATTAACTTTCCCGAAAGTTGGAATAAAAAATAAATTGATTGTTTAATAATTGTGTTTAAAAAATAGCAATAGCCCTGTTAATAAATAATAACAGCGGAGTTTTATTACTGTCATGAATGTGGAGGGTCAGAAAATTCCAATGGCAACGACTGGGATCGAACCGATGAACTTCTCTACCATAAACCGGCACGTTGAAGCTCTTAAGACCCATTTAAGTACTATTACCCCATTTATAATTTTTTTCATTAAATTTTTAAAAAATAGTAAAATGATGTGAGTGTATTGTGGGTTCATCCCACTCGAGTTTCCCACAAAAATGAAAAGTTTGAATAAACGATTGTTCACGATTGCAGAGAAAAGTGACGCTTCGCGAGAGACAGAGTGGAAAAAAGAGGGACCTTTTGCCGATGAATAAAAGCGAAAGGAAGCTGTTAATGATCAGAACTCTTTCTCGTTTTTGCAAACAACAAAGCACCGACGTCTGGACAATAACGATTGTCACGGGCAACGGGAAAAGAAAAGTAATATCCCCGCTGCGGCTTCAACTATAAAAGCGTGAAAAATGGAGCAATTTCAAAATTATACTGTCTCCGGCGGCAGTTACGACTGTAAAACCCGGTGTAGGGGACAGATAGAAAATGGGGGGGAAAAGGCGGTCTCGGGGTGTTTCACTGCCCTTTAAATGTTTTCAACGGGTGCTGACGATTAATTAAATTCAGCCGGCCGGCCGTTTAACTCGGTGCAATTACATTGATTTTCAATCGGGTAGACCGTGAAGACATTCAGGAAATCGTTGACTTACAAATTTTTCGACATATATTTCAAGGTAGTTAAGCAAGGACGTAATTACGATAGTTACGCTATCATCGACACGTGTTTCCTTTAATGATGGAATAAAATTAAAAATACCAAGCAGGAGAAAATGTTTGTGCATTTAACAGATCGTTTTCACACTAGATGTACGTAGATTTAATCTAGATTTTAATATTTTTAAATGCCATATGACTTTTTATATCTCTCTCCTTCTATCTATCTATCTCTCCTTCTTTCACTCACTCTCTCTCCTTCTTTTCCCACATTCTCTCTCTCCCCCTCTCTCCACACACACAAACTCTATTATATAATTATTTTAAACTATTACTTATTTTGTTGTATTACAGATAAATTTCTTCTCTTTTTATTTTCCTCCTCTCTCACTCTCTCTCTCTCTCTCTCTCTCTCTCTCTCTCTTTCTCTTTCTCTCTCTTTCTCACTCACTCACTCACTCACTTTCTCTCACCCTCTTCCTCTTTCGTTTGATCATTTTCTTTCTCATTCTTTCTTTCTCGGCAATAAAAATAATAATATATATACATAAAAAATAGTAAGTTTTATATTATATGAAATATACTCAAAGACAACAAAGACCGGACACTAGTCTTTTGTTGCTTAATTTACACTATACATGTATTTTTATCATTATTTTAATTAAATCAAACTTATTTTAATGTAAATCAAATTACACTACACCAGAAATTTTTGAGTTTCAATAAAAATTATTTAATTATGATAGTTTGAAAGAAAATTCAACAAAACACCGGAAAATCCTTGGATGATAAAATAAATTGTTATTAAAATTTACATCTATCGTTAAATGATTTTCCGGTCATTTGGTGATTTTTTTCAGACCATTATAATTAACTATTTTTTATTAACACTCACAGATTTCTGACCTCGTTTAATTTGGTTTACATTAAAATTAGTATGATGTCATTAATGTCAAGATAAAAATACATACATATAGTTTGAAATGAACAAAAAAATACGTGTGTCAAGTTTTTTGTCTTTGAGTGTATAATAAACTTGAATAAATGTGACAACTATCGCGTCTTAACTCTAATTTCGATGTTTTCTTAAGTTATTAGTCTTGCATAAAACCACAGCTCTATAAGATCTATAATCCTATCTTTCAATATTTTGTTTTAAATCCACCAAAAAATAACAAAAAACGGACATATTTTATTAACTATTTTTATACTTTGATCTTAGGTGAGATCCTACATGTTACATAAAACATAGATCTTATATTATCCTTGTGCTCACTCATCAAAAGATAGTTAGATAGAAAATACTTTCTTAAAAAAATACTACTTTCTTTTCTTTCACAAGATGACAAAACAAAAGTAATATACGTCACGGTTAAAGGAAACGTCTGATTTGTATGTATGATATCACATCGTTAAATACATGAAGTGAAAATTTAATTATTCAGTTTTTGATAATGGAGGTTTTCCTTGATAATTTATTTTTTTGTGTAATTTAATCAGGATCAGGATGATTAGAGTTCGAAATTTTACGTCGGTAGAAATCCACTTTTACTAGAAGAAAGTTCTTCTGAAATCCTGTTGGACATGTCAGATTGTTCCTCTTCTTTCCGTAACATATTATTTCATTCGTGTGCCCCATCATAAGAAGAGTAAGAGGATTATTTAAATATAAGATAAACAGTAAACGATTTTTAAAAATGACCCGAGAGGATTTTGTCGGCGAACAAAGCCCACGAGGGCCCTGTGGACGGAAAAACCTTCAAATTCCCACTGTCCTTAAACAATCAGACCGTCACAAATAAAGGACAAACATAGTACATTTAAGTACACAGTTGTACATAATATGAAGAGCAAAACCATGCTCGCGTAACTTGACCGCAATACCGCAATCGGTCCAAGAGCAAGGGTTTCGGTAAATTCTACCTGTAATCAGCGTCAATTGTTCAATTCTGCTATTGTTTTTAAAAATATGTGGTGTATTTTTTATATATATATATTTTATACCGAAACCTAGATGTGCATGGCGTAAAATGTTCATTATTTGTCTGAACGTGGTCGAAAATGAAACCCTGATCGGGTATATGTTACTTGTTATGATTTTCTGAAAAATAAGCATAATATTTTAATAAGAAACTATTTATAAAATATTTAATTTAAAAAATATAAAAAATACATAGAATACTATGTAGATTTAAAAAAAGTAATACGATAAAGGGATGAAATATGTTTATACGCTCCTACTAGAGAAATGTTTGAAACAATTCATTAGAGTTCGTGGTCCGATTGACCGAATAACGTTGTTCAATTAATTAATCTTTATATAAGGTATTGGTTGAGATAAAAATGAAAAATGGCAAAAAGGAGGGAAAATTCGAAAGGTGGGGAGGAGATGGGAAGTTGGTGTCCGAGTGGATCGAAGTCACGATAGCTCAAGTGGTACAGCAGCGGCGTATTTAGCCGAGAGTCGTGTGTTCGAATCCCGCTCGTGACACTGACTTTTTTATATCAACCAATACCTTATATAAAGATTAATTGTTTGAAACAATCTTCATACTATGACAAAATTCACGATAAAATTTATTATCAATAATAACTCTTTATCGCGGTTTAAACAAGTAGAAAAGAGACCAAAATAGCGTTTCTCCTCAATTCGTTCCAAAACGATTTTGTATGTTCCTCAGTTTAAAGACAATTGTCCGACCTTTGGAGGATCCTTCGCGGGCTCGGGACATGCTCAGGAAACTGGCGTAGTTTCCGTGTCTCGGAAGAAATGTGAAATCGCATCCTTGCCCTATTAGAAAAACTTTCTAAACCATAATAAGTCAGGAACCCGACACCCCAAGGTTATATATATTAGTATTAGTCTGATAATTTTCTGAGGTTTTTCAAATATTGAAAACGCCCGAGAGACGTTATGTTGTTTGTATATCGGATTTCATCAACGGAACGTTTTGGTTTAACTTTTTAAGAAGCTATTGAAAGATTAAGATGAACCAGCTGAAAAGAAAAAATGATGAAGAAGAAAATTTCCTTTTTACACAACTTTATCTTCCAACGTGAACTTCATAAATCCCTCTGCCAAAAGCGAAATGATCCTTAAATTTATGTTAAAAAACTTTGATCAAGTTTTAAGTTTTACACGAATAATCCCTCGATATCGCACTACCGCACAGGATATTTCAAAAAATAATTATCCTCCCCGGCAAATAGCTTTCTCACTCAAATCTCTAAATCTTCCAGCTTGTAACGTTCTTTCTTTCCTGAATTCCTTTATCCGCCGGTTGCACTAGAGAAGGAAACAAAAAAATTGATTTCTCGGATAAGAGCTGATAAATCGGAGAATTGGGAAACGCCTCCACACTATCACAACAAATACATAGTTTGTTTAGAAAAACGAAAGAAAATCACAACTACAGAAATATCTGCTTACTAAAAATTATAATTTCTAATAGACTCATTAATATTTAAAAAATCGTTATTGATATTTCAATAAGGTGATGTGTCAAGTTCAAAAAACATTTGGTATACATACACACAACTTAGTTTTGGTAAAGCATTAGTTATTATTAAAAGTTGATCTATATTTGTAAAATGTCTGCAAAAAACGACTTCAAATTTCAAATGTTTATAACTGCTAGTTTTCATTATGTCTTATTTCCGGCTAATTTGATTTGTTTTTCGTTACCGTAGTGTTGCTAAAATCCTAGGTTTTGTAGGGAGTTTCTTGCCGAGTCTTCTTCAAACTTTTATAATAATAATTTTAAATATTTTTCGGAATCAATGAGCAACCTTCAACCTTCCTCTCTCTCTCACTCTCTCTCTCTCTCTCACACACTCACTCACTCACTCTCTCTCTCTCTCTCTCTCTCTCTCTCTCTCTCTCCCTCCCACTCTCACACTCTCTCTCTCCCTCTCTCTCACTCTTGAGAGTTGATGATATCTAGTTTCTTAAGCAATGATGGACTTGCGTTCCCATAAAGCATGCAACCGTAATCCAAATTAGCTCGTATCGTCGTTTTGTAAAACATAAGCGCTGTGTCGGGATCCGATCCCCAGTTGT